CCTTTATCTTTTGTTCCTGCATGGCCAGCACTGTGGCTACATCAGCGACACTCGTGGCTTTTTGGTCCATAAGCACCCGCGCACGGTCCTTCTTCATCATTATCTGTCCTATTCTCGGTTTCCAGATTTCATCCCATTTCTTCGCTTCAAGCGGATCCCGCGGCCGCTTGCGAGAAAGTGTCTCTTCGGTGTTGGTGATGGACTCCTCCTCAGGAGCAAGTTGGCGCTGAACGGCGAATTCCCGAAGCATCTTATAAGCTGATAGGCCAAGGGATGAGGAAGGGAAATGGAGGGAGAAGTAGGGTATCCACATGTCTTTGCGGAGAGTTGCGGGAACGGTCTTTTTGCCGTGGTATATCAGTTGAGACAATACATTTTGGCGCTATCAACGAAAATCAGTCAGATCCAAACAGTCCTAGAGAAAGCATCTGTTTTGTTACATCCGGAAACAACTTACCTCTAGTGTCCGCGAAAGCGAATAGATGACCTGGTTCGTCCGTAGGTTGTTATAGGCAAAGATATTCTTCCCATGCGTAACATGTTGCAGCGCCTTCCTCAATCTTATAGATTCCTGCTCGCGGTAATGTTTGGCGGCCTTGGAATTGGGAAATCGGACTTTTCCTTGAATCGGTTTGCCATTTGAGGGCGGGTATCGCACTGCTCGTGAAGTCGCAAGCGTCGTCGGGTCTAGCAATTGGATCGTCTTTGGTGCCTTTGTGGCCGCAGCGGCGGCTGTGGTAGCCATTGTGCAAGGAGAGAGGCAGCTATGATGTGAAAAAAGATTGTTCCCAATTGAAGTCGTCTGCGCTTATAACATTGTTCTGAGCAAGCACGTCCTCTGGCTTCGATGCGGTGGTGGTGGTGGGCTTAAGTGGAAGAACGAGGGATGGTTGAGAGTTGCAGCTTGAAGATTTTAACTTTTGCAGGCCCAGTTCTCGCGCTGCTGGAATTAGTTACCGGCTCCGCTGGCAGACTTGCGACCCAGACCGCGACATCACCCATCACCACGAGGACCACCAACTGGTTGACAACATGGCGGTTGCGATGTGTTGTTGGCTCAAAACATAAATTCAATTTTTTTTTTTTCCTTTCTTGCGGTATACTTCAACAAAATTAACTGATGGTTCCTGAATACCCCAGAAGCATCCCCCCCCTAGTTGCTCTCAACTATGTCAGTTGCTGAAGACCAATCCTATAGTCAACATGGATTGCCAGCAGGAAAAAAGGATCGGCCATGGCTTCTTCCATCAGTAAGTCTGAATTGGCTGGGCTATTTTTGATTTTATATCTACAGCCCTGACTGAAAATGGCTGTGACGTAGAACCGCAAGCTACGGAATCTACAAGGCATCTCTGTTCGCAATCTCTTAGTCACTCCGCCGCCCGCGACGAGATCTCGCGGAAAGACAATTGACGACGATAGCGTCCCAAACACATTACAGACGCCTGCAAAAATCCTCGCGAGCAAGGAAGCCCGGACCGTGCATCATTCGCGATCCGTTACGGATCTAAATCGCGTCGCGTCGTGCAGAGATGTCGGTGACACCAGAGCAGCCAGAGGCGAGGATGGAAAGCAGCACAGGACGCAAGGCCCTACGAATCGACGACGAAGCACATTTCCATGGTCGGGCGCCGACCCTGGGGTAAGGCAGGCACGGCTCGAGGATATTACTGCGAGGAGAATGGCCGATACCTGGTTTTCCTTGCATTGCCCTGACATTGAGCAACCCGTCTATGTGAGCGAAGTTATTGAAAGAGCGATGAATCCTACTTTCAAGAGTTTTGACTTGTCTTCTTCTGGCCCTCTCGTGTCCCGCGCGGACAATGCAGTGGTGAATCTGTGGGCAAAGCCGGCAGACTCGGCTGAGTACTTCCTGCTTTTGGAGTTTAAGGTGCAGTTTAGGGCGCTTCAATATATAGGGAAGACTCTCGAGAGCTTTCGTCACCCGTTGCCGTTGAACTGTGTTATCTTCCATTTTGTCGATGGCCTTTACACTGTTTTGACGGACATTGCTCCGAGCGAGCCGTCCACTTTACCTCGGTCACTGGGCAAGACACGGTCAGAGGGGGGTAGTTCCCCCATTGCCTCCTACGATACTTTGATGCGGCTGGTGAACCTTGACGACTGCCTCCAGGATGCCCTAGCGACACGGGATAAGCTCGAGGTTCAGATTAGTTCGGTGTTAGAGGAGAATAAGGCATACCTGGATATTCTCAATCAAAAGGCCCAAGCTGAAGAAAGACTGGCGTCAATCAAGAAGTCCGTGGCACTGGAAAAGAAGAGATTGCAGCAGTCCTTGAAACAAAAGGAAAGTCTCATTGCAAGCATTAATGCGAGAAAAGCGGCTATGCAGCAGGGCCGTGAGAGCCAGGAGAAAACTTTGTCGTATCTCCAGGAAGCCGAGGCTACAAAGACATCCAGCGAGAAGCTCTTGCAGAAAACCAGAGATGAATCAATCGGGCAAATACGACGTATCTGCGAAGATTTGAGTTCCATTTACCCCATCGAGCCCATTCCCGGGAAAGCTCTCGCTTTTACGATTCTGGGGATTCCATTGCCAAATTCTAATTTTGAGAACATCGACAAGGAATCCGTGGCAGCAGCTCTTGGATTCACGGCGCACTTGGTCTATCTCCTCTCGTTTTATCTTTCCGTCCCACTCCCTTACCCCATCCAGCCGTATTCCTCGAATTCCTTCATCCAAGACCCCATATCCGTTGGTATTACGCAGCGGACATTTCCGCTATATCCTGTGAATGCGCACTATCGATTTGAATACGGGGTGTTTCTACTGAACAAAGACATCGAATGCCTGTTAAGCCGACAGGGCCTTCGAGTGCTGGATATTCGACAGACACTCCCCAACCTCAAATATCTCCTCTACCTCCTGACATCCGCCACAAGCGAGCTCCCCGCAAGAAAGGCTGGTGGAGTGCGTGGGCTTCTCGCCGGAAGAGCGTTGACCCCCGACCCATCACGGCGCCAAAGCACCGAAAGTGTGGCTAGTGGCGATTCCAGTCTTAATCAAAAAAGAGTTTGGCAAGGTGGTGGTGGTGGTCCAGCGATTCTGATTAACGGCGGCGGGATGCCGAAAGCCCGACACGGGGACGATGAGGATCAACGTTCGGTAACGACGATGACGAAGGCTACTGCGAGTGGAATTGGGGGGTAGCGGACGACAAGAGAACCTTGCATTTCGACCGGGTGGAGTTGAGCGATCTGCTTTGACGGGATGATCATAACACTTTTTGTGGTGAACGGTGATCGGATTGGTCTAGGAGTCTTTGGAATATTCTGGCGCAGGCGTGTTGGAAATATCCCAGGCTGGGGCATTTATGGAGTTGCCTTTTCTTTCTTTCTTTTTTTTCTTTTCCATTTTCCTTTTTTTTTGGGGGGGCGGGGGATGAGCAGGTCAGGATTGTTTCGCTTGGGCCTTCTTTTAACGTTCTTTTTTCTTGTATTATCATTTGGAACGAGCGCTTGGGTTGGGCCTGTGAAAGGGGCCCGGGCTGTAAGAGTATGTAGTTTCGCCAGGCACCCGGCTGTTTTACCAACGAATCTGCGATACCCCGGATGCGAGGCGCCGCAGCTCGTCTTTCAGGGTTGAGGGTTGTGACGGCGGCGATCATTCGATCAACGTTCTTCCATACTGCTTCCAGAATCCTTAATATAAGACATTTTTATGTTAATAACGCTGATGAGCAGCAATAATTCCGCAAAGCCTGGCAATATCACTGATCGTGCCTACTTTTTTATTTTTATTTTTATTTTTATTTTTATTTTTATTTTTATTTTTATTTTTATTTTTTTTTTTTTTGGGTGTTGCAACGCGGGACATCCTCATATATCACATATATTCTCGCATTCTCATCCAGCAAAAGCGGCCTTATTTTTGCTCTGGCGCAGCGTGCAATGTGGTCAGCGCGAGGATTTGGGAAAAAGCCCCCCTCAGCCAACGCTTCGTCTAAACCTGTCGTTAGCAGTCGGGTTTTCAGGCAAGATGGAGAAATATGGAGAATCCTCGTTTCTCTGGATTCCTTGCCGGGCTACTAATTACGTGACAAGAATGCGGCAAGGTTGCGAGGGATGGGGGTCGCTGTCCTTTTCCCACTTTCTGACTGGCGTAGAGACGGGTTCGCCTGGCTTGGCTCCAGCATGGGCGAAGGACGGAGAACCCTGTCCTGGTCAATCTTAAACCCAAGTCGACTATGGGCCGCGTCCACAAGGACCTTCTGCGCTGGTGAGAAGCCATGCAGTGCTGGCGCTCAGATGCTTTTTTCTTTTTTGGTTTTTTTTGGTCTTTTTTTCTCGTGATTTTCTCGAGATGCGTTTCGTTTGTTTTGCCCCCTCGCCATGGCGATGATGGTGCAGCGTGGGTTTTAGCTCATCGGAAAAAAAGGTCAAGTGATTCGGGTTTCACGGGCGAAGGCGCCGATGCTGGTGTCTCGAAAGGGACCCCCATCGGGCTGGTGGGATGGCAATAAACGAACAGGTCTGTTGTAACCCAGCGCCTGGGGGCGTGGAGTGATGATATCAACGAGCGGTGATCCATCTTCACACCTGTTGGAGACGAAAGGAAAACAGAAATATATATAAAAAAAAATAAATAAATAAATAAATGAAGAGCTGGCGGAGCGTCCATGGTTTGCCATTGCCGGGTATCTTCTGGACGTTCTCATCGCGTTGCTCACCGACTTGAAGTTTTCGGTTCTTTTTTATTCGCCTCGAGATCGTGAGCAGCGCCTCCTCTCCACTCTTGCTTTTCCCCCTTTTAGTGTGTTGTGCCGCCGACTGGGATGGGAGGTTGATTGGAGCGCAACCAAGATCACATCCTCTTAAAAAAAAAATAAAAAATAAAAAAAAAAAAAGGCAGAAAAATAAAATAAAAATAAAATAAAAATTGCAGGACATAAATGGACGGTTTTAGCGGGCTCCTCTTGCAAGGTAGTAATCAGACGTAACAGCCTACAAATCCTCGAGCCATCGTTAGCAGTTGTCTTGGAGGTCGATCTGGGCTGCCAGCGCTTCTTCGTCGTCGTCGTCTTCATTTATTCTCCTTGATCCTGCTAATAATATATCAAACCGGGACATTGTCTTTTTCGCTTCTGAGATCGGCCTTGCTCCTTCGTCCTTTCGTTCCTCTTTTTCTACACCTCGCTCCTCTGTATGCATGCATGCTTTCTTGTGGCTCCGTGCTCTCCGTTGGGATACTTTGAACTCCCTGTGTGACACCCTGCGGATGGCGATCCAGAGACGCTGAAGCCGCAAAGTTACATCGTCTCCATTTAAAAGACGGTGGAAACTTCAAGACGTACCAAACATCAGCCCACTTTTATACTTAAGCTGGCCCAAACCCGCACTCAGCGGCTTGCATCGGTGCGCGCTCAGAAAACAACCCCCCCTATGTGGCCGCATTCAGGCGACACAAGGGGAGACGGATCTTAGCAGAAACGGCCTCAGAAGAGACACGTTGTTATGGATGGGATCAGAATGGCAGCCCGACCTGCTGCAACTCCAGCTCCTGTAATTATCACCTGCTCCTCCTCCTGCACCCCAAGCCCTCTCCGTTTCCTTTTCCTTTTTCTTTTTCTTTTTCGTTTTTTTTCCCTTTTTCCTTTTTTCCCTTTGTTGGGCCTTTTTACATTCCTTTGTCTTCTTCCCGCTCTAGTTACCGCAAGATCTCTCACAATATATCTGACCCCAGGACCTGACGGCAAACCCTCCCTTCTCCCCGCATCGATCTCCGTCCCCGCCGCCACAACACCGCCGGGGATATCAGGCTTGCGACCCGTGCCGGAAACGTAAAGTCAAATGCGATCTCGGGAGTATGTGGCCCCGTTTATAATCCCCATGCCGTATCCTTTCCAGACACGTTTTCCTCCTGAAGCCCTTCCCCCCCTCCCTCCCTTTCTGCTCCGTTATCAGGTCTGGTCGCTGAGCCGTCTTGTCTGGCCGCTAGGTGTCGACAACCCCCGCCCACCACCATGCGTCCGCTGTCGTCGCGAGAGCAAACGCTGCGAGTTCTCAGCCACCAGGCGCAAGCGCAAGGTGTCGGATGACGATGACAAGTCAAACGTCCTCCGCAGGGACAAGCGCATGATGTCTGCTGATGGCGCCCTGCCACCCGACGACGCGACGAATAATACCAAGGTTAACGGCGTTACATCCCATCTCAGAGGTGCCGTACCACCACCACCCTACGAGCCCGATGTCAGGCCATCTGGTCAGCGCCAGTGGGGTGATTCCCCCTCCGCCCATGCCCATCGAATCTCTCTTCCAAGTAGTCAACCATACCCCGCTCCGACCTCCGTCCCCTCCGATCAATATCACCATCCTCTTCCTCGCTCCTCCAGCTTCTCTGGTCACGTACGCCCTATCCTGACGGGCGTGCTGGACAGCGGGCAGCACGTAATGAACAAGACTGCCGCTGAGCTGCTGTCACCGGCGATCAGCAACACCCATGATGCACTCCACCTGCTCTCTGAAGCCGCTGGGAGGACGGAGGACTTGAACCGGCAACACATGGAGTACGGCTACGGTGTTCGCCATTCTTCCACGTCGACGTTCAACTCGTCTGCCTCTCCGATGAACCAGGCTGGGACCCCCGGCGGCAAGGCTAGCAGGTCAAACTCCAGCACCCAGCAGGGTGCCCCCATGGGATGGTACCAGCAAAACAAAGATTCAAACACTACCGATCCTCTCGTCGAAGGGCATGAGGTTGTTATTCCTAGTCCACCCAGACCGCTCGAGGACGTCGAGTATGCTAATGCTCGACGAGCGTGGTCGCGCCTTCGATTCGTCCGAGCAGGATGGTTCAGTGTGGACGAAGCGATGGCGTACATTGCATAGTGAGTGGTGGCAAGCTTTTATTGGTTTCTCTTAAAACACTGCAGCTTACACTTCTTCTCTCCTTAGCTACTATGAACACCTTGCTCCGCTCAGCCCAATTGTCATCCAGAACTTTAGCTCTCCAGCGACCCATGTAACTCTCCTGACCGAGGAACCGGTCTTGACTGTGACTATGCTTACAATAGCTTCTCGTCATATGAAGCTATCTGGTAATGGCGCTAATTCTAGAGCATATTCTATCCACGAGAAGCTGTGGTCATATCTTCGAGGTATGATTGAACGGCTTATCTGGGGACAAGAGAAGTTTGGCTCAAGTGGCCTGCCATCCGCGAAGCCTCGTCAATTCAATCTATCCACATCCTTCTTTGGTCAACAGTCCAAACTAAATGGCAATCTACGGTCTCTGGGGACCGTGGAGGCGCTCCTCCTTCTCACAGATTGGCATCCGCGTGCTCTACATTTCCCTCCAGGAGATGATGAGAATACCCTGCTTGATACAGATCCCCAACTGCTTACTCAAGTCAGTGGCACTAAGGAAGAAGAAGGTTATTCTGAAAACAAAGACCACGGTAGCAGCTCCGAAGGCCGCCTTGCGTTTTATAAATGGCTGGAACCCGTATGGCGTTCGGACCGCATGTCGTGGATGTTATTGAGTACGGCCCAGGCTCTGGCGTTTGAGCTTGGTGTGTTCGATCAAAAGAATGAGCTCAAGGGCGGCAACGAGTGTTCGGCTGAACATGTGAGAAAACGTCGTGTGCGCCGGTTAATACTTGTTTATGTTTCACAGAGCAGTGGGAGGCTAGGTATTCCGTCAATGTTGCCTCTACCGCAATGGAGCTTGAGCACGGAACCAGTTTGTGCGGATAACTCGAACTCGCGAGAGGCGAAGGAGGAGTTCTCTGTGGACTTGATGCAGGATTGCTGGCTGGACATCTCTAAAATAATGTACAACAGCAACCAGGTGCTCTTCCCGTCGAAGGAGTACACGACGAATTTGATCAAAACAGGTCAGTATCGGGACAGGATAGCCGAATTCATCCCGTCTCTTAGGGAATTCAAGCAGAAGTGTGATCGGTTGCCGAGTAAGTGCTTATCGTCCCTCAACACGCCCTGATGTAGAGACCTGATATTTTCCTTTGATATAGTGTCTCAGGATATGCGTCTCATATTGACAATCGAGTACGAATATACCCGTAAGTTCCCCTTTGCATATGATGCTACCTATCGAGAGGCAAGCTGACATATCGCAGGATTGTATGTGAACTGCTTGGCGCTGCAAGCTGTGGTCGATCGTTGGACGACCATGTCCAACGAGGGTTCTTCCAACATGGGCCAAACCCAGTCCAGCGGGGCAGCTACTGGGCAGAACTCAAATTCAGGAACCGTTCCCTTACGTGTTCTCATGGATCAGTATGAAGTCAACGAGCCGTACATTCAGGAGGTGGTGGATGCCTCTCGAAAGATATTGCAGACAGTGCTGGAAGGCTTGGTTCCTGGGGACCGCTTGAAGCATGCACCCGTCCGAACATTCTTTAGGATACTTTCTGGAATGATCTTTATCTTGAAGGTAAGCTGCGTGATCTCACGTCAATGTCCTTTGGGCTACGTTGACTGTGTTGAATAGACGTTTACGTTGGGTGCAAAAGAAGACGACGTGAGAATATCACTCGAACTTCAAGACCGCACCATCGAATCCTTACGAACCTGTATAGTGGACGATGTCCACCTAAGTGTCACCATAGCAGATCTTCTTCAGCTGCTTACGTCGAACATCCGAACGAGGTTCTTGCGGTTCGCACCTTTTGACCGCGTGGATTGCAGCAGTCGAGAACGCACCCCTCTACCAGCTTCCAGACAGCAGTCCCCGCAAGCCCGCGACAGCCAGAGCGACATCCGCTGGCAGACGAATCCTCTAGGCCAAGGCACAGGAAACTTCCAATTCGACAACTCCAACCACAGCAGCTCCGCGCCATCCACCACCAACGATCCACTCGCCAGCATCCCCGCACAACCGATCAATTCCTCCAACATTAACGTATCCTTTATGCCCCCTCCACCGTCTGTCTACTATAACTACTACGACCACAGCACTTCTCCGAAGATGGAAGTCGACGACCCCACGATAGCTCCGCAGTCGATCAGCACCAGCGGGCCAGGATCGAATTCGAATACCATGTCTGATTGGTTTGCCTTGCCGCTTGACCAGTTCTTCAACAGCTCTACGGCTGGCGTTGACCAGGGACTCGGCGGTACCGGGCCTATGGTCGGCGAGTTCGACATGTTGGAAGTGTTGCTGAAAGACCAGTATACCGATAGCGGCGCCGGTGGTGGCGGTGGTGGAGGAGCAGGAGGGGGCGGCGGCGGTGCTGGCAACAGTGGCTCCGGCGGAGCTGGCGGCTCGAACGGCGCCGGACTATCATCTCAATTTCTTTGATGTGAATGAATGAATGAATGGTTTTATTTTTGTGGGAAACAGTACATAAATTATATATATACATATATACCCTCTTTATGTCTCTCTTTTTGGGTTATTAAAAACGGATCAATGGACGCTAGAAAGGATTGCGAGGGGCAAAGGGTATCTGTGCTGTTTGGAACTGCATTTGCGTATGTTATTTTCACTTTCCCGTGTTTGTCTATCTCCTGGAGTGTGCGGCTTGATCTACTTCGTGGAGAACTACTGAGATTACTGATTAGTATTTAGTATATTGAGCTAAAGTAGAGAGATGTCTAAATATTCATATATGGATATAAAAAAGCTTCATTTAAATAGTCTTATCTTCACACGCAACGGCAGCCATCCAATCCTATGACAACATTGCACTAGTCATTATCCTAAGGTAGTAGCTAGTGCGAGCTGCCATGAACGTCTCGCCAGCATTATCCCCAAGGGAAAACTTGGAAGCTCCGCTTTCACCCCGTCAGCACGGCCTCCAGGAGCCTTCTGTCTTCACCTTCGGCCAAGTTGGGAGGTGCCCACGACCCAACTAACGTAAACCCAGCCCGATCCAACAGAGATTCAAACTGCTTTTTCGTTCGTTCCAGAGCCGAAAAATTTGCCATCATCATAAAATCTATGGACGCCGAAAGCAGTGTCACTCCCGTCTCAGGGAGGACGTTTTCGCTGACGAGGAGTATCGAGTCTGGACCCATCGCGTTTTTGATGTGTTCGAGTATCTTCAGTGCCTGCGTTTCAGGCCAATCGTGAAGTATGTTTGAAAGGTAATAAGCCTTTGCATGTTTGATGGGCTGTGGGGAGAAGAAATCATGCTCCATGGCTCGTATGCCAGCGGGCAACTCGTTCACATCTTTGAGGACAGCAGGGATATCTTGAAGAATCAGTTCTCCTGGCAGGTCTGGATATTGCTCTTTGAAAGCGATGAGGTCGTGTCCTCTTCCACCACCAATGTCGACAAGGAGCGGATCCGAAGTTGACCCCAGCTGCAGTTTTGTTAGGACTGGAAAGTACTCAAACCAATTTGTGCCCTGCGCCGTTCGAGATATGCTCAATACACTGTTGAACGCATGCTGGAGCCGTGGCTTCGTGGCAAGCCAGTCAAAACAATGCAAGTGTGTCTTTCGTGCGAATTGGAAGACACCATCGTAGGCGTCGTCGGGGTTCTTATAGCCTTTCGAAGAAAAATAGGAGGGAAAAGCCGCAACAACCTCGTTCTGCGACGTTCTGAGAAGCATTTCTTAGCGCTACTATAAGGGACCAGGCAGACAATTGACGAACATATGAATAATTCCTTGTGCTAAAGGAGAAGCCGTGACATAGAGCTTCGCGAGTCTCAGCGGTGTATATACCCCTTCCCCCTTTTCACTAAATATACCCATTCCGACTAAGAACCTCATAACGCGCCCTGGGCCGGATCATCAGTCTCATAGTTTATACAATCACTTGGCAATATAGGTTGAAAGGCTGTTAAACTACTTACTAACGAGTAGCGGATCCACACCAGCCAAAAAGGCAAGGTCATCAAGACGTACATCTGCACGGTCGGCGGATAATTTAGCAGAAGCATCGAACAGGCCCATATCCACTGCCAACCTAAGGGCCACTGATTGATGAGGCTGGGTTATAGAAACCCCGTCAGCGCAATAATTCTACCATAATCCTTCCCGCGAGTCAAGCAACGCCGGTCTCATGGCCGAAATTCACGATGAAAGGGGAGGTTAGATAAGACTAACAGCAAATAAAAACTGGAGTGTTGCCTCGCGAGGAGTCTCCAACTTCGATTTGAGGTTCGTGCAGGCGGCGAGGAGAGCTACACGCTCCTCCTCCTTGAGCTCTACGGTGGGCACATTGGAGGCAGCGCTGATGGAATTGATAAGCTCTTGAGTGGCCATCGTCAATGTCTTCGGGTTGTAAACAAAAAACAAAACCTCCATAAAATTGAAAGGAAGCACCACCCATATTTGTAGTTTCAGGCCTGGTGATACCTCGAAATTCGGGGTCGCTAGGCATCACATTTCCCTCCCTGTATCCTGTCCTTTAGCGCCAACACAATCGGAACCGAACGGTGAGAAGTAGGGTAAGAAGTAGCATCGACCCTCCATCGTGGGCTTTCGAACGTATTCTGAGGTGCCGGGTGACAAGGAGTGCGCAACGATATCCCGATATGGAAATGCCAGCATCGCCGATCTCCGAGTTAGTCAGCCCAAAGTCCATTTTGTATATAACAAAACTCATTCAATTACATGGTTTCCGATGTTGGTCAACATAGTATCAAACCATCCTCCATTTCCCGGGTATGCTCTGGCCCTCCGGTGAATCCGCAGGTCCGTCTCAAACTCCAGCATGAGCAATAATATCAGTAGGTAACTAAATGAAAGGATAAAGCTTCCAGGGTATCCTCCCTTGCAACCTCGCAGGGAGAACTGAGAATAACCGCCCAGCCGGCTAAAATCCAACCGAACGGGGAAAAGCAAAAAAAAAAAAAGGGAGACTCCAATCAACGCCACAAAGCCTTCCAGGTTTCCTTTCCGGAAAAGAAACAAGAAATAAAATAGACAAACGTACGTATAAAAATCGAGCAATATACACCTTCATATCTCTTGCGAATCCAAACCCCATATTTCCCAGTGTTTCAGGACTTCCCATCCTACTCGCCGCACTTTCCGTCTCCATAGGACACTCTCGCCTCCGGATGAAGACGTAGTTGGCTCTTGAACGCACTGCATGAGCCTCGACCTCGTATCCTCGGAGAGTTGGGCTCCGAGGTCTTCCAGCAGGCTCGCTGTATCCTGTGGAACTATGGCGTGAGACGATGTGGAGCCCCTTTGGCTATTGTTTAGAGTCGGATAGGACGCTGCGTCCGGTGGGATGACTGGTAGCGCGGGTTGGGAACATGGACGTTGCTTGCGTTTTCCTAGGACGGTATTCGTGGCAGGTGCCGGTGTCGCTTGCGTTTGCTTAGAATTCCAATGGCGTCCTAACTGTGCATTTGGCCCGCATGGTTCTATAGTTGGCGGGAGAGGATTATTGGGCCTGGTATGCGGAGGCTCTGCATTCGCCGCGAGGCTAGATACGGCGCCATTACCCGCATCCGTTGTATTTGACAGAGAAGTCCATTCATACGGACTTACTCCCTCTGTCACCGGGATTGAATAGAATTCGCCCAGTTCCCAGGCTTTCCACCCTAATCCAATAATTTTTAGCGTGCTAAAGATTTCCTTATCGGCTAGTCGAGCTCCCATTGCCTCATTGAAAATCCGGTCATCTAGATCTACAATCTCCGACAGTGATCTTGCATTTAAAGAATCCGCACTCGATCCATTGGCAGTCGGAAACGGGGCGTTGATACCAGTATCCTTTCCCTGCGGCCTTATAGGGCTGGGTGTTGAGTATGCAGGGCCAGTTGGGATGAGCAAACGGATAGCAAGCAGCTTCCGCAAGAATGGTATTAGCAGACCCAGGGTTTCAAAGCTAGATATATCAGTAGCTAGAGCGAGCTGCTCTAAATTGGGACAAGAGCGAACCAAGCGAGCGATTAGAGGGCCGGGGAGAGACCATCGTGAAGAAAGCAGGAGATGACGTAGCCTCGGCCCGTTCACAGTAGCGATAGTGTGGATATATGCATCACGAAGAGAAATGCTGGCTGCGAGATTGGTTGGTTGAACGGGCAGTGGCGCTGCCTGGGATACCGAGGAGATACCGTTTGCAGTAGCGGAGTTGGGATCTGTGGTCGAAGGGGGACTCATAGAAGCCGAGGATTGCGCTGAGCCGGCAGGTCGCGGGCTATTAACGGAATCGGAGGCGTCCAGAATCGGTGTCACGAAATATAATCTCTCCAAATTCTCCAGACTAGCCAGGAACTCACAACCTTTTCTTTCTATGCGATCATGACGCAGACTCCTAATGCCAGGGCACTTCGGCGGGGGCCAACTACTCTCCACGAATGTCATTCCGGCCAGAGACGGATCATACACACCGGGGCTATTCAACGTGGTGACATCTTCAAGCATATCGGGATCTAAGGCGGTCTCAAAGTCATCGGTATGCAATGCGTAGAAATTCTGGAGCGCTATTTTCCTGAGGCGCAGAGGCGACTTCGCCGCGATGCATTTGCGAAAGTAGTCGTGCAGGGTCACACTAGGCTCTTGAGCCTCTCTCATTCGTGGTGACCAATGCATTTTGAGCTCTCGCAGCTTCCTGCTGTGTAACAACAACGTCGATATGTCGTCCGGATAGCAGAGAGGATCTATGTCAGTGATTTTGAGCGAACGAAGCTGAGGCATGCCAGGGATAACGGTAGTGGGACGAGGATGGCGACTCGATGGAAATCGAACAGTTAAAGAGGTCAGTCTAGGTAATTGCGAAAGGCCAATATATGCCGTCTCCAGCATTTTCGTATTGAGTTCCCAACTAGAAATGAGCCAAGGGTCAGCAACCGAAAAAGAAGAAGAAGAAGGAAAAGGAATTTTCAAACGATCGCGCCCGAAGAGCAAGTAAAGGAACAACGAGAGAATCCAACATCCCCCCATACCTGAACTTTTCCAATCCAGTCATCTTATCTATCGCCGCTCGAACCGCGATATTCAGCATCATCGAGGAATCGGTGACTCTCCCCACTCTCGCGTGCTCATCCAGTCCATCCTCCCTCCACTCTCCCCGCATTGTCAGAGAGCGAACCAGCGACGCGACATTCCTCGTGACAATCGCATTCAGCCCCATCGAAAAAGGGCTGGCGCTGCCACATCCCTCTGGCAGATCATCGCGATAGCGAATCTTATCGTACGAGGTCAAAGTGATGTTTTTATACAGTTGCGGCAGGGTCATATAATTCAAGACGCGACACGTCCGACACAGCCGAGAAAGGTCGCCAACATCATCAAGCTATAGAAACTCAGATAACAAGCGCGTTAGCAATGCTGCCAGTAGGAATTTTGAAGGGGCGGAACTCCAATGGGGTATATGTGTTCTCGGCTCACATATGACAGGATCAAAGCTACAAGGTTGAGCGGGAGGGCCATCAAGGACCGCGGCTGCGGAGGAGTGTCAGCACGGACACCCGCGTTGAACATGTTTGCGTTGACGGTAGCCATTTGCCATGGATAATTTCAAGGGCACGGCTACGAAACATCTAGCTATGTGCTTTCCTGGTTTTGCAGGACTAGGGGGGCGGGTGATAGAGGAGGAGAAAAGTTGCGCGAACGGTGTTGATGTGATTTAGTGGATCCTGTATCACGAAGTCGTCCAAGCTCGGGGCTGCATGAATAAGCTCCCACCGTACGACATGCAACAATGGGGTCAGCAGAAGTCACACAATATTGGCCTACTCTACACTCTGTAGAGATGTCTAGAATATATAGAAAATTTTTCATTCATGATCCTTACTTCACCAGCTGTTATTTCACTGCATAACTACCTCGGCGGGAGTAATTTCAAGACGGAAAGTCTGTTGAAAATCCAGGCACATATTTCTGCATCCACCTAAACGCCTCGCTAACTATGGAATTTTCATACGGGGTAAAAAAAAAAAAAAAAAAAAAAGGACCATAAACCTAGTCAGGAGTTGAGCTCAGGTCACGCCATTGGTTCCCCCAGAATCATCCCAGAAACGCGAAGGATGAACGGGAGGATTTTGCTGCGCCGCTGGGGATTGTCCCCGCCCATTGTCGAGGCCCGACGACGGTGGTACGGAATTAATGAGCGTCCTGTCCGATGACGAGCGGGACCTCTGTGCCCCTGACGTATTTTCAACAATTTCTTCCTCTTCACTCAAGGCGGACTCGAATTCTGGCACGGCGATATCACGTCCACTCCCGGTACTTTCTTGATTATGCTCGGTCTGAGATGGTAAGGGGGTCGGGTGTATTGATCTCTGGTCATTTTGAGAATAATCTTGTCCAGGAGAGCGAGTACTCGGTCGACTTCGAACGTACTCTTCAAATGCAGACGAATCCCATGCTTTGGCTACTCTCGGCCTCGCGGGTATCACAACTACGGGGAGGGGTGTATCGGAGTCTCCACGATCGTGGTCATTGTTCCTTGATTCTTGTGCTCCTGAGTGGTGCGTTGTGCTATGAGGAACGGCACACTCCCGTCGCGATCGGGCTGGAATGACCGTGATGGGTAAAACTGACTCTCTTCGCTGAGGTTCGCTAGTTTCGCTTTCCCGGTCGTGGTGTAAAAAGGATCGAAACGTGCTAAGATGTGTTTTTAGGGTGGAACGAGCCTGTGTTTTGTCCCTGTGCTCGGGCAGTGTAGGATGGCGCATATTGCCTTCTTCCGCTTGAGCACTCGCAACTTCTTGTGGAGGAGAGCCTCGACGACGCCCAAAAGGGTTGAGCATATGAAGCCAGCTGATTCCTTGTCTCAGATGAGGGGCAGGGACGGGGACAGAATAGGTACTTCTATGATCCATCTCCCTGGTCTGAGGCGGTTCAAATCCTTTCTCGGCGTCCCCATTCAGTGCCACATCAGATGTCGACGGCGATAGACTCCCGACTGAATGATGTCGTACACGGTAAACAGTACTAGCCGTGTCTGCACGACTCAGGGTTGTTGCTGCTTGAGGAGGGGCAGTTGGATGATCGTCCTGAGATGAATCTGCAGCGTGCTGCGGTCTTGCTCTGTGCTGGCGACCTTTTCGCCGAGGTCCAGTCCGGAATCTAGCCCGATTCCTCAAAGGTCTACCGATTATGCTAGCCCAACGACCGCCGCCACCTGCTTTCCCATCACTGTTCCCGTCGGAGGCATCTTGCGATGTATCAACTTCTTCAGAGGGGGTGACCTCGAGCATTTCATCCCCATCAAATATCTCTCTCCCCAAAATCCCGTCCTTTCTCTCTTCTCTCTCCAGGGCTTCAATCCGTTCCACCCACTCCCATACTACCACACTGGCCGCTGCGGCTCCAACCCACCTAATATATTCACCCCAACCAGCAACATTCGGTTTCGAGACGTCCAAAATAAAAAAGACAACGGGTATCAACACTGCGACTAAAGACAATAACGCCACCAAACAAATATTCCGCATATTGACGTGAAAGAAGGCGAATCGGTGTTTAGAAATCGAATAAAAGATGACCCAAGCGGCATAGAGCAAACTAAGCGATAATTCAAAGAGATAATTCAAAGCGGGTATGGCATCGACGATATGCCTTGGTCGAACGGTCACGCCCGTCGATTGGCCGACAGTATTGTTGAGGATGCTGAAAATCGTATCAAGCACAATCATTGCGAAACCAACCCACTTGATTATGACTTTCTCCTTATGTCGCGGGAACAGTCGGATCAACGTCTGGACCTGGGCCAGCCAGAGAAAAGTGCTCGAAATGACGCGGATAACACGAATTTCCACACCATTCACAACTTCGTTTGTCAACGCCATTGAATCCATATAGCCTAGTTCGTACTGTTCCTTGGCCACAGCGAACGAATCTGCAGTTGCGATGCTGAGTGAAATGACAACCGTCAAGGCAGCAACCTTTTGCAACCATGGGCGTCCACCAACCCCGATGACAGAGGAGCTGCCATAAGAGCCGCTGATCATGCCATGGCGACTGAGAAAAGCACCACCACGACCCCCTATAAAGAATGTTCGAGGCGTTATAAACAGCATAATAAGTAAGAGGTAGCTGATGACCGTCGCCGCTGCAACAGCGTACATCTGGGGGAACGTAGAGGCATAAAACGGTTCATGAGAATTAAGTATTGTCGAGGGATCAAGAGGTTTGGGATGTTCATGGCCTGTGCACGCGGGTTCGAAGATGGCATTTTGAGTCAACGTCAGGGCATATGTGGCATTTAAGATGATGGTGCCTGCAGCGAAAAAAAGAAAAGCCAAATAAGGGCAACAGTTAGCATGCTCAGTAGAATGGAAAGGCGGGGATAACCACCAGGAGACGGCGTATATCTATCTGCGCTAAGGAAAAGTAGTATTGACGCATACCTCCTTTGCCCAAAGCGACGGGGGAGCACCTTTTCGTCCTATTCATGTGTCTGTGGAAATCAAATACCCTGGACGGCATATCCATGACGTCGAGTAATCGGAGAAACCTAGGGTATGCGGTCTGGATGCCATTCAGCTCAGAGGGACGAGAACGCGATAGACAAGCGGTACACGCGCGACAAATGGCCGAGCAGATCAGATCCAATCTTAAAGCGGGGAGAAGCCCCATAAAATTGATCAATCAATCATCAGACCCACAAGTGAATCTTTTCTCTCTCTCTTTTTTTTTTTTTTCCTTTTTTCCCTTTTTCTTTTTTTTTTGCCCCCCTTTTTGCAAAGAAGGCGAACACGAACGACGGCTATGTCACGAAAAGTCTTCTCTGAGTGTGCCAGTCCCAGGAGTTCCGACTTTCACTTCACCACAACATGTGTATCCCGCAAACGATCGGGCCGGAGAGGCAATGCGCGCGCGCAAGCGACGGGCAGCGCGATATATCGTAGACGAAGAGCGTAGAGTCCGAACCAGAAGGCAAAGAGCGTCAGACGAGCGATCGGCCGTGCGTCCGTGGCACAGCAAAACGAAGAACTATACAACCGAGACGCAACGTCGGGAGGCCTGTACTCTCTGCAGAAGTTAGTTCGTCACGGCCGCAGCAAGCAGCAAACCTAACCCGTACTTCCGAGGATAAGAAGTCTTCCTCACGTAAATGGATCAGGTCATCAGGGAACGCTTGCAGTGCTGCTTTCTCGGCACGAGGACGGAGAGAACTCGCAGTCGCACGCTGACCCTCTGCCGGCGCAGGCGAGACGAGCACAACCCTTTCGACGAGGCGGGCACGACCAGCAGAGACAGCGGGCGATCCCCATTGGCCAGCGCCGCCTCTTACATAATTGGGCCTTTCTTTCCGCCAAGAAAAAGCCAAGTTCGGTAAGGTTGGTCACGTGATTATATTTGTGTGTGTTTGCTTAGTCATCAGTGGATTAGGCTCGGAATAAGCTTTGATGCCAATATGCCAAGACCGAATGCTGCGGGTCGGTCTTGGCATTGCTTCCCACCGATTTTGACGTATTTCCGGGGCGATGTACGTGAGTACGTGAGAACGAGAGTACGAGTGTGGGAACGGACATCAGGTTGAATCTGCTTGAATTATGGTGTTCATACCCTAGCCTTAACTCGATGGTGTAATACTAGCCTGCACTCGCTCTCTACACATCCAAGGAATCCAGTTATAGTCCAGTGAAGAAAATAACAAGCGAAAAAGGGAGCGAATACAAAAAAGGCACGCAGGAATGCTCGAGAATCCAAGGAAATGCGTAAAACAAGAACAGAGACTCCATACGATGTCAGGATTGTGGGCTGGCCGAAACTCAAATACCTGTTCCCCGGCGGGGGCTGAGGAACAACTTGAAGAACATTTTTGCAAGCTGTAGCATGAGAAGTCTAGGCACCATTCACGGAGTGTGCCTCTCCAGCCGCTTCAACGTGTTCTTCCGACCCCACCAGGCGAGGTCCTCCGCAGATAAACAGTTCAAATCGAATTCGAATCGAATCACTTTGAAGTGCTCCCTTCCAGCCACTTTCATCCGGACCTGTGGTCTCATTTGTTCGGGGGACTCGTAACACGAAAACGGACCGAGGACAAACCCCCCACAAAAAAAAAAAAAAAAAAAAAAAATGAAAAGGAAAGAGAGAACCACGGAAACAAATCGCTACAACAATCATGCGTATAGTACATTCAAGCGCCGTTTCGACCGGGGGTATATCATTCGAATCATAAGTATCTATTAAATGAGAGCGTTCGTATGCTTGTGTGACGATCACCAAAACACGGAAGATGTTCACTATGGTTAACCTCACCGGAAGGTTTGTTTCATCGGGGCGGAGGACTGAATATCATTTGACCGGGGGTCGTATAGGCGGGAACCGTGCTCCCAGGCACACCGCCAGTAAGCCGTGCGGCCTCTTCCCGATATTTGATTTCTCGCTCGTCTTGGATAAGTGTGCAGCATGTACAGCAGGATGCTCTCACGCAGTCGGTTGCTATATCGCTGGAGATACCATATGCTCGTCGAACACGAATATGTTGAATGGTTGCTAAAAGCCCTACAGTGCTCGGAAGAGAGGTCAGCAAGGGGGCTTGATGCATCTCTTATGGAAATATGAAAGCGAGCATGCCCATAACGTACATTGACATCCACAGAGCAATCCCATCGCAGTACACTGAGCATTGCAAGTCTCGTAACCCAATAAATTCGTGGGATCCTTCTGGTCGGATTTCCTCGACAATCGATACTGTGTCCTGCCGTATAGAATGCATGGGCAAAACAGACCCGTGCAGCAGACTCCTATGTCTCTGCAGTCACATAAAGCATAGCTCCATGTTCCCCCTCTGACCTCCTGTCTCGGATGTAGGACTTGACCTGGGGCATGATTCAAATCGCGTGCTGTGGTCCTTGTCCCCAGCTGTGATCCAGCGGCCGATATCGAGCTGGGCTTAGGGGTAAGCGCTGGATCCGGTGGAGCTAGTGGATTGCTATCTGGAGCAACACTGTACTCCTTCTGCGGGGGTCGTTGTTGTTGCATATCCGGCTGAAGCATTTGCTTGGGCGGAATGGGGCCGGGAGACGCAGGTGAAGGGCTGTAGTATTGAAGCCGTTGCGGTTGCTCTGGTTGCTGCGTTTGCCGTGTAGGGGACGTGGGAGAATCTGCGTAAGGAGCAAATCGCGCAGGATGTTCTGATAAAGGAGGTGGAGTGGGATTCATTTGAGGTTGGATGTACGGGACCGTATGAGCCGTCGTTTGCGGCGGTGGACTTATCGCGCCGGTCACCGTATATGAGAACGCATAGGGGTTCTGAGGCCCTGGCGACGATACCCTGTCGCTTTGGATCGGAGGGCCAACGGCATTGTCCGGTTTTTCTGGGTTGCGAGGCGGGAAGGTCGGCGCTTGGTACTCTGCTGGGGTGTTAAGATAGGAATAACGTCGCCCTTGTCGCTCGTTCACCGGTTGAAGGTGTAAATTCGACATTGTCGAAAAGCTGCGAGTGCGAACACCATATAGGCAGCTGGCCCGGTTTCTCTTCGCTTTCTATCGTGAGCTAAAATGTCAAGCTCCCTGCAATAAGTCAGCTTTGAATTTTCCCTTCTTGTCGCTGTTGAGTTGGAAGTCAATGAATAGTTCTCTCTCCCGAGAAGTAAAAAAAGAATCGAAGAAAGGGACAACCGTCAGCCAATTCAAAGCAAATCGCAATAATACTTACCGCGTCTACTTCGTATCACCCCCCAGGCAGATCGTTTTTATGCGACTGCTCCACTTGGATGCGACGAATAGAAAGCCTGCATCGCCATGCAGCAAGGGTTTCTTCCAATTGGCGCTGACCCAAGGAAGGCTATGCACCCATTTCTCCCTGGTCTTCGGGGCTTGAAACCAACCCTACGCAGGAGATTCGCCTAAAAATAACAGCAGAGCCGGCGTCATCCCTGCTTGGAATGCTCCGTATGGTGGAAGGGATGATAGAAGCACACAAGAGTGTCAAAGAGTTGGTAAATCTCGCTCTAAAACTTGGTGCCCAGATTCTTTTTCTTTGGGCAGAAAGATCTCGACGGAATCGATCGAGAGAGAGCCGGTGGAGACGATCAGGGTGACGTCTCGACGCTCGAGCCCGTGGTTGGGCAGGACGATCTCGGCGGCCATGCAACCCAGAGGAAGTCTGACCACCAGGTCTGTGAAACGACCAGAAAATGAGTTGTCCACAATCACATTGTGCACACTCACGATCCTCAAACCACTGGTCCATCGCGCTGGTTCAATAGCCATCCCGGCAACTCAGTCGCGGCTCGGGATCTGTTAACCTGCATGTTCCGCCTCCTTCTTACCGTTTCGTGGAATCATCAGCATGACTCGGGCTGGTGTGATTTTCCGCAGGTGTCACAAGCAGGGCAGTGCTTCCAAGAGCAAAAGGTCGAATACATAGCCAGCCAGTAGTGCACCGGCCATCAGTTAGTTCAGTGTGTTTAACTAGCTCCTCACTTTCACTTCAACTTCAACAGCATGTTTTTAAGAGCGTGGTCCAAATAACTACGCTTTAGATTCACAAGAAGAACTAAGCGACCAACTATCACTCAAGGATATTTCGACAACCTTCTTGTCTCAAATCGATCCTGCGAAGCATGTGCAATTGTATGTCACGTACCGGAATGTCATTCCACAAAATGCACGGGTGCTAGTGTGACTGAGCCTGCATAGGCAGCTCGGCGGCTAACTGCAGCCTGAACTGTCGCAGCAAGCTGCAAAAAGTGAAGTGGCGACGAGATATCTTCGGGGTAAGTGTCAAGGCCCAGCAAGAGCTGCAGGTGAGGGCTCTCTTCGTCTTGCGGGCGAAAGGTAAAAGGTTCCTCTGGCCTTGCAGCTACACGCTTTCCCGTCCTACACAGCCTCCCGGATTCTGGAGGCACTCTAGATACAGGTAAAGGAGAGTTTCTATTTTGATGGAAAGAAGGAAAATTCCAAGCACCATGGGAGCTGGTGATTGTAATGCAGCACATGAATCTTAGGAAGATAATGCTAGGATGCCTGACATGGGCGGCGGGAGTCTTTGATTTCAGAGAGGGGGAAGGAAGATGTTCGAGAGGAATGGCAGTGGTTATAGCCATGGCAGCCAAGTTAGTTAGTATCGATCAATATTTACATCGTGCGGGGGGGTATAGCAGGATGGGGCCGTGGCCCGTAGCACAAAGACTCGTCCGGCACCTTTTGCAGTAGTCCGGCAAAGAGCTTTGCTTCTGCCGATCTACCTCCATCATAAGGAAACCCCAACGCTCAAACCCATGGCCTTCCAATAGAACCTAACATCACTATTTAAAAGCCCAACGTAGGAGATAGAAGGAATAGGTTCATAGCTCATTTGTATTCAACAGAACAGCCAACCATTTTGATTTTAGGAAATATCCTTTCCCCCGATATATCCTGAATACCCAAGACATGTACTCCGTATATCTAGGAGCTATTAACAAGTAGTCTCAGTAGCTGAGAACACTCCTTATTGACCCATTCCAGATATTGCTTCCACGCATGATGTTCGCTTGACGTCTCCGCCCCAGGAAATGCTTTCTGAAGCTCACGCGTAATCCGTAACACACCCAACGAGGCTTCCTGGGCCTTTTCTAATTCCTGCTTCACAGCTGACTCCTTGAGTTTGGTGGACAAGATTACTCGGAACGGATCGCATAGCGAATCAAGACGACCTTCGGTATCCTTAGGAGCGAGGACGATCAACTTTGATATCATCAGATTGCAAAGGGTGCGGATATCCTGTTCGTCCCGGATTCCGGCCAAGATACGATCGTATATCTCGGCAATGTTGAGGATGGAAAATGCCATTTCCACACAAGTATAAAGCGTTTCGTAGGCGCTCTGTGAAATTTTTGTCAGTTAGCAAGAATTGAATATTCACCAGCGTAGCAAAGGTCGCAAATACCTTTCGGAGTTCCAATCCATCGTCTACTTTGTGTTTAAATGGGCCCATCTGGACTTCCCGTACCAATTCAGGTTTAAGGTGCGTGTCAACCATCACTGCTGGAAGTAACTGGCTGAGATGGGGGATAATGATGTCGGGTTTATTATGGATAGCCGAATTGACGGTGGTCAATGCAAGTCGATGATTGCCCAGATCGGTGTCACTGAGCATCCTGACCAGAATCAGGATGATGAGAGGCCGTAGAACATCATTGTAGGCGCTGGTAGAGTCAGCAAGCGTGTAGCGGAATGCTGATATTACCGTGCCTCTCGTGGCAGCATTTTCATGAGTGAGATATTCCTAAAGCAAATGTTAGCTCACCCTATTATTATTTTAACGGCAGACAGGTCGCTTACCTGGAGAAGGGGTATATAACGCGTGGGATCAATCAGAGCAAGCCGCCCGAGGCATTCTGCGCCCACGACATGGTTATCTTCGTCATCGGAGGCGGCAAGCAAAATTTCCCAGAGTCTTGTGGCAAATGGCGAGACATCTGCACGAACACTCTCAGGGTGCTGCAGTATTTCCCTCAATGAATGCAGTAATAGATACTTCGACGAATTCTTCTTTTCCAGTTCTGCGAGAATGACTGGCAAAAATGTTTCGATATTACTTGCACCCACGCTACCAAGCGCGACGGCTGCAGAAAATCGGACCTTATCCGATTTGGACTGAAAGTTAGAAATAAATAGATCGGGTGTCAGGGACGAGTCCAATCCTAAGAGAAGGCCAATCTCTCCTAAGACCGCAAGAGCGAGACATTTTCTTTGGACATCTTCCTGTGTTTGAAGTTCTTTTAGGAAATCCTGCGCCCTAACGCCTATCTGCGATCCTCCGTACACAACCAGGCTTCCAATTGCTCTTCCCACAATTGAAGGGTCCCCGTTGACACCAACGTTTTGTAATAAGGCTTTCATGAATGTAGCCCCGGCACCTTGCTCTCCGATGATCCGGACAAGGTGCAGGTATACTTTCAATGCCACTCCAGTCGGGGATCCCTGAATAACGGAACAAAGGGCTTTGATCATGTTTTCATCCACCAGTTGGTCCGCATGGCCAGGAATGATCTTCGATAGTATGACCAGGGCGGGAGTAAGGAGGTGAAGATCACTAGCTGTGAGCAGCGGGAGGAAACTGCTCGCGAGATCCTGAACTGTTTTTGGATTATAATGTTGGCGGCAATGCGGGTTTATAGTCAGACTTTTAAGAGCTCCAATGGAAGCATCTCTTAGGGCACGGTCAGCTTTCCGCAATTGCGTGGCAAGTTCTGATGCTACTTCAGCCAACCATCCTGGACTAAGATCCGCATCACTGGATGCAAGCATGGCAACATCATTGATAGCACGAGCAGCTGCAACTCTTGTTGTCTCATTTCTCAAGCGATCAGAGAGGATCGAGAGGCCCCTCGCTCTCTGCGCAGGCGAAATGAACTTGGCTCCTTGTGAACCAGAGGTTCGTGCGAGGAGGACACCAAGAACGTGAATTGCACGCTGGCGCACCTCCAGATCAACACTATTATCTGTTATCTTCTCAGTAGCCACATCATACAGTTTCTCTAGCTGCAAGCCAAGATCTTGATTATCCGGTGAGACGCGGGGAGGTGTCATGGCTTTAACAATCTCTTCGATGGTACCGAGAGCTTCGCCTGCAACCTTGTAGTTTCTTTCATTGACGGCCGCCATGACACCTGGTACCAATGCAATCAAGAAAGGCGGCAAGGCATTAGACATATGTGTTTCTGCAATCGCCGCAATCAGACTAAGAGTATCGATTTGCAGATTCCCGGCAGTGACAGATGTTGTGCCGGCAGACAGGGAAACACCTCCAGTGAAAGCTGAGCTTTTCAATGCATCGGCGATGGGATCCTCTATCCGCTGAAGGAAATCAGCAAGGCCGCCATAACGTGCAAGAGCTAAGGACTTTAGTAAGTTGATAGCAGCTTGTTTCAACGGTATGGACGCCCGCCTCCATAATTTCACCAGACCCTGAACAATCCCTGGCGTTAACTTCACAACTTCACCGATAGGTCCCGTTTGCGGAGTCGAAGGAGCAATCGGAGGCCTATCCATAGCCGAGGAAACATGAGTCTCAGGTTCATAGTCTAATATACTCGCATCGCTATCCTGTCGCCTCCTTTTGCGGGAATTGCGAGCGTGGGACTCGGATGTCATGGGAGCAGCGCCCATGCTCGCAGATATTTCGCTAGCTTTCTTAATGAGACCGGTCAAAGTCGAAACCACTTCTAATTTGACACTTTCTTCTCTTTCCTTGTTAAATCTTGCAAGAAGGGCCGGCGCTATTTGCTGATATACGGTGTCGTCGTCTATCGGTCGTGTTGCACTTCGACCCTGGGTTGAAATGACACTAAACAGCAATTTGGCGGAACAACGTCGAACTTTCCAACTCAAATCGTCAATATCGCTGTAGCCCTCTTCTTCTTCGAAATCCTCGTAGGCATCATTATCTTCGTCCGGCTCTTCGGTAGCGCCATCATCACTCCCTTCATCCTGAGTTCCACCCATTTCCTCGTCCTCAAACTCCGCGACGTTGGGGTCATATTTGAGATATCTCAGGGCAGCGGCGATCGAATCCAGCAGATAAGGCTGCATGTCATGGGTGCAAAAAGTAACCAGTGTGTCAAGCGCTACCAATGCTGTCTCACGTAGCTCGTCCTCCTTGGGATCGTGCTCCCCGGAATCCGACTGGTCTTCTTCCATCTCGTCAAGTTCTTGCTCACTGACGGCCGAGAGCACAAACGGGGCCAGCGTTTTCAAATATGGACCAAACCTGGAAGGAGTTGACCTTCCGAGCGTAGCAACGGTCGCAATGAGATGGCGCCGGCTGTTGATCGTACCATGGGGAGAGCGAAAGCCTTCAATGAGCATGGAAACGAGATGGCTGAGCTGATCATCAGAAAAGTAACCGGCGAGAACTGAAATCGCAGAAAACGCTCTCTTTGTGGCCACTGTTCCCGCGCTTTCGTCTTCTATTATTCGAAGCACGGTCTCTTGCAGCTCTCCCAACTGCGATTCCGCCAGCAATGGGCCATATGAATTCACCATCTCGACCAGAACGTCGATCGCATCGCTGTTATAACCTTTTCCGGTGCGATTTACTATCATGGACTCCACACCTTTGGAACCCACCAAACGGGGGATGAGGATTGTGGATATCACGGCGTAGCATATTTGAACCTCAGAAGAGACTGCCGCGCCGACTGTTGGACGAGGTAGGGCAGTTAAGATGCTTCTGAGAGCTGTGTTTGGAACGGACGTATCAATTGATACCGACTCCGTCAAACGGCACAGATGCTGTAGCAGGTAACTAAGGACTTGATCCGAAACGCGACGAGCGAGGGGAGAGAAGCTAGGAGAACAGAGTAAGAGTCAGAACTCACAGCGAAATCCTGTGACCGTTATGTTCGGTAAGGTTACCCACCATTTCAGGGCTTGGTTCTGCACCTCCCCGTGCTGGTCTTCCAGTGCTTTGAGAAGCCCCTCGGCGATTCTTCCAAGCAGACGCGGGTCTTGCGGAAGGAATGATGAATTTTGGTTCTCGAGGATTCCATGAAGGTCGTTCAAGGACATGTATCGAAGGTCTGGATCTGGATCTGTGAACTTCTGGAGCAGCAAGCTCAGGTTGTGTGCCACCGCTTTCCTTTCCATATTGGACAACGGTGAAGAGGAATAGAATGGTGAATGAGGGGTAATCAAGCACGTAGGAAATCTGTGAGTGCCACAGAGACTGTCGCTCTAGTGACAGAGGGCATTCATGGATCTCTCCCTCTTTAGGGTGTTAGGATCAAAAGGATCGGAGAAAACAAAAAGTGAGACGTTGTTTGCCTGCTGTGAGCTAAGTAAACAAAGGTGGGATGCCTACCAACCAGTTATGACATCGTGCCTTTTCTCCAAGTCAGTCTAGATAGCACTGCGTCAGATTGTGCAGCTGGCCAACTCCACGCAGCGCTGCAACACAGGACCTTACCACAAGATATTCTGAGCTGCAAGACTCTTCCCATCTGCATTCCCAAGTCCTCGCAGAGTGATCACCGTCCACTCCTCTCCAACCGCCGTCCCCGGTCGATTGTCATCCCGGGAACAGCGCCCAACGATGTAGTCACGTGATAGCATACCCCAAGAGCTGTTCTTACGTAAAGACGCCGCGAAGCCGCAAAGCCGCTAAGCCGCTAGGGCGAAAACAAACTGACATCTCGCCATTTCCAACCTCCCGCACCCGAACCTCACTGTCCTCAATTCCAGTCAATTGCGGTCTATTTGCTGTCCGACCCCCCTTCTCCCTCTCCTTGCTCCCAAAATATAAACACAATGGTCCTCCCACGCTCCGCAGCTGCCTCCTTCCGCACACTATTCTCCGCACAGTCGAGAAGAGTAACCGCCCGCGCCGCGAGATCCTCCCGGGTTTGGCAGCAGACCAGCCGACGAGGATATGCTACCGAGGGCGCGGAAGCGCACCAGCCTGGCAGTGACATTCCATGGTAAATTACACCGTCCCTCCAAAATTGGAGAAAAAAAAAAAAAAGGAGGAATTCAATTCGTTCAATAATTGCCAATTCGCACTCATCCCCAACCGAAGAACGTCCGCCCGCCAATCGGGGCGATTTTCGGGGACTTTGGCAGCAATTGATCTAGAAGAGCATGCTAATTCTCAAATTGAATGATACGCATACAGGCTCATCGGTTCCGTTGCCGTAACCGCCCCATGTGCGTATTACCTTTGGCAGTCCGGTCCCTCCGGCGAGTCCCACGGCCACGGCCACTCCGAACACGCATCGGGAGAAGCCCACGCCGAATCCCATACTGCCCCCGCCGCACCAGCCGAATCCGAGCCCGAGCCCGTGAAGGCTGAGGAAACAGCTGAAGCCACCGAGCCAGCACAAGAGCAGGAGACCGCCGCCCCAGCTCCGATTGCCGAAGAGAAGGAGGCCGATGCTGCTGCTGCTGCTGCTCCTGCAGCTGAGGAGGTGCGTATAAAAGCTGGGGAAAATTCTCCTTTTTACAAACCCCCCCCGTTCATCCTTCCCAAAATTCCCCTCATCCCGTCTAACATTTCCCCCACAGCCCGAGGAGTCTACCTCTGATAAGCCTGAGGAGAAGGCCGCCGGTGCCGAGGAAGCTTCCCCAAGCGACAGCGAGCCAGCCAAGACCGAATCCAAATCAGAGTAAAGCGTAGGACGATCCCACGAAAGTCGTTTTGCAAAAACCAAGGCCGAAAGACTTGGGAGCTCTCATTTCTATCCGTGTTGACCCATTCCCCCGGAGGACCCTATCAGGTGAATGGCGTGGGAAATGGTGTGGCCCTGACACCATTGTTTTGGCTCTCCTTTTCTCACTTGTAGAGGGAAAATGAGAATAGTCAAGAAAGAGGTGTCTGTATCAAATAAAAAGGGCATGGTGTGATAGAAGATGAGCATGTACTGTACAGATAATCGTGTAATTCACAGGGAAAACAAAAACAATTCAGCTTGTGTTTTTTTTTTTTTTTTTTTTTTTTTTGTGCATTAGTTTCAATTCCCAGTGTGTACCCTTGTATTTCAGGAGTTATTTCCAGCAAGAAGCTCTCTGGTCCATTAGGCCCAGTGCTTCCACTTCTCATCCTAGTATGCATTATGGTGACATGTATGTACTGTACAAGCAAAGACAGCCCTTGTCTACAGGCAAAAATCCTCTTAGGAAAAAGAAGGTGAAGAAAAGGAAAATTATTATAAAAGGCATAATGCGAAAAAAGTGTTATCAGGAGAATCAAAGATAGGAGTCCCCAAGCCCACTTCTCCGTGCGAACATCATTTCTGGGAAAACAGATCAGATCACATCGGCAAATAGAGAAGAACAAGGTGACAGGTTGAATGCAGCAGCAATGGTATGTTCTTCTGTATGGAGTACACAAAACAAAAAAAAAAAAAAAGAAAAAGAAAAAAAAAAGGGGGTTTCAACACCCAAAGTATTAAAAATAAGTATCCAAATGCCTAGGCAGAAAACAAGACACAGAGATAAGGAACGAAGTTCCAGTATGTATTTTGTGCATGACCAGGACCAATATCAAGCAAGAAAATAGTCCAGTGCAGCTGAATCATGGGCAGAGGAGCTGCGCAGAGATTGGGGAAGAAATATGCAAAAATAAGCCCATTCTAACCAAAACGCCTTGGCTTGACCCAACAGCATGCAGACATGAAAGCATGGGGGCCGCAGATGAACTTGATGGACCAGGTGGAATAAGAACCATCAGAACCTGTGTGATGGTATTCCCATTATGGTCCCAAGTAATCAACCCAAAAGAGCTTCTTAACGTTGATATGTATGCAAACTCCGCCCGATAGGCTCTAGACAGTGGTCATTAGGTTTCATCTCAAAAATCATTTTTACTTCTTGCCATTCATGGTGGGTGTCGAGGATTCAGCATGTGAATGTGCCGTAGAGCCAGTCGCACGGCCATTGGTAACACCGTTAGAAACTTCATTCTCCTTATCAGCATTTCTTCTCCTAACTGATGTCGGGCTGTTTCCGTTAAGTAATATCGTCGGGACGGTTGTTGAACCATTATTAGTTTTGTCGCTGTGAGGTGTATCCTCGACTTCCTCCTCTTCCTCTTCATTATCGCTCCGTTCATCCTGTCTGATGTTGTTGAGAAGATATCGCTTTGCGATTCGAAGAATCAGGAAGAGCCAGAACAAGTTTATGGCCTGCAGCGCGCTCAAAAGTGCAAATGTAATATACTGACTGATCCAGCATTTGTATTGCTGTGTTTCCCAATTGAGCTCGAAGGGCCCGACAGTTCGAAATTCCGTTAAGACAGCCCAGATAATGCGGAGATTCAGGTAATGTCTCATGTAAATCCAGATGGCAATAAACATCGCAAAGTAAGGGCCCATGATTGCAGAATCCAAATAATTTAGTGTTTTGGAAGTCTATTAGATTTAGATCAAAGTCAGCTTCTTAATAAAAGAACTAAAAAGAAAGAAAAAAAAGTTCAAGGAAAGACCAGATGATGCACTTTCATGCAACAGTTAAGACTTACCGCAAGGAAGAAGTCCGACACATCATGTGTAATATAGACAGCCAGGCCGATATAAGTGAAATGGAAACGATAGCTGAGCGCAATCAACGCCAGTGTGACGATGTGATGTCCCACAAGCTCTTTGAAATCCTTCCTAGGTTTCTCCAGCTGCAAAACCAAAACGATGGCCTGCTGGGCCCAGTAGCTTGCCTCAAGCAAGTAATACGCCTTGAAATCGGCAGTGTGCGTCTTGTGGGGGAAGCCTTCGAACATCGCCGTCGTATTGAAGTACCATATCTTCGTGCGACTCATGACATATAGACCGTAGGGCCCGAAGATGGCAAAGTAAACAGCGGTGTAGAACTGTTCCATGAAACGGGAAGTTTTCGCCTTCCCCTTTATTCCACAGCGACGCGCCAGCGGTTTGATCATCCTCTGCATCAAAAATTCACGTGTGAAGGAGAGCACGATTGTGTAAAACACCACAAAGGCCATGTCGGCAGGGCCCTTCCCATACATCACCGGTCCATCGGGTGTTTCAGGAGGAAGTGGATAGGAGAGGAAGATGAGCTGGTGTATGGGATTGGAATCATTTGGATTCACAGCGTAGGCGGAGAGGATAACTGTTAACAGGACGAGAGGTATGACCCATGTGTGCTTGAGGCAGAAGTTCCCCCAGCAGCGAAACACCGAGCGCGCACGACGCCGCTTCGAGTGGGGAGCGACATTTGTTTCAGAAAATGATCGCGGAGATCGGCCCTAGTGATCTAGGTTAGGAGCCCTGTACCGAAGGTCGAGCGCTGTCGGAAACATGGTGCTGCGTAGTCTGCCCTCACCTTGTACAACCCAGGGGGATCCGAAGCGGCGAGAGCCATGGCGGAAGGGTAAGGAAAGTGGTGAATTTCGCTCTTGTATGTTGCTTCCCGTTTTGCAGTCAGCTATTCGTTAAGGTCCAACGCATGGGAAGCGGAGAAGGGAGGGTTAAAAAAAAAAAAAAAAAAAAAGAGAGAGAGAGAGAAAATGGAGTGGAGTATTTTGCAGGAGAACTGGAGAGAAAGGAGGACTCCGATGCCTTTTCCCCGTGAAAATTACGGGCCAATGCTTGGCTCTGCCTTCCCAAGCGTCCCCCTCGTGAATCGAGGAAACGGCAGACCTCAGAGAAGAAACTAATCAGCGTCCGCTTCTTGTGCCCTCCACCACAGAATCTTCCCGCAACAAGAGCCAGATGCATGTAGCCGGCCGGCGTTTTTCGAGGGTTTGGCGGAAAAAGGCAGAGCTTCGCCGGGTTACCGGGAATCTTAATTTTTATTTTTTTTATTTTATTTTTATTTTATTTTATTTTGTATTTTTTTTTTCCCTGGTCAGGGGGTGTTTGTTTTGTTTGGCGTTTCTCGGAACCCGGCGTTAGTCTTTTCCTGGAGATTCCCATTGGCCGAGAGGAGTGGGCCGCCAAGATCCGCGCTAACCGGGCTAGCCGAGCACGTGAAAATCATCATCGTCATCATCATTTTTGCGACTACGGAGTACGGAGTACATAGGAAGATAATTGAAAAAGCTGCTATATGGAGTACCTATGTATATGCTATTGCTGTCTGGTACAACGACACCCGCAATACACATGCTTCTGCAGAGGGATGCACTGCTGCAGCTCCCCATGCCAAACGAGACAAACTTCTCACTTCTTCCAACCCGTCTGCATGATCGGCAGTTCCGCCATGTGCAGCTTCGCCGCTCCGTAGGGCACCAGCTTCACCTCAAACGGCTTACCAATGCACTGTCTCTCAGACGCTGAAGGAGGGTTTGGCGCGTGGCCATGACTCTCTGTCAACTCCCATTTGATCTCACACACGGTGGCTGTTATGCTCGTGACCGCCTTGTGTTCGTCCCATACTGGTTCGGGCAGCGGATCCGTGGGGTTGGACATGGCCTCAAAGCGCAGCGTTGTCGGATCGATTGCCAATCCCCATTTCTTACTCGGGGTCATTGTGTACTCTCGTGCAGGCGAGGGAGCTTTCGGATAGTTCGATGGCTTGTAGGTCACTTTGGGATCAAGGGGAACCGCGTAGAGGAGCGAGCCATGGTAGATGGAAACGGTGCTGTTGGCACGGGGCACAACCCGAATGTCTGTGTCCAATGAATACCTCAAGATATGTCTGCCGGCAATCATGGCTATCTCTTGCATGCTGTTGTCGGGATCGGGTAATAATGGGGTCGGCATGCTGCCATCTACGGACGTCCATGACTTAGCCTTGTTTGCCCACTTCGGCACGCGGACATAGAAATTGAAGTCTTTGTCGCTTTCGATGCGGTACCAGAAGGCATTCCCAAACGGATACGAAGTATCACACGTTATCTTGACCTTGGCGCCAGACTTGGTGGTCGTTTCGACGGAGCCAGGTCCCAGTAATGCATGGGCAATCCCTTCCTGGTCCAGCCAGACAAACATGTTGGATATGAACTTCGGATATCCCTGCGGGTGGTTGACCGTACAACAAGGGTAGTTCGGTTCCAGGCCAAATGTCTGGGCGTTGCCTCCGACATTATGCCACGGGGGGTCCCGAACGATATGGGATATCGGCTGGTTGGTCTGGGCGATGTACTGATGTGCCCACCAATCTGTGGTGACCATCACGGGAAGGGCGTTGAACGCGGCCAGTTCACACCGATCAGCATAGTCACCTTCCGCCGTCGCCTGGTATAGATAGCTGAGGGAGTACATCGTCTCGACGACGGAGCAAAGCTCAACCCCGCGGGCTGGACTTAGACCTGACAACCGCTCGTCGGCAATGACGCCTCCAGATGGGGTTCCATGGTATAAAAATGTCCAGTCAACGCCTCTGCGTGTGGCATCGAGTAGACCATCATCATGGGTAAATCTTCGAATGACAGCACTAGATTTGAGCCCCTGGCCGACGTTCACGCCGTGCTCAAAGTGATAAAACTTGGCTGTAAAGTTAACCGGAAGCGTATCCAGGTCTACCTTGGGATATACGTCTTCCGTGTACCACCAGGACCAATCGTGCCCGCCCTGTCTGAAGAACTCCATGCATTCGAACAGTAGGCCTTCGTTACCTCGAGGGTCCCTCTCATAGATCCACTGCAGCACCATAATCATATCCGCCGCGCGAGACCGGCCCCACTGCTCATTAAACTGATCACCCGGGTGCGCAACCAACCCCTGTAAATTATCAGAAAGCATCGCGTGCATCACTCCCAGAAACCGATGCATCGCAACGATGATGCGCTCCGCGATCTCTGTCCCCGCCTCCGCCTCTGCCATCTGCGCCAATCCCATGAGTAACGGCGTCCGCGCCCAAAAATTACGCACTCTCATATCCTTCTCGGGACCCAGCCACCCGTCCTGCTGCTGGCGATCAAGTATGAACCCCGCAATGCGCTTGAGCTTATCCAACAGGACCTCATCGTCCGTTTGGTATGCCAGCGGCACGGCACCGTTAAACCAGTAAGGCAACGCCTCGTTGAGATCGCTGTATTCTCGCTCGCCGCCGAGCCAGGGACTGTAGCGGACAACTTGGTAGAAATCAAATTCGTGGCCGGCGAGACCGCTAGCCATGGAAGTTACCTGTTCGAGGAGCCAGCCTCGCGGTTTAATTGAGCCGAGTGGGAGAGGTTCGAATTTGAGTGGCAGCAGTCCCGCAGTTGGTGTGACTGGAGCGAAGTCAGCCAAGGGGGGTCCTTTTGGTGTCAAGCGAATAGAGCTCAACTTCAACCTGACCCATGCGGTAAAGGACAGCAAGAATAAAAGAAAAAGATAAAGATCAATAGATAGATTCAGCAGCAGCAGCAGAAAAAATCTAGCACAACGTACTTGGGTTCTGGTCATCATATTCAGGAATCATTGATTGAATTTGCTCATGCTCATCAAGCCGTGTCTCACAGACATGGCCACCCCATTCACGTAAATTGATGCGGGAGAACATCCTGGCGAGTTGAGCCCAGGAGAATATCAGCAAAAGACAAGCAATCAAGTACTTCCATCCCCATGAGGTAGTGGGAGATGAATCCATGATCATCCAAGGTACAGAGCAACTGATATCTGGACGTGGTTTGGCCCGCGGGTTGAAAAGCAGGTTTCAAAGAACGGGGAGGGTCTGATTCAGTTCAAATAAACTATGGTATGTATGTAGATGGTGGTTTATCCCCTCCCTTGCACGCTCTCCATCACCTGGACAGGAAAACAAGAAAGTATCACAGTGGTGGGATGCAGCCTGGTTTGATGGGCCAGGTGATGCGGTAGTGGTGTGGTGGTGGTGGTGGTTCAATATAACACGGGTATTGGCCTTGTCTTTTCCCGGCACAGGTCTCTCAGCAAGGCGCACTGGGTCATGGAGGAGGCCGTAGGGAATGAGCATGGGTTGATCCAGCTTTGCACCTGATGCTCTGAACCTATGATCAGGCAGACTGGGTTCTGTATCACAGTGTCAAGGCGGGTTCCTGCCAAGCCAAGCCAAGATTTCCCCAGAGTTGCACCCTCAACCGTTTCTGTGCGGATGACCCGCAACAACAGCTCAGAGCTTGGACTACTTGTGTTGTTATAGCAAACTTATCAGCCACCTGTCAGTGGAGCACACAAGAAACTAACTTAATACTGTGGATAACTCTGTGTTCACTTAACACAAGGAAGCAAATAAAAGACAAACAAGCCAGAGAATCTGAATACAGTTACACATTGAAAAGAACCATGACACAAAAAAGCAAAACCTCAGTTACTCCATTGCTCAAAGAACCGTTAGAAGCAGAATTCTCAGCCTGAAATACAATGTCCTTGGCTAATGCCAATCTCAACTAAAGTAAGAAAAAAGAAAAGAGAAGAGAAGTATAGCAAACTCCCGGGTCCCACCAAGCCGGATTTTTGTAGTGGTGATACATTACCAGACTACCGCATCTTAATTACCCGCTCCACATATATATAGAGAGAGAGAGAAAGAGAGGGAGAGGGGAGAAAAGCAAAAAGAAAAGGAAAAAAAAAAAACTTCAAAGTCGGATATCGATCAATCACCCTTCCGCGTAGTAGAAATATGCTCAGCAGCCTGCTTGTCCTCTTCGTCCCTAACACCGGTCTGCTCCAAGTGGGCAGCCTTGCGGTAATCGACCCTAGTTCTCCAAGCCGGAGTCCCGACATAGGGCACATCTCCCTTGGTGAAAATATTCTCAACCTCTTCTAGTGTCTTGCCTGCCGTTTCAGGGAACATGAAAAAGACATGGATGAACATGGTCGCGCAGAAGACGCCAAAGAGCACATAGGTGCGCCATTGGATGTTGACGAAGGACGGGGGAACGAAGTAGCCGAGAGCAAAGTTGAAGGCCCAGTTGGCGGAAGTGCAGAGAGCAACGGCCTTACCACGGACACGGAGGGGGAAGAGCTCTGGTGGATAGATCCATGAAACGGGTCCCCAGGTGGGCGCGAACGAGGCGACGAAGAGATAGGAGCAGGCGATGATGACTTTGCTGGGAGGTCCATAGATCTGCCACGATTGAGCTTCAACTCCGCCAAGACCGCCAGGAGGAGCTGGAGAACCACGGGTGGCGAGAACGGCGGCATTGACAAAGAGCCAGGTCATCATGAGGAAAGCGCCAACAAGCAGTGTCGGGCGACGACCCCAACGGTCAACCCAGAGAAGTGCGGGAACAGTCATGCCGACGTTGATGACGTACTGAATGCTGCTGGAGAGCAGCAAGGTGTTACCAGTAAGTCCCGCCATAGCAAATACGTACCTAAAGAGCTCTCGTTAGCATTCCTTCCACATACTCCAGGGTATATCCGACTCACGTAATGTAGTACATCATGACGTTCATTCCGGTCAACTGACTCCAGATTTGAGTGAAGACGCCGACATGAGTGCGGTTAATCATGTTTGGTTTCAAGAGTTCCCAGTAAGTAACATCGGCATTTCGTTTCTCAAATTCACACATGTCTCGGATTTCCTGAAATTCGCGCTCGACGAATGGAGAGCTTGCATCGCCTTTGCCGTGCACCTGAGCGAGGACGGCACGACATTCATCCCATCTGTCTTTACGGGCGAGCCAACGGGGCGACTCCGGCAAGAAAAGCATACCAAGGAAGAGCAGCACGGCAGGGATGGCCTGCAACCCCCATGGGATACGGAAAGCAGCTGTTCCCTTAACAAAGCTGCAGCCATATGAAATACTGAAATACTGTCAGCAAATTTCACGGCGGAGCTGGAAAACCCAGTTTAAAAGCTTACTAGAACATAATCATGATACCCCATGTAATAGCCCATTGCTGGCAGCCGACAAGGCGGCCACGCTTGGATGGCGGCGCGAGCTCAGAGATATAGACGGGAACTTGCGCCGAGCAAATACCAACACTGAAACCGTTGATGATACGGCCGACAATCAACATTGCAATATTCTGGGACGCACAGACGATAATGGAGCCAACGACCCTATTATACGGCACCGTTAGTAAATGAGTCCACCCGCGAAAGGATGTGATGCGCCCTACCAGATGACGGCACCAGCCATGATAGCTCTCTTACGGCCCATCCAGTCAGAGAGGAAACCAGAGACGAGAGCACCCAACCACGATCCACCGGCCATGGAGGCAGTGATACCTCCTTGCACATCAGGTTTCGGGCCACCGCAGTCTCTCCCAGGCTCTTTCGGGTACTGGTCAAAGTAGCAACGGTACTGTTCCGTTCCAAGAATAGCGGACATTGACGAGATATCGAAACCGAAGAGGCCGCCGCCGATGACCGCGACGGCGGCGATGAAGTAGATATTTCCCGTGAGCATTTTATCAATCAGATCATCCGGTGCGCTATACGATAAACTCAAGAGGTTTTGCTGTACGGGGACGGTCACCTCCTATTCAGGCTAAGAGGGAGCAGTAGGAAGCGGAGTATTGTCAGCAAGAGTAGTAGATGGTCTGTGAGCAAAGAAAAAAAAAGAGAAAAAAAAAAAAAAAAGAGGAAGAAAAAGCCAAGCTCAAGATTAGAACCTGAGAAGCAAGCTCCCAGATATATACCTAAGGCTTGCAACGGTAAGCTGTGGGGATCTATGACGATCACTTTCCGCCGTTTATTATTCTTTTGCCATACGATTGGCAGGGTGGCCACCCCGCAATGGGCTACCTAAATACGTTGTATCAGTGGGTTGGTAGGTAGGGCAAAGCGAGGGATGGTGGCATGACTAGCTGGCGGGAGAGAAGTCTATAGGCTGGTTGGTGGAACGAAGAAGGTTTGCAAGGGTATCAGGGCACTTCTTCTCGCGGCCCAAGGGACAGTCTGCAGGCAGATGGATTGGAAGAGGCGTCAATGTCATTGAACGGCCGGGGCAAACCAAGGTTACGAGGAAAACTCAGGCTGAGAGCAGCGCAGAGGAAAGCGCTATCACCCGTCGAGAGCTCGCTGCCCCTTGGTTTGCACGGGCTGCACAGGGCGGTTTGCACCAGTTAGTCTGGCGAATTTAGTTATTAGTGTTCCACGGTAAGTTTGCCGTATCCATGGAAGCCCACACGGCTCCCCAAGGCCAGCCTGGTGGTAACTTTCAAGCAAGCCCACCAGTTCTGCTGGGAAGACATCATACATGGCGGTAGAGCTTCTCGTTTGTTGGGGCCGAGTTGAAGGGCTATCCCTTCTACCTGCCTGTGACATGGCCGGGTGACGGTACGAGGGCCCGTCCATCGTGCAAAGTACGACATCCATGCGTGAAGTCGACGTTGATGGGAGCGACGGACAGCCGATCACATACCTTGCCGTCTCGGGTCTAGTCAGTCAGTTAGCGCCGCCGGACAATTTTTTGCACTCTAACCACGCCAAGAGATCGACGTTCGGCTTGTTCCATCAGCGTACCAGATACCTTCATCTACTGTACCTTGTGACGGGAATACTCCAGTGGATGCGGACCGATATTCGACGAGGAGTTCTTCTAGAATGATGGCTAACGGTCTTAACCCGTTCTGCTGCCTACCAATAGATCAGTCATGACCCTTCGTTGTTCCCGTGGTTTGGAGCAAGCGACCACGGTTCTTCTGGAAAGGTTACACAGGCTCCCGAGCGAGAGAATAATGCTGGTAGTTACGGAGTACAGTACATGTTTTGGATACCAAGTCCTACTTTGAGTTGAGCACCTTGTCAGACAGCCCACGCGGAGATGCCGAAGCCAGCTCGAAATCCCCATACACCCAAGACCTACTCCCTCTTTCTCGGAGTGAAAATAGCCCACTAATCATTCAACGAGTCTGCACTATTCACATGGATGAATTTGCACTTTTGAACGTTGGCTATCCGAACACGCATGCCATTTAAGATCCCAGACAACCCATGTGTGTACGGGCCACCCAACTCACTTGCCGCAAAGGATATTCTCACGGCGTGTCACAAGCCTCGCGAGCATCAGAACACCCAGTGCGGCAGATCTCAGCCCGACACCAACTTGCTGGAATAGTGGACATGTCAATCCTTCCCGCGTAATGGACAGTGCACACATTCCCAACTATCGAGAATTATTGGCAGCAGCCCTCATTCCCACAACCTCCACGGATGGATGGATGGATGGATGTATATGGGCATATGCGCGCATGGTCCCTGTCATCAAATATCCGGTCAACGTGGATGCGGTAGGCTCACCATTGTCTTCTTTCGCCTCCTGAGACGGCAAACCCCGCATCGACTTTCCATTTGCCGGTATAAATAGGATAGCGATATTCACATCCAACGCAGGCCCTCGCGTGGGTTGTGAAAAAGGTGTTGTTACCGTACTAGACGCTGATCAGATCCACCGACACTACTCTGGCAGGACACGTTTACATCGATGTTGCAGGCAGAAAATGGGTTCAGATGAGAATTCATCACCTTGTATCTCGTCCAGGTGGGTGTTGAGTGGGCCCACCTTATACCCCGTACCGTGACCGCTTCTAGCGTGTCGCCTCCCACGCGGGTTCGGTTTCCTCTTGAACACCCAAGCGAAACCCCTTCCCCCACAGCGGATTTCATGTCCTTGTTGTACAGTACATCAGGTAGATACTCTCCATATGTAGATATCTCACTTTCCAACGTTGCACATAAGAGGCATTACCTCCGTCGAACACACTGACCTCGTGAATCCGCTCAAGTAGAAGCTGCCACTGTAGCCTGCAGTATCGCAATTTTGCATTTTCTCATCTTTTCGAGAGAGATTTCGCCTGCCATTCCGGGGACTCGAGTAAAGGTCACTAGCTCGCCCCCACATCTCCACCGCTTTGAAAACGCAAGAATTATGTACGCAAGAACTCCTCCGTGTTTATGCATCGAATGCTGATCATCGCAAAAACTGACAAATGTCTGGCCTTATAGAAGTGGCGCTGATAGTTTATGAACATCGAATCAAGTTAGCCACATGCAACCCACCCCAAGCTTCGGAGCCAAGAGTGTGGAGCGGGGAGGAAGCTTTTTTCCTACATAGCTGGACTCGCGCTTGAGTCTTTTCGCCGCCTGCAACAGTGAACCTAGCGTTACAGCGCTAAAGAGCAGCTTATTTTTATTTTACTTTTTTTTGATCCATTTGAAAATCGACGAGATTTCGGATTGCACCAGTCAATAATGCATGAGGACTTCAGTGACTTTGACATGTGAACCCCGGGCTTGGGTGTTATTGCAAGGAAAAGTTGTGATTTGTGATATGGAAACTTCGACGAGAAATTTGTATATTTGAAGGATTTCGGAATTTGCTAGATTTCCACAACCGGATCGCTTCCCGCTGAGCTGATGTGCAGTGTGCGCTCATGCATGTGTACCTCCGTGGAGGGAAGTTTATGGCATGAAGAATTATCCTTCCATGCTCCTGTCCAGTTACTGGAATTGACAACATTTGGACTGTTACTGACCTACGACCTTAAACGCACTTGGTTGGTGCCAGATGGGACACGATGATTTCTCTTGAATTCCTCCTACCAAATCTCTGGATGATTCGCATTTAACTTCCCGCTTTAGACTATAAACTAGAATATAAGAAAAATTTACACATCTTATCATATTTTTATGGCCTTGATTTACATCACTTTTTTGTGCTTCATACTCCAGGTCATTATAACACATTATTGGCGTCCCAGGAGTTCCTGTGATGCAGTTAAAAGGTAAAGGAATTAAGGGGAGGTGGTGGCATAAGGGCTCCCTCCGTCGGATGGATCTCCTTTACAAATAATAAAAAAAAATTGCTCATCAAACAGGGGAGAAAAAAAACGGATAAAAAAGAGGCAATCAAAGTGATGAGTAGGAGGCTATTAAGGGATGAAAAAGAACAGAAGGCGATAAATTCCAAAGGAAATTCACTGCGTGTACGTATTTTTAACCCAAAGGAAGCCCACCCAACGTAGCAAATGCTAACGGAGGGGGGAAAAAAAGGGAGCCTGAAGCGCGTGTGGTAGCATGGGGTGGCAAGGATGCGATGAAAGCAATCCTCAATCACTCATGCCACGAGCTGCCACTGGGCAACTCCCGACCAGCCCATAGCCTTTCTGCCTCTCATTTCAAGAAACTCCCGCACCGTTAAACCTCTGCCATCTTGGTTATCACCATAGCTGGTCAGAGCGAATAGTGTCAGAGTTTGTCCCGGGGCGCCTAGAGTCGTTGGATCGGGGATATCTAGGGACCAGCGGTCTCCTCCACCGCCTGGGCCTGAGCCGCGAATGTATTCAAAGGGTACGAAATCGTCCTTTCGGCCGTCAATGCCGTGGATCCCGATCATGAACACGTACGGCGCGCTCTTGTGGCTGTGCTTTGTGAGAGTCCAGTGTTCGCAGATGAGCGCGAACTCGAAATGCATGGGTCCGGGTGTGCTTATGGAGATGAATTTCGAAAGGGGTTGGAAGGTCATGTCGCCAATACCATGGTCGGCAGCTACATTTGTAAACACCGTGACCGATTCATCCACCCCCTTTGGGCCGTTGGTGAGGATGTACTCTTCCCATGAGATGCTAGGTCTGCCGTCGTCGCGGTAGAACTGGGTCTTATCGCTTGGATAATGGCGCAGGCCAAAGTCATCGTTCGACATGGTGAAGCACTCTGGAGCAAAGCGTTTGATGTATGGCCGGTTATGACCGTCCACGCACCCGGCACCCCAGCAGCAGTCGATGAGTTTCCACTTGCCGTCATCGATCCGCACCACGTTCCAAGCATGGCTGGCCGTAAATGGTGGCAGAGGCGATCCCGGAGCAAGCTTTTCAAACCCATACCCTTTTCCATGTCCGCTGATCGTGCGGGCCTCTAGACCTGCGTGGGTTGCCAGTCTTTCAAAGAGTCCGGCGTAACCTTCACACACGGCCAGTCCGGTCTGTAGGGTCTGCTCGGGAGTTGATGGCTTCACGGAGTGGTTGAAGAAGGAGACCACATCGTATTCGATATTATGGTGGAGCCATGTGAAGATAACTCGAGCTTTGTCCGTGGCAGAAGGGAACGAACTGGTGAGTTGCACAGCCAGCCAGGAAAGATCTTGTGTTGGGAGTGACTGCCGCGGAAAACGTGTCGCATACGTATCAGGCCCAGAAAAGTCACGGCATTTCAAACACTGAAGGGTATTTGTAGGGGGAGGGGGAGTAGCTGGTGCAATTCGTGGCTTTGTTGCCTGCAGTTTAGATAGATCAGGGCGAGAAGAAATCGGAACCGGAGGTGGAGTCGGAGCAGGAGATTGATTGCTCTCCAACCTCCGAGAGGTCTGGGGAATAGGGGGAGGCACGCCGTTGGATTTGCTTAATGTAGCGAGTGATGATTCCTTGATCTTCTTGAGTGTCGCAGGCGGCGGTGGGGGTGGTGGTATTTTCCTCTGAGGAACACTCGGAGGGTCATGCAATATCTGATTCTTGGCCACGGATATTGCGGTTTCCGTGGTGGGAATGGAAGGCTTCGGACGTGATGGAAGCTTGGGGGCTGATATAGGAACATCCTTTGGGAAGTCTCCTCTATTGTATTCATAAGAAGGGGGAGCTTTAACATTATGGACTCCCACTTGACTCTTGCCGGTTTTCGTTTCATGTAATTGAGCCAGTAGAGTCACCCGTCCCCGACAGGAAGCATTAGGGGAGAGGTGCTTCCCGTTGGATGCGATCACGGTGTCCGAATGCTGGCCTCCAGGTGCCCTATCCCCTGCTACCCTGTTTCCATTTGCCTTCTTCGGAGGTAATGGAGGCAGCGTAGCCTCTCCCCATGCTGGTGCGCGAAGGACATTTTTGGGCGAGGAGCCCCTAGAACGGCTAGTTGCGGTGCGGTTCGTCGAAACAGAGGATGTCGAGAAGCATGAATCGCCTGATTTGCGCAAATCGGAGGATTTTCTGGGTGGCAGAGTGGGAGGCGCGTTGGAGTGGTGTGCAATCTTCCTGCTTGGCAGAGGAGGAGGAGGGGCGGACGACGGGGGTGGTGGAGCGGGTGGTTTTTGTCTCTGGGGTAGAGCGGGCTTCTGCTGCCCAGTCCTCGCTATGGTTGGAGGAGGCAAGACATCGCGCCCGCGAATCATGGTACAAAACGAATGGCCAGTTCGAAGGTGGAAACGAGCGAATCGAGGTGGGTTCACGAGATGTAGCTATGGGCGATGAAGGTACTCTCCAGAGACTCTCCTGGCCGTCTCGATGGCCTTCCAGGTCTCGGGCAGGGAGCCTATTTGGGTTAAGCGTCACACGTCAGTGTTTCGCTGTGCCGCCGCTACAGATTTAAAATCATCGAGAGGAAGATGATGGCCGGCTCCTGTATATGTATAGGTAGCTCTCGTCGCCCCGTCAAGCTTGAGCCGCAGGCTCCTTTCAGCCCTTTATATTTGTATGGCTCCTCTCCTGGTAGGGTTGTTCCAATGGATCTACATCCCATAGCCCGCTCGAAGCTCCTACGGAGTACATGAGTTAACCTTGTCCTCGCAGAAGTTTCTTTAGATACAGTACGACCAAACCCACCGAGGCTGGTAGCGTTCCCAACATTTGAAATGCGCTGAACGACTGGAGGCCTTTCGAACTCCTATCCTTGCCAGACAACCCAGCTGCGTCAAGGGCACGACCATCCCACGCTATATTGACGCAGCATCCTCCTCACTTCCATCCCAACTTTCATGCTTCGTACGGCTGAAACAGGTGGAACCATCCATTATTTGCATGAAAGCTAGTAGTGGGGTTTGGGCTTAAACTCTTTTTATTGGCTACAGGGTGCCCAAGGTACCCTTGGAGCCAATCAGAGCTCTGAATATGCTGACTCAGTGCCTGCAAAAAACCACTCAGCCGCAAATCTACAAGGTCCAAGGGGGCGGAAGTTAACCCGATACGGGCTAGCTTGGCTATTGAGGTTTGCCAAGCCACGGACCCCACCTACCACGGGCTCCAAAGCAGAAAGTCCCGCCATGCCACGCCTAAACATCGCCGTGCGATTGACATACACACGCATGCACTGCCGCCCCGCGCCCTTATTTTCTGGGCAATAGGCCCAAGCTACTCCGTACACTAGAAACACGCAATTTTCGATATGCATCCTTGAAGATTCACCTCCAAGCCCCAAGCAACCCCTACCGAACTAACCGTTACCAACCCAAACCATACCGCTAAAAATGGCGGGACGTCTGTTTTATCATCGAGCGCTCTCGGGCTCCCACTCGCAGAGCCTCGCAGTTCTTAATGTAAGAAGGCTGCCAAAAAAAAAAATAAAAATAAAAATAAAAATAGAAATAGAAAAAGAAAAGAACAAAAATGAAAGGTTGGCTGGCCCCAGAAGAGGTGTCTGTCGTCATCATGCGCGTTATGGCCATGTTGCTTCATACATGCTATGTCTGTTGTGACTCAAAGTTGTGTGAAATCACATAACAATGGCGGTTGCGGCCAAGGCAATAACAACAAAGAAATGATATTTGATCTGGTGCCTCAGTAAATCACTGTGCTCTTCGAACCACTGAAAAGTGCACAGGTGAGGACTGCAGAGTGTTTCTGCCAGTAGCTTCGGCTATGGAAGAATTAGCAGATGAGAGTAGCAGGGCGGTGGATAAGGGATAGATCTGGTAAATAGAAATAGTCTGGTAGGAGGGCTGCAATGGCAATCAAAGCCTGACACAGTTCATCATCAGAATTGATATATCCATCGGCAAAGCTGAGCTCCACAGGCTTGAAGAAGACACATTTGAAAGGTACTAATCCGGCCTTTGATAAGCCAGACCGCGAAAACCCACAGGTAGAGCGGACAAGTAAAGGACGGCTAAATCCATCCTTGGTGCTGTTGCTATTAACATTGTTGTAAAATCTACGCTGAGAATGAGAGCCCTGATCCTCAGCCAAGGGCTCAGGAATGGAGAAGTTGATGATGCCCTCAAAACATTGACTGTGACGGTGGGACGCCATTCCCCAGGTCTTACTGCAAAAACGCTTTAAAATTGCGGGCTTCAAGCGAGATCAAGAGCGGAGGTCGGGAGTCCAAAGAGTGGTATAGGGATTGAGCCAAAGCCGCCGGATGGGAATGAGTAGTTAAAGTGTTTAGCCAGTGATTTGAAGAGATGCGAGTCAAATAGTCGCCATGTAGTTATGCTACTCTTAAGTGAGAGAAAGTTATTCCATTTCGTGTTGTATTACTTGCTGTACAGGTCAGAATAAACATAGGAAAGTGCCTAGAATGCACTGCCGCTGTCTGATTTTACTAAAAACACAAATTGGAAAGAAAAGTGCCCTTGGTTAAGGATGTACTGCTGTGGGGGACAACGAGAGATGAGAAGCAGGCAAGGAAAGTGACAACCCGGTGCGAGGATTGGTAATAAATGGATGTGCAAGGCATCCCGTGGTTCTGAAGAATTAGTGTCGATCAAAAAAGGGGGTCCAACCTGCAGTTGGCGGCTGTTTCAGCCTGTTTGAAGCCGCCACCGAGTTGATGGGCCGCCTTCAACCCAAAAAACATAAGATTAATATCGTAATATAAGACCATCACTCGTCGAAGTATGGCATCATCGTAAGAATTCTCAGTCACTCCGTCTCCAGGTAAACATGGTTTTGCAATCTCATTAGACATTTTGATAAAGCAAAAGCGGCTCGCCAATGTTCTCGATCTCGGGGATCGTGCACTTCAGGTCGAAGGCTTTGCTGAGCACGATCTTGAAAATCTATATCGAAGTGGCAGTGGTTAGTTGCGCGTAACAGAAATGGGCCACCAACATCAAAAGAAGGAACACATACTTTTTGCACATTTATGCTATGACTTGTGCTGCTAAAAATCAAGCTCGCCCTCATTGCCTTGGCGAAGCGCTTGGCCTACATAAGTCAGCATAAACCCACATGGTACGAAGATGACCTTGGAAACTGACCTGAATTGAAATCTCTTCTTGGTCTTCGCGAGGAAAGTTGACGAAATGGTCATATTTAGTACCGACGAGAAGTGGAATTGCAGTTTTGTTGAATCCACGACCCTGGCGGTACCATTCTTTGATAGAATTCAATGTGCTCTTCCGAGTGAGGTCGAACATGAACAAAATAGCGACCGCATCGTTGCAGACCAAGGGAAGCATGTTGACAAATTCGCGTTGCCCACCAAGGTCCCAAATCGAAAATGTAATCTCCGTGTTTCGAATCGAGATCGTCTTCTCCATGAAGTTTACCCCTACATGACCCTATGTCAACTAACGCTCCGAGAAGGCTCGTCAGTCACGCGCGCATGCTTACCTAGCGTCTGGATATAGTCTTCGTCCCAGCTTCCTTCAACGTATTTCACCATGAGACTGGTTTTGCCGATTTGCGCATCACCAACCATGCCCACTTTGATTACTACACTGTTTTTGCTGGGAGGGCCCGACTGCGGTCTGGAGGTCTGTTCAGAATGCGACTGCGAGTATCCATATCTATCTCCACCACTCGACAAACCCGAGCCCGGGCGAGAGCTTGATTGCGGTACTTGCTGAAGTTGCTGGTACGCCATTGTAGGTGAGCTGAACCTTGACGGAAAATCGCCTTCGTGTGACGACAGTGCAGGCGCAGATTGAGCGTACTCAACGGATGGGTGGTGGGTGGACGGCCCGTTGCTATACCCGTTGCTGTAAGGTTGAGGGGAATTGGCTGGCGCTTCCTCCGTATTTGATGGCATGTCATGTTCTGGTTGGACGTTAGGCTCGGTGGTCTCCAGGGTATCGACAGCTGGCTGCACGGTTTGGACTGTATCCTCCTGCACCGATAGCCTGTCTGGATCCACTGTGGTTGTCTCCATCTCTGCAGTTCGAACGTTGACGAGATGCTTTAGTTCAGCGCGAAAAATTGGGAGTGAATCGGGCAGGAAACCGCGAACAAGACGACGTATTCAATGGCCACGACCGGTTGAAACTAAACCTCGAAGCTCAGAGGCGATTGGGTTTGAGAATCTTCATGGATGTAGATATAATCAAAATCAGCTACTCGTTCGCTGCATGGGCAATCCGATCAAGATCGCTTGTCGTCTGTACCCGGCCGAAGACCTCGGAGTCTAGAGTAGTTTAAGTGCCAACTAGAGCCCAAGTGCGGTTAGCTGAAGCGAATTAAAATGAAAGACAGAAAAAGGACAACAGTCAGAGGGAATTAAGTGCTAAAAGAAAGACAAAGCAAAGACGTCAACCCACAACACACTGCAAGATCAGGGAATGTAAACAAGCGGCAGCCGACAAGGAGGTGGAATGACGCTCTGACGCCAGTAAACCCAAAGCGGACTAGCGCGGCCTGGTCGATCCCGCAGCCAAAAAATCGAATCGCCAGCCCTATACAAATTTTCAGACCAGTACTCCGTACTATTTGCCTTGCGGTTGATTGATCGACAAGCAGTCGTTGCCCTTTGAACACCCTGTCACCGGAGACGTCTCGCGGAGGTGAAGATGGCCAAACGCGGTGTGGAAGAAACAGATGCGCTTTCCGGCGCTCTCAAGGCGGGAGAGCGGCCGATGCCTGATGCCCCGCCAAACGAGATGGGCGAGTTTGAGGACGAATTTGAGGACGAATTCGAGAGTGAAGACGAGATCTTCGAAGCTGGCGTGGACGGTCGTCCAGACGCGGAACGGGAAGAAGAAGAAAGGGGTACGTGGGCTGCCCGGGAACTGGCATTGCGGTGCGCATTCCAGTTCGCTACTCTTCGAGTGAGAATGACTTTTTTTAATGCTGATGTTTACGGCAATCAGATGCGATGGACGTGGACAAACAGACCTTCATACCCGGTCGAACAAAGTTGGCACCCGGGGAGACGTTATCGCCGGATCCTTCTACATATGATATGCTCCATACCTTGACCACGCCGTGGCCCTGTCTATCGTTCGATATAGTCCGGGACAATCTAGGTGACAACAGAAAGACTTATCCCGCTACCGTATATGCAGTTGCTGGAACACAGGCCGACAGACCGCGTTCGAAGGAAAACCAGCTTATGGTGTTAAAACTGAGTGGGCTTAGCAGAATGGAGAGGGAGAGAGGGGAGGAGTCGGACGCTGAATCGGACTCGGATGACGACTCTCCTTCGGAGCCTATCCTCGAATCCAAATCGATAGTTCTGAACTCTACGACGAACCGTATCCGCGCGCATCAGACTCCGCATTCGTCCAACGATCCAACGAAGGCCCCTCAGACCCTAACGGCCTCCATGCTCGAAAATTCCCAAATCCTTATCCATGACGTATCACCATACCTTGCTAGTTTCGACAACCCTGGTTTAGTCATCCCTCCATCCGCTTCGAAACCTTTATCTACCCTGCGAATGCATAAATCAGAGGGCTACGCCCTAGACTGGTCTCCCCTCTATCCACTTGGAAAGCTTTTAACAGGGGATAATGATGGTGCAATATACGTAACAACTCGCAGTGAAGGAGGTGGATGGATCACGGACACTCGACCTTTCACCGGCCACACTTCTTCTGTTGAAGAAATTCAATGGTCTCCGAATGAAAGGAATGTTTTTGCTTCTGCCAGCAGTGATGGCAGTGTCAAAGTTTGGGATGTTCGATCGAAATCTCGTAAGCCTGCCGTGGATGTGAAGATTTCAAACACAGACGTCAACGTCATGAGTTGGTCGAAACAAACATTCCATCTTCTTGCAACGGGTGCCGACGACGGCCAATGGGCAGTCTGGGATCTCCGAAATTGGAAGCCTGATAACAATAAACCTTCTCAGCTCCGACCACAATCTGTTGCGTGCTTCAATTTCCACCAAGAGCCCATTACTAGTATAGAATGGCATCCTACGGATGACAGTGTTGTTGCTGTTGCTTCTGCAGATAACACTCTCACTCTATGGGATCTTGCTGTCGAGTTAGATGATGAGGAAGTACGAGATGCCGGTCTGGCCGATGTACCGCCACAGTTGTTGTTTGTTCATTGCATGGAAATGGTAAAAGAGTTGCACTGGCAAGGACAGATGCCAGGAACTCTCATGGCTACTGGCAGTGATGGATTTGGGTACGTATATTGTTACCTTGTATAATTGTGGGTTTATAGTATCTTATCATACTAACTGGTTTTTTAGGGTTTTCAAAACGATTAGCGTTTAATTGGGAAAAAGTGTGACCGTTAAGACCTAGAAGTTGGAGCTTTCTGTTTGATATCCAAAAGTTGAGCAGTTACTAAACAATGGTTTTATGTTTCCAATAAAATCACTGATGTTTCTCCTGTTTGGCCACTCCTGGCTTTACAGCGTCAAGTTCACGCTTCGGTAAATATTTACAAATGTTTTACCAACAGATTAGCCATACTCCTGGCTAACTTCACTGCCTTGTATTTCTCATGCCCCTGCTTCTATTCAATGCCACTTGCCGCACATATCGGCTCACGAATCACTCAGTACACAAAGACAATTAGCACATATCTTACAATATCCAAGGCGGCCCCATCGCAAACACAGTTTCATACAAGCATTGTGGCTGTATGGTATTCATTTCACAGTCCTCGTTAAGCATTCCCGGGTTCCATTCTCCCTACCGAGGTACTTATAAAAGTAACCTTGTTGTCAAGACTCGGTTTCAAGTAATATATCTACACATGGCTTACATTCTCCCATGAAAGTCAAATTCAGATATCTATATTTATCAGCGGCTGCGGCTAACTAGTGCAGGGAATCATCTAGACACCCCTAAAACCGAACAACCCTCCAGGTGGTCCTGCCTCGTGACTCGCTCGCTAAGGGTATAAATTTTGAGACGGGCGAGCGGGTTTCTCAAAAACCACGCTGTCAGGCAAAAGACGAAGGGTTTTCTACACCCATACACAATGGATTCCTCCGAGAAATATTCAGCGCTACTAGCGAAGCAGGAGTCAAATCTGCGGGATCCCAAGACAGGTATACACTACGGGGTTGATTCATCTCTCACACGAGTAAGGGGCCCACCAGACTTCGTTACATCGGTCTCTGAGCAAGGCGACTCTGAAGGATACGCTAACGCACGAAGATTGCCGTTTGAGATCCTATATATTGTAGTATGCGAATGGGAAGATGAAGGTGCTGAGCCCAATCTCAGATTGCCCATGCGAGTTATGGATAAACAGCCAGGAGCTAACGAAAGGATCGGCGGGCTTTTATTCCTCAATAGCGATACAAGGAGACGTTCCGCCTGGACGAAAACAGACAGGGGCCAAATTCTTTTTGGAAGCCAAACGCTCAACGTATCTATCGAACTGAAGCCGGTGAAAAGGACGAAGATGGTGCAGGTTCACCGTGTAGCGAGGGCAATCAAAGCACGGATAGTCCACAAAAGGAAAGCCCGGAAGTCTCAAAATCGTGAGGATCCCCCTGAACCACGGGAGGTGCTCTCTTCTTCCAATCATAGCCATACAGCCCAGCTTCATATCCGCGGTGGCTGCCTTGGTATATGTAGAAGGAAGAAGAAATTTGAAGATGACGAGGCTGTTTCGGGCTTGCTATGGTGGGTGGCCGGCGGGAAATTGGCACCGGACGGTTCCAAGCCGACAGGGAAAGGGATGAGAGAATGGAAGCAGAACAGTAAAGGAATCTGGGATGAAGGGCGCGAAAGAGGGTTCTTTCAGGAATGTGCTTTTGTTCTTTCAAACGGCAAGGTATGTCGAAACCAGCGCCGAAAGAAGCAGCCGGAACCACCTCCAGAATCACCGGAACAACCGCCATTAGATCCGCCTACTGATCCACCAGCGGAAGCTTCAGCTGAAGCTTCAGCCCGGAACTGAGGGAGCAAAACTAAACCCAAACTCATCAAGCCATGAGTTGGAGGCTGGTTTTCGATGTAATTATATCAAATTGATCTTCGAGGGCTACGACCGAAAAGAACCGTTAAAGGGTGACGCTGGATTACTACTCGCAGAGATTATCTCGTAGCTAGCACATAGGCTCTACAGGTGAGCGTGCCATACAATCAAAACTTCATTATCCAATCCTGGATACTCCGTGCAAACATTGAAAATCATTGCTGACGCCACTGGACAATGCCATATGAGCCTCTATATACCGTTTACAATTGAATCACCGATAGTATGCTGTGCTTCTTCTGTTCTGGTTACCGGCATTTCTTCGCTTAAACGCCGCAGATATAGCAAGAGAAGATTTTCCCAGCCCAGGCCACCTGTGGCCATGACTCGTGCCGGAACAACTCTACCGGGAAACCATCTTTCCCTCCTAGTTGTTGCTTTGTCTCCACCTTCAAATGCTGCCCTGCTTGCCCGAGTTGTTCTCATACGTTTGGGCTCATTCCCTGGTTGAGAAAGAAGACCGGTAAGCTGAAGCCGCTGCTGTTCGATGCGTAGCTCTGAGGCAATGATAAATCGAATATACGGTGCAACGTCTTCCGCCATAACTGGCATTCCATGCTCAAAGGAGAGTGGCCTATGGTAGGCTTGGGTGGAGTAAGCAGATACATCAAGAATGGGGCCGAATGCCATTTCAAACATAGACGGCTTCATTACGGTCGAAGACCCGGGCGTAGCGTTTTGCAGAATGTGCTCCATTATATCTTGTTCATAATCTGCGGGAGCCAAACCAGGAAACAAATTTTCAAGCAACACGCCAAGCGTGGCGCTTATTTTACTTGATATTTCAGTATAATCTGGCGGGGAGTCTGCTTGAAGGAACTGACGGCCTTCGAGATAGTCCAAGCGTTGCTTCTCGGGTGTTGGTGGAAGGGACGTATCCAACGGAGCCTACAAGGGTTAGTTTTATTTAGAAATGGTCTCTGGGGTTGGGTAGTTACCTGGGTAAAATCACTTCGACTTCTTTCACAGAGAAGGTCAAGTGAACTCTCCATATCGGACACAAAGCTTGCTTGTTCCAATAATTCCAAATTATTGCTTCCGCTATAGGCTCTCATGATCGGCCTAATTTCTAACCAATCCACCGCTGATATATGCCATTGCCTGAGCAGTTCCGTTATGAGCTGTGTTCTCTTCTCAAGTGGATCCCCTTTGTCTACAACCGTATCTCGACAAAGCCAGTCCATACCCCTTACATATGTGTCCGAGCTCAGTATTTTCGGCAATCCAGGGTCTGACTCTAATACGCTAAACCGAGGGCGGTCAGCTATCCAATCGAGCCCAGATTTTTGGCTACCGACGGCCATCTGACACCAATAGTTCAATTGCATTATCGTTGCACGCAGGTCCCTCCCAAGGACAGTATATAAGTCAAGAATTGCTTTCGGGTCTAGCACGTGGCATTCGTTCGCACATAAAGCGGAAAGATACTCCGTAACCAAGTCTGATGGAGGCGGGCGGAAGCGAAGAATCGCATGGAACGACAAGCTGTCTATTGGAAGCATATTCTCGTCATTGCATGTCATGATGATGGGTCTTTTGGACTGCGCAATCAAGGCTAAGACGCCATTCCAAAATTGCTTATCTTCATTGAAAAGAATATCCACCTCTTCCAGAAGAATGAGAGATTGTCGTTGCTTTGTCTTTGGTTTTTGAGCTTCACAAGTGCTCCGTACGGACGGGCTTTTGCTCTGGTTTGGCGTAGCGTTCTTCGATGTTGATTTCTGTTTAAAAAAGCTCCCCATAGATGATTGCCTATCGTCGCGCTGGGTCACACTGGATTCCAGAACAGAGTTAGCGGGGATGTTGTTATCTATTTGCTTCAGAATTTGTACGAGATGATTCTGAGCCATGTCTCCAACTCGCTCGACCACATCCTTCGCACTTCTGCGGGTTCCAGCGTTCACCTCGAACACCTCAAAATCGAGCTCACGAGCAACTGCATAGACTGCCGCCGTTTTGCCACAACCAGGGGGCCCACTAAGGAGAACTGTATTTGAGAGCGGGCGTTTTTCATTTCCGGTATCGTTTGCTGACGGCGTTCCCCTTGCTCTAACAACGGTTCTTTTAGAAACTGTGACAGCTCCGGCTAGTTCATCGTCATCATCAGTAAACCCCTCAATACCCGGCTCCTCGTCACTACTAGAAACGATGAAGTCATCTAAGCCAGCTGCCCTCTTTCGTTTCTTCTTTTTATTGGCTTCTGCCTTTGGTGTTTTTGAAGCTTTAGAATCGCTTTGGCCCGCACCACTGTTGACGGTCGATACTGTAAGGCTCTGCAGCCAGTGATGCAGCAATAGCGCCTCAGAGCCGACTTGAAGGACTTTTGAAGCTGTATCTGGCGCATACTTTTGTGTCCAGGGCAATTCTTCGCAGCCTCCTTTCTCGAAAGAACTCCTAGAAGTAGGAATAGAAGATAGGAGACTTGCGACAGCGGGATGAGACAATCTGCTGTGTATTGAAGGATTGGCCGAAAGTTCGATTTCCTCTTGCCTCATAGTTCGCTTTGAAATTCGATCAAGCTTCTCAGTCATAGCATCCCTTAAAATGCACCCTTTTTCTAAAATCCTTTTGGGCTGCCTTAGACACTCCTTCACGGACAATTCCTTAGAATAAAAGCAGCCCCCTCGTAACGAGCGCGAAATGATTCCAAGAATATTTTCCGAACCTGATACATGAGCAATCGAACCTTTAGCCTTCTTTTGGTCAACTATATTATGCTCGCCCTGTTTACGATCCTGCTCCGATGCATTTTCGTCAATGCGAACCATATCAAGTGGAGGCCATAATGGCTCAATGGGGTCGCTGACTCTTCGGCGATTGAGAGCTTTGGTTGAGGCCGATGTTCTCTCCAGTGTCTTTGCGGCTGTAGGCCAGGAGCGACGAGGCTCTAGTGTTGGTTGTCTTTGTTCATTCGGGACCGCATCTTTTCCTTGGTGGGCAGAAGCTTTGCCTGCCGGTTTTGAATCTTCCACCTTTTTAGGTCCTTGTCTGGTCAAAAAGAAGGGGTGGGTAGGTTTCGGCGGTTCTGGAGGCGATTGTGGATTTTCTGTCCGTTGTTTGAAAAGGCTGTAGGTCGTATGACCACTCATAATGTCACGTATCGCACCCCCAATAAACTGCCGTGAGAGGCTCCCGGGTCCATACTTCATAATCGCTATTCTGGAAAGTGGCGCAACATCCTCTTTGGGCTTTTTGCGACCACGGCCTCGCTTTTTAAGTTCCCCTCCATTCTCACGAGTCCCCGAGCTGGCTTGCTGTATCGGTGAATTCAAAAGTTTCCCGTTGGGATTGAGCTTTAGCACGTTCTCCTTCCGAGGCGTTTCACAGAGGCTATCTTTATGGGGATCTTTAAATGCATACTTGGCCGGGGCGGGATTGACCGTTCCCTTGCGAAACGGATACCGTGCTGTGGTTGACTTCTCTTCAGTGCCATTGGATGAATAGGAATTTGGCACATCCGGCAGGTTGGAAGTGACTTCGGGTTCGACAGGAGGGGAACGTGCCGAGCCATGTCCAGCATTCCCTGAATGATCGAGGGGTGTCGTTTTCCGCCTTTTCCTCCGACTTAAATTTTCATCGTCATCTAAGGGATTTGGGCAGTCTCCGCTCGTCGAATCTAATACAATATTCGCTCTTTCGCTCCTAGGGTTATTGCTTGGTTGCTTCGGCAATGGGTCTGCGAGTTGGGGGAGTTCTGCTATCGGTTCACTGCCATCTAATGCCATGGAGTCAGCGGAACGAGTAAACAGAATAAAAGATAATATCCACACACGTTTCATAAAGAAAGGATGTAGGGTCCTTTGCTCATGTTGCCCCATGGCCTTGTGAACTACTACTGCCATCACCCGTCCAGGCATTAACTACCACATCATGATGACACAAGACGATGACGGACGGGTCGAGTCACTTCGGCGTGCAATGACAGGAGAACCAACAAGTAGACCAGACTTTTTCGCGACAATTCGGGCGGAGAATCCCTGCGCTCCGCATCAACACGGCGACCTGTACAGAGTCCACATCGCGTTGTCGACGCCAGACTGAAGTGGCTCTGAGCGCGTCACCGCGCGTTGTGGCTAGTGGCGCAGATGGATCGTGGCTTGTGTCGGCAAATCATTTCGCCGGTCCGTCACTTTTTCTTTTCCAACTGAGAAATTCAAATCCGCAGCCCGTCAACGAGCAGCCTGTCGTGGAGGCCGTCTTGCCAGCTTGGAACTCTGAAATCAAGGCCTGTGACAATGGCTTTGCAGGCGCCCTCGCTATTAGCACAATTGCCGCGTCCCTTAAGCGGAGGCACGGGCAAATGCCAGTTTTCGGAGGTGTACAGTCTCGCCGGAAGTAAGAAAAGAAAGCGATATGAAATTGCTGCTGCTATTGATGGCGAGAGTGTGAATATATACAATGTATGCCCGCTTTCTCTCGCTCCGGATTTCTAGGCTAACATTTTTGGCACAGGTTCAATTTCCGAAACTGATATCGTCCTATGCGATTCCGCCCCAATCCTCCATATCATGCGCACCTTGCTCTGTGAAAGAGAAATCCGCGGCGACATCCACGGTGAAAAGATACACATATTGCTCCATGAATAAGCCAGAGAGGCAAATTAGATGCTTTGTTGAAGAATTCAGTTCGTCGGAACGAGGTTCAGCTAATTTTTCGACCTTGGTCTCTTCCTTGGAAGACAGTGAGAGCCCAGTGGTTTTCACGACTGTGGTGCCTACAGCTCAGGCTCTGAAAGGTCAAGGAGCAGCATTCGATCTGATTACAGTTCACGAAAATGGCAGAGTACAGAAGCTATCGTCTGATCTCAAAACCCAAAGGTGGAGCATCTTGCACCCAGCGTACGAGAGTTCCGGGGAATATGAAGTTCGCACATGTTTTGTTGTGAGCTTCGAAGAGGCTCAAAAAGTCCTCTTTAGGAAAAGACAGGATTTGATTGCCTCCATACTGGGTGATGGACGTGGAATTGGATCCGAGATCTCCTCGATTTTGATGGTGGTCACGCATCCTCGTCAAGCGAAGACTCTGTTACCAAGTGAGGCATTAGTACATTTGTTCTCAATATCCCCTCATGATTGGACGAATGGCTTTGCCGCGAATGGGAGCCAACAGCTGAAGCATCTCATGAAGATGACATTACCAGACATACCTGGACAAGCGCCCCTAGATGCCGACAATATTAATTGGGTGTTAAACTTAAATCAAGCTGAGCTCTCGCTATCGTTTGATCGAGGCTATATCAGTTACAATATATCGCATTATACTCCGGAGGTAGATTCTCATATGATCGTTAACAACGCCACCTTCTCTTCTGTCATGCGAATCTCCCAGCGATTAGTTATCGGCGCAAACCAGTCAACAGTTTCCTTATATGACGCGAAATATCGATCATTGCAGGCGGATCTTCCCATAGCAGAAATTTCACATGTCAGCTCCAACAAGCAAATGGATACGCCTTCGTCTCTCGAGTTCATAACCTATTTCTCGAAATCCAGCGTGTCAGTGGCAGTCTACGGGAGCAACTTACTCGCTTTTGATCTCACGACGATGCAGAACTGGGGCGAGTCCTCCCGGAAGAGGCAAAGGGCCGGTTTACTCATCGACTCAATTGGAAAAGGGGTAGCAGTTCTTGACAGAGAAACAAAACGACCAGCGTTGGACGGCAATTCATTGCAGTGTATGACGCCGCTTGGGCTCACGGATAAAGCCGTTGCCAATAAATGGGCTCAAATAATGTCGGAGCTGGATTCTGCAGTGAGGGCGAAGGATCCTGAAAAGTTCGACCAGATTATGAAAACGACGTTCTGGAATTCTTTAACCCCCGGTGCTGATGAGAAGCCTAAAGGCTTCCCTCATGTGAAGGAATACATTGACTTGGAAAGGATCTCATTCTTGCTCTCTAAAATTTTCTCTCTGCGATCTGAGGGCGAGTCAAACACACCCAAACTCGCCATCAGCTTCGTACCCTTCGAGACTTTACAATGGCTGGTCAATTCACGGCATTTGAGTTTGGGAAATATTCAGGCTGCTCTCCGTAGCTCTAATCCTGACCGAATTCTTCCCACGATCCCAGATGGCTCTTTGGTTCGGGCACTTGTGCAGTCAGGCCGTTCAATAAAAATGCTACTCCTTGTTCTACGTGGGCCGGTTCACTTAGACACGATGGAGCTTGGCCACTCTTTGAAGCTGCTCCTGGAGGTTGCACGCTCTCATTCCACTAACTCAGCAGAGCCTCCCAAGGCTCTTACCGAGTCCCCCCAGAAGCGAGATGCGAACGCGACCGCAGAAGTGACGCCCGCAACTGCCAAGCAGCCACGGGGATCCGAGTCGGTTTTAACAGACGCAGTATCCGGCTTAAACTTGACGCTCTTAAAACTCCATTCTCATCCACTCGACAAAGTAACACATTCAATTAGATCTGTCCTTTCCAATTCCGACATCCTTTCCATAATTCACCACCTCCGCCATTCCCTGGCCGCCGGCGGCTACACATCCCGATTTACAGAAGACCCTCCGCCTGCATTCTCCAGTTCCAAGATCCCTCGTCTCCCTCTCTCCGCTATCGTGGAGCTCTTAAATGCCTGTATCGATGCCGTAGGACCAAGCGGGTGGGTATCAGCCGCTGGCTTTGCCGGAGGAGAAGGCAGCGAGGCGTCCCTAATCGCGGATATGAAATCGGAAGTATCCGCTGCCCTCGCTGGTGTCGAAGAAGCGACGTATCTAAAGGGTATTCTACGCGAATTTATCCGTTGCTGCGAAACGGCGAAGAAGATCACTCAGCCCAAGGCAGAGCAACGTAACAAGAAAGACAAAGTATCGTCGTCCGAAGAAGTCGGCTGGCGTGTCAAACGCACGGAGCGCGTCAATGGCGCCCAGATATTAGTATATGACGATGTTGCGGACTCGTCCGGGCTCTTGAACACTGACTCGAAGATTCTCCCTCTCTCCTTGAAGATGACCGCTGCCAGTGACATGGCCGCTGAAGAGCCAAGTAAGACCAAGGTGATCAAGTCGACAGGCGAAGTGAAGAAGCGAAGTCAGCGTGATCTCAGTTACCTCAAGGGCAAAGCTGTTGGGAAATATTCCTTTGAGCGGATTATTGTATAAACAAATAGGTGCTACCAAAAGTTGGGGGTGTATGGATGTGTACAAAGTATGCTTCTAGATTATGGCGTGGAGTAGTAAGCAATACTGATGATAAAATTTACCCTTTTTGCCCCTGCACGTTTGCGATGTATTTTGGCGCAATATTGGCCTTGATTTTCTCCTGCTGAAGACATCATGGTTTACCACCACCATACCGTTACCATTACTATTATCATTACATCTCTACCAATTGCAAATCACAAATCTGTTTTCATTTCATCCGTCATGTGGCATTTCCATACCAAGTCACAGCACTAGAGACAACGAGGCCGTACTCTCAACAAATGGCCAAACAAGAAACACAGAAATTCAAAGAATGCAGTGGACACAAACATTAAAAAAGATCAGGGCATATGCAGAAAAGGGGATAAATGAAGGTGAAATGGGAAGGGAAAAGAAAGAGAGAAAGTAAAACATAAAACCGCCAGCATTACAACGTAGGATGGTGCAGGGGTGGGAAAGCGAAGATAGACATGCAGAAAGGGGTACCTGACGGAAATCGCGAAATAACATCATCTTCTCCAACATCCACATAACTCTTTCGAATTTTTATTTTCCGTAGTCCATGCATCGACCTCGTCACGAACCCTCGAGTCTTGCACCAGATCAACCTTTCGTGATGCCAGGCTCTATTTTGGGTATATTCTAGAGCTTTATCAGCGAAGACGAGAATGGCTAGAAAAAGTTAAAATGGTGCGAGGAAAGCTTGCGGGGGAATTAGGTAAAATGAAATGAAAGTGATACGTGACTTCGAACAGGAAACCAGAGCACAAGATTATTAAAACAGGGCCTATTTTGCCATGACGGAAAGGATCAGGTCGTTAGATTCATCAGACACGAAATGTTCTCAATAGATCAGTGGGTCATAGAGGTATAAACACCAGTGGAAATCCCAGATGGAGAAAAGATCACACGAGATGGCGAAGTCAAATCAAACATAAATGTGCCTTGGACACCAGACGCCCGTCAAATATGGCCCAAATCGTGGTAGAACGAAACGTTAGCTGGAAAGAAACCAGATCGAAAGTGGGAAGGCGTATCGGAAAGCTTTCTGGGCATTAAGGTTGGATACGGTAAGTTGTCAATCAACCGAAATCGAAGCGCCCGATGACTGAGAGTAAGTATGCGCGTAGAAATTGTATGACAAGGTATTTTCACTAAGTCCACAAGCATCCGCGGGCTCACAAAAGGCTGCAAGGCTCATGCGAAAGGGTAGAGCCAACTAAGCTTAGCCAGAGAGGGAATTCTGGGCTCGGTCTCTCATACGACGTGCTTGAGTTTCAAGTGCCCTGGCCATTAACTTGATCACTATAAGCAACGATTAGCTATGATAGCAAAACAAAAAGGGTAGGACGGGAGAAAGAATGTGGAAATGCTTACCAGGCCAGACTCCCGCACGATCCAGCAAATAAGCTATTGATAATGAGACCTTGGTCGCATATCCACCTTCCATCAAGCTAGGCAAGCAATCCCACGCTTCGCCGCTGCTCGAACATGGACTCGGTGCGCTGTCTTTCATTTTCGTTTCGACGCTATGGAGAAAATCCTCGATCTTCTGAATCAGTTTAAAATCTTCGTCTTCCAGCAGCATGAGTACGGGAACCTGGCTCAAATCGGTGGGAACTTGGCCAAGAATTCCCAGATAGGGCCCAACCCGGTCCTGGACAGTACTGATCCACTCCGCCAATACCTGCGCGCAGTCAAATAGGCACATTGCACTCTGAAGTGGAAGTTCCCTGGACGTAAATTCAAAAAAAGTGTTGCCAAATCTGTCCGCCATGTTGATGGAATCCACTGCATAGAACGCAGCCTTTCGCAGATGCCGTTCGCTTTTTGATGATTTTGTTCGACGACAAGAGGTTCCTTGAAACGGTGTCTCTAAGCTAGGATCATTGGAAACTCCAACATCTAGGGTATTAAATTCGGCGAGTAGATCTTGCGCGAATTCTGGGCCAGGGCTTCCGCTGGAAGGTTGGGGAACTTCGGCGGATCGGGAAAGTTCGTCAACCATCGCATTCCAATCACGCTGCCAAAAGGCTTCCCTGGATCGACCCAGATTGACATAAAGCCTAACATACGCAAGATCCAAAAGAGGTATACTATCCGCGGATAAGGGGCCCGCACCAAACGGATTTGGTCGTTCCAAGCTGCGATGCGGATTGCTACCCCAGGCGGCCTGCCATGCACGGAAAGCGGGCTCAATATGCACATATAGGGCTTCAGTTTCCTGACTTGTCCATTGCTTTCCCATGTGCTGCTGACGGGTTTCCCAAATGTAATTGTGGAGAGCAAGGATCAGGACCAAACATCCAAAAGGGCTCGGTTTAAGATCTGTGGGAGGCAATCCGTCCATTTGCATACCAGATCCAAATTGGCTATGCGGAGAATGGCTGTGTTGTCCTGCTATCAGAAGCTTCTTCAAGGCATCCGAAAATTTAACTGCATTCTGTTCCGCGTGCGCTTGGCCACCCAATGCCACCCAGGCTTCGGGGGAATCCACTGCCCAAAGTTCTTCGTCGCATGGCAAAGTTAGACGAATTTCAGAGTTAGTAAGAGCGGGAGCATGATTATATGCAGACACGAGTAGACTCGATAAAGTAAAGATAGCATATAAAGTCCGTTTCCGCTCCTCTACTACCTTCCATTTCAACCATTCGATCCTTTCTGGAGAGACCTCCGGCGACTGGACGCTCCAAAAATCCATGTAGTTGCCGTTTAGATGAGCGTCAATTGAGGTTGAAGCATAACCAAACTGATCTGCTGGAAGACTCTCAGGGGGGTGGTGCTGGGTGAGTTCCGCCGCTCTCGCAAGGCTTACTAAGGCCGCACAGTGGGTGCTTGCAATGTCAGCTGCCGTTTTGTCATCGCAGTTATGTCCGTATATGACATTAAGCAGCATTGCTTGAACCAGCCATAAAGGAGTATTCTGCACTGAGTTGTCACGTCCAGAATTCGAGCGATTAAGAATGCCCGAGTCTGCCTTGCGTCTTTCTTCAAGGTACAGTTGGATCATCCTCTTCGCAGATTCGAAAAGCTCCTTCGAAGTCGCGGTGTCGAACTCATACAAAGCACCAATAGCGGCCATTGAGAGTATCAAACAGCCATTGTCCCCCGAAGGATTCGATGTCGTCGCATTGCCATACCCATTAGCCCCTTTAAATCTGTTGGCATGTTCCGGCGCCTTGAAATCAAGGGTTGGAATATGGAGAAACGGCCAATGAGGGTGAAAATAGGTAATATATGCGCCTATATAACGCTGGAGGTCACTAGTGTTTGGCAGAGCTGATGTAGTGTTCTCAAACATCGCTGACCGTAAATTGCCGGCTGGAAAGGTCGAAGACGATGCTGGTTGGGAGTATCGACGGTGAGTAAACGTTGCAGGCCGCTGGAGAGTTGTCATAAGGGCCTGGCGAGTCGATTCTGTAATCGTATTTGCATATGACGGCAACCCAGTCTGCAAAAAGTTCGCCTCAAATCCTGTGGCACTTGGTGATGCATTTTGGAACATGTTAGTGGGAAGGCCGGATAGGACCGAAGTTCCCATTGTCCCAAGAGATGGTGATGTTGAAAACGACTGGTCAGCAATTGGGGTCAGGAGCGACTTCGGAGATACCGTTCCAGTGTGCGCGGAAAGATCCTGGAACGTGGTCTGAGGAAAATCCAAGCCAAACTGACTAGGCTGGCTCTGAGAGAGCAATGTGCTCGACCAAGGGCCAGAGGACGATGTTATGATGTGATTGGAGGTGTCTAAGATAGCCTCGCTAATACCACTTGGGCTCCCCGTACTCATCGCCGAGGGAGACGAGTTGTCAATGGCGGACTCGTTGGTACTAAGCCTCATGATGTTGTCGAAGCCGTCATACTTGATATCGTCATCGTACATGTTTCGGGCGGCCGGCATATTCGAGAACGCGGGAGTAAATGGGGAAGTGGGAGTGTCCAGGAAGGTGTTGGGAGAACCCGAGAAATGCAGTTGAGCGGGATTGATAGTGCTTCCTTGGCCCAGCATCATGTCACCAAGACCAAAATCAGAGCCAAAGCTACCAAAAACCGGAGCTGTTCGAAGACCGTCGCACATGTTAGGGGGGATGGCAGTCGTATCAAGCTTGGTAAGACCATTTATCGTGGCGTGACGGTTATCAGAAGGCATCCCACGGTACTCCAGCCCCGGCATACTCGGCACCGAGCTAAGACTTGGGTGATGCGCATGGCCAGCTTGCGGCGTCTTCGACGAGTCGGGATTATTGATTATTCCCACGTTTGGTCGGTCAACATGGCTGATGGTGTTGGCCCTTGGCCTCATGTTATTGCCCCCATTCACAATCGAATTCTTCCTAACGCGAGTGGAACTACTTGTACTTTCCCTTCGCACGTTACGGGGACGAGATGATGGTGTTGTAGTCATGTGCAGCTTCTGTTGGTGCCTCAGCAACAGATCTCTTCTCGCAAAGCATCTTGTGCAATCCGGGCATTCAAATGGTTTTTCCTTGGTATGAGATCGCTCGTGACGTTTGAGATGTTCCAAACGTGCGAAAGAACGAGTACAAATTACACAGACATGTGGCCGGGGCTTCTCGGTCTTTGGCGGTGGTATATCAGCCTTCTGACCCCTGTTGCTTGCCGTTGCATTGCTGCTGCCTGTTTGTCGAAAGAGAATGATGATAAGCAGGGCATTTGAAAATAGCAAAGAAGCAGTGCTGTGTGTGCCTTACCATGACCGGTATTCACAACTTCGCTGATTGTCACGAGGTCCTGACTCTGTTGACTACCGGCAACATTCTGATCTGCCATCATCTTAATCCTGATCAACAAATATGAATCTCTAACACCCGGTGGATGCTTCACTCAAGAGCATCCGGAAAGCCGATCTTATATTCAAAATCCAGCAGGAACGAATTAGCGTTGGCAGCACGGCTCTCTCGATGGGCCGAATCTAGGGTGAAGGAGAAAGCTTGGGCCGATTGCGCAGGATCAGATATAAATGGGGGAAGGCAGGCAGCTTTACCACATCCGCTTTTTCTAAGACAGATGGTTAGCACATGGCAAGGCTGAGGCACAGGTGTCTTTGCTTGAATAGCAGAGGAACGAGCCAATCAACTCAGCCGAGGAAGCCGGGTCGATGGAAGCGGGAAGGACTATGGGGTGGATGACGGGAATTCTGAGAATAATCACATACCTGTTTCAGCTAAGAACTAGTACGGGCAGGGAATGGAGGGGGAAACTCGATGCCAGAGACCCGGGTGCGAGGGTGAAATAGGGATAAGCTATCGATTTCCAGACTTAAGCATAAACCCTGTCAGCTGGTGGTTAGAATTGCGGGAACAGTGGGAAGTAATCAATTCGAAATTCCACTTCGAGGGAGAGGGCGCTGGGTTCGGGAAACAAGGTGTCCAAGCAGCACGATGCGAGGATGGGATGCTGGGTGGTTCGCCACGATTCTAATGGATGAAATGGACGACTGTTCAATAAGGTAAAGCGCCAGCGAAGAGTCAGTGAATCAGGATGCAGGATGCTCGCGCTCTGGCGCTCAGGGTCGAAGCGCTTCGGTTGGAACCCTCATCAACGACGGGCAGAGTCACTGCTCGGCGGTAAACGGGACGACTTCAGGAACAAGAGGTTGAGCTCCAATTGTCGACCTCGACCGTGAGGATTGCTTCGATGGCCCGTGAGTGTAGCTTGGTAGTTGACTCACAAGGTGTTTCAGCAGAGCGAGAATACTCCAGAGTCGAAGGGCGATGGACGTCTGAACCTCTTGGGTGCAAGGTTGAGCAGGTTCGTTTCTGACGAATAACTCCTGGAGTCGCTCGGCTGGTGGCTGACTACTTCCATACCGGTGGGCCTGTTATTTATGTAAGGGTTGGGTGTACATACGTACGGTACGGGCTGTCCACGCTAGGTTACGGTACGGGACAGCTGGTACCGCGCTAGCCACGCTCCGCCGGTCGGTTCCACAGCAATACGGTTTGACTTTGTGGATGACAACTCCAGACGCCGAAACGATGTTTCCACAACCCCAAACCCCAGCTCGTCTTTTCGCTGGTTGCGACCTTGCGAATTCCCGTCAGACATCAATTCCCCTGCTTCCAAAGCTCCAACTTCCTATTTTGATGCCAGCTCGTAATCTGGCGCCCACACATTTACGAGATGCTTGTGTATGGAGTGGGTGGGTAGCTGTCGTCTTGGTATAAATACAGTCATCGATGGTCCTGTGCAACATTGCGCGGGAAGAACAGTGTCCGGAGTCAAGTACTGTACGGAGTACGCAAGGCGTGAATACCCATACTCTTCTTGGCAACCATGCCAGTACTAGCGTTGTATCCTGCATCTCACGCCGGTAAAGCTCAGAATTCTTGAGACAAAGGAACATGATGAGACGCCCAGTGCCGCCTCCCAATATCAAAGAAAATTCATTCCATTGCATGCTTTCCCCTCCTGCTCGAGTCGGAGCCACTGTTTTCACCACCTCACAGCTATAGAAATTCTTCGGAGTGCAGAGCCTATAAACTCGCGGCGGAGCTGGGCCGAAATCGCATTCCTCCCGTACTGAACGGCATGGAGCCTCCTTCTCCCGGACTATTCCCCTTCCCTCTCTCTCTCTTTTTCTTTCTTTGGCACGTTCCAGACTATTATAGATGTTCCATGAACTCGAAACCCGGTTTAACTCTACGGAGTACGAAAGAAGCACCAGGAGAGTGAGGGCAAGCGACAAAGGATGCATGAATGGCTCTATGTATTGTGTAGCCTCACTCCTTGCTGCAGTTAAGCACCCCTAGGCAATAAGCTTAAACACATTAAAAATTGTTTAGCATAACTCTTATCCCTGCAAGAAAGTACTCAACAAGGAGAGGACCAGTGATAAACTAGACGAAAGGGACAGGATAGCCAATTCAAAAATGGTCCACATACCATGATAACATTACTTGTTCCACAGTGAGGTGTCTACCAGCTATCTGTTCACACTCATTTCAAGCACTTCCTTCCAGCCTACTGTCAATTGCCCCTCTCCATTAATGGCAAGCGAGCTCGTTGCCGGAGCTCCCCTTCTACGCTGCCAATGTCCAGGAGCATGAATGTTACACATAGTTGGGAAACTGTGGTTTCAGCTTGCTTATTTTTCTGGTAAGAACATTCCTGTGGGAGTATATATAATAGATCCAGGTTTAAGCGAGCAGATGGACAGTGTCACCGTTGAGTGAGATTCATTCTACAATCACAAAGTTTGGTACAAGAATTAGTCAATCTGAGTGAAAGGCAATAGCACTTGTAGTGGAACTCACCTCTATCCAAACCCGAAGACTTCTCTATTCTAACATAGAGGATGGCTTTGGCCAAAGATGCATATCCATCATTCCAGATACGCCACTCGGCCAAATTTGGATGGGGCTGGATAATGTGACAAAGCTAAAGATCATGAAATCTAGAGCTTCCTTGCACAATTGTGGAAAGTTTATCAATCGCCCGAGTGCGAAGGGCTTTCTCAATGCTATACTGATGGCATGACCTCAGCCGACCCGCTGCCCGAAGACCTTAATTCACAAGCCTATTATCCCATCCTTACAGATGCGGGCTGAGGACACGCATCTACTTACAAGTGCTATATCCCTTTCAATATGGCCTCCTCCACGAACATACAGAAATGCTTCTAAAATAGCCACATCAGTGTTCACTCCGTACACGTGGTGGTATAGTCATAGGAAGTATTACCTCGATACAATGACCGCGGCAAGGAAGGCGTTGTTTGGCCGCAATTTGCGGCGTGTGGGTTCGTTTACCTCCCCGGGATGAATACTTACTCGCCGATGAGTGTAATATTCAGAGTTAGAAGCCTGTGCCGCACTCAGTTGTTTATTTCTACACACTCCGTGCTCCATGATCTCGATATACACTTTTCTATCGTAAAAAGGTATCGTGCGACAAAATCTGGATATGGAGGAAAGGCCAATTTTGGATTTTTAGACGTGAGCATCCTCTCTGATGTGTCTCGAGTCAACTATGGTCATAGAAGATGTGAAGCGATGGCCCTCGGTTGTATCCGAGCAGCAGCATCGTCGGCCACCTAGTTACTCTATTGGGAACCCCATGTCTCTTGTTACTATCCTGAATACCCAGCCTTCTGGGCATGAGATTGTTATCAGCTTGGGCAACCGTGGTCTGCTTTAGCTACTATCTCTCCTGCATCGCCCTTCTGTGTTGATGATAGGCAGAGGTGTGTTTTGAGAGGAGGAAGGAATTGAATTCTGAGCTGGAGAGGGTTGCTATAATGGCACCTACGATTAGGTACGTCTCGCCTCTTTCTGCAATCCCTGGCCCGGTCCTGGCATGTCAATCATGCAGTATCTGGGGACTCGATCTCAGACTGTCTCGAGAGTTTATGTCCTCCGCAAGACCTTGCAACCTTCTTAGCGCCAACATTTAGCGCCGTTTTCAACCCTTTCGTCAGCACCAAAAGTCCGCTGGGAGATCTTTATCTTATCTCTTCGTTGTCCCACAAAGATACTACGTAATTTGATCTCAACCAATGATCAGAGCTGCGGCGTGCACACAGTTGAGTCGACTCTTTCACGCGAAAGGCACCAGCGTACGGATGAGATGGTAATATCCGATTGCCTGCATGGTCCTCCGTACTGGTATTTCAAACGTTGAGCTACCGGCCAGACCGACCAGGCCAATGGTGGCGGTTGGATGCGCATAGAATCGACGCAGGCGCCACCCACCCTCGGTCCTGATTGGAGGGTGAGTCCCACAACAATGGCGGACTTCGCAGCCACAGCCAGGCCGGCCAGTGACATTTCCCCGATTTATGACGTAACCTTTGACTAAGCAGTGGCCAAAATCCGCAGCAAATCGCGGGGCGCAAGGGTTCTCGGCAGAGGGCGGCATGGAGCTGTTGGCCTTGAACCTCCAGCTTAATCAGCCACCCCGGAGTTCGGACCTAACGCTCCTTGGTAACTCAAGGGGTAAAACTGTAAACGTTACAGGGTCAGGCACAGCTAGCCGAATTCAAAACTGCGTTGAAGGGCTGGACTAGGTGTGCGGGCGCTCTACCGGCGCTGGCGACATCGATATGTGCAACAGCAAGAGAGAGAGGAAAATACACGTCCCAGCCGTCGATCGAAGGGCAGAGCGGAAAGCAGGCCTGGGTGTCCTGTCGTTGGGAGGGTCTGTGCTCAGCTCTTCTGACTTGCAGCGCTGTCGGTATCGTCAATACGGAACATACGGAACCGACGTACTGCGCTTGTAATTTCCGCCCGGAGTCTGTCCACGCTGTAATGTTCCGTGGCTCCACCGCAACGACTGACTCGCCAGCAAAAAACGCGGACAATGGGCGGTATCCACCCGCAGGCCCCGGTTTTCCCCAGCTTTTCTTTGGTTTCACGGTTCTCTCCCAACGCCAGGATCTTCCAGAACGAGATGAAACAGGAACAATTTCCTCCAAGCTGACTGCCCTGCAGGTCCGCCCGTCCCAGCGGAAAATTCCGGTTTGGGCTTCGCTACATGCCATTCCCTCTCATCGTGCCTCCCCCCCGGTTTGCCGTCAGCCCCCAAGAGGGCAACTTCTGCAAGCTCCGATGAAATGGTTACAACATCGCCTCCGGAGAAATTCTGGCGCCAAAAGTCCGAGTCAACAAACCCACCATTTGATTCTCTAGGTCCTTGGCGAAACCTTTTCGCGAAAGTTTGAAGCCGTGGCTTGGGTTGACAAATAAGGAGCCACGGGTTGAAAATCTGGGGAAATCTGGCCCTTGACGCCAAAATCTGATGTCGGGAGCGTTTACTGAGCTTCGTGACATGCTTGGTTCCCAGGCAACTCTTGCGCTATTGTTCGGCAAGATCTCCCGCTCTAACTACCGCCCCATCCGCGATGCTCAGGGAATGGCAAGGAAGACCCAGCGTAAGTAATACTGCGGCTCGGGCATGTGTGGTGAGGCTCGTGTTGCTCAGATTACGTTTGTTGGACGTTCAGCTGGGGTTGGCGCTTAACGGCGGCGGGAGAGTCTTCTGATTCGAAGCTGGAACCTCAAAGTCGTGAGTTAGTTGCTTGTTCACCGTGTTCCTTGCTCCGTACTCCGTTCAGCTTTCGCAGTGGTGTGGCTAAAGCGCTTTAGTTACAAACGGGAGCATCATGTGATCCACTACATATGGATGTCTCTCATAGGGTGCTGACACGAGCGACTCGGCTCTCACGGTGCGATAAGAGGTAAAAGATCGGCTCCGTGGTTTGAGAGACACGCCTGAGGAGAAACATTGCCTGACTGCTTCCATGCCTCTATGGGAAACGACTGGAAGGGCTCTATTAGGGGACCACATGAATTCATTCAACTCTCTTATGTTGCTTTGCGGTTTTGGCGACACTTACAGAGATGCGTCGCAGCAAATCATGAACATATGCACTCCGTATGTATTTCCAAAAGAAGAAACGTGATGTCGGCGGCGGCAAGCCACTTTGCGCGGCAAAGGACAACATTCGCAAACTAAGAGCGACCAGAATTTTTACAGGAAGCACATGATGGCCTCTTGTAAAACCTTCCAACTTACAACTTAGAGTTATAGCTGTCAAATTTCCACTTTCACAATTTGTCCATTGAAAAAGGGCTGAGACAAGAGCAATATATGAGCTGTAAGGCGCGCTGCATTGTACAGTACATACAATACCTGGTTACCCAAACATGGTTTGTCATTGTATGGAGTACTCCGTACATTACATCAAAAGTGTAGAGCATTGTGCTCTGTCGATAAAGATCAGGCTTAAAGCCGGTTGAGATGAAATGATATCATCGTTCTTTCAACCGCCGAGCTGTGGGTATCTTTGCCTCGTGAGGCTCAAAGGTCAGAGCTGGCGTTCATGGGATTGCTTCAGCCTGTGAGGGAAAGTTACAGGCAGATGAATTCATTTGCGGGTTCAGCCCTTCGGCCTGTCATCACATAAATAGGCTTAACCAATAAATACATATAAGCCAACATCTCAGGTCGTATTCGCTCCAGGCCATTGTGACTTTGCGGCTGAAGCTTCCATAGTATCGCCAGAAAAGCTCGTCGCAACGATTTGCAGCCGAGGCCAGAAGTTCTTGGCATGCCCAACACGAGCGGCATGTCTGTGACTTAATTTTGGGCTCGCAACATCACCATGAGAGTGGACAAATCTGGACTGTCCTCGAAGGGAATGGCACCATGAATCTCGCTTACCTGGCCAGACGACTGGCCTGATGGCCTATCAGCCTTTTCTTCATCTCAACTCAAAATCCTCTGCCAGTGCACAACCCGAGCACTCCTGGAGAGAAGGACCTTTTTATTTTGGATGATGATGTTGGAAACTATAAATGCGCACAGTTTCAATCAAACAAAAGGCCACTGATCGCGAGAGAATAGATGCCACCATGGAATTCAGCAAAAATCCAGTGGTTGCTATCCCGGGGCTGCTTTACAGCAATATCTTTTTTCGTCTAACTTGACAGCCATGTCATCAACAGAAAGCCCGTCATCCTCACCATGGCCCACGCGTACAGTGATTCATCGGCGACCAGGTTCGCCGCCTGAGGTTTTGTCGCTCGATGAAGGGACTTGTCCCGTCGCTTCCAACGGAAACTTCAGTCCTCGTTCGCGTGTCTCACGTGGCGCTCCATCCGGGAACTATCATCCTGATGCATCTCGTCCCTTCGTTGTTCCGCCGTTTTCCAGCCATCGCGGAGACAGACTTCTCCGGAGTCGTTGTCGGGGCTGGCGCTGGTGTGCCGACAGCAGCAGACAGCAGCACCCGGAACTTCCCCGTCGGCACGCCCGTTTTCGGTTCCTTTCAAGTTCCCGTTCATCTGAGCAGCGGGCAAGGAGCCTTGGCAGAATATATTGCCATTGAGTTTTCGTCTATTGCCCAGAAGCCGGATAATGTCTCATATGCGGCGGCGTCTGCCTTGGGTGCCTCACTTTACACGGCGATCACGCTGATTGACGCTGCGAAACTTCCTCCGAGATTTAGAGTGCTTATCAATGCAGCTTGTGGAGGGGTGGGACATTTCGCAACGCAATTACTCAAGCATCGCGATCCAGAGGGCCATATCGTGGGAATTTGTTCGCTACATAAAGAGACACTCGCAAAACAGCTAGGATGTGACGAAGTGATTGACTACAGGGCCTTTCCTAACAGCGAACACCGGAGCCTAACAGAGTACCTAACCTCCCGGTATGGAAGCACAGCAGAGGACAAATTTGACGCTATTTTTGATGCATATGGAAGCCAGGACCTATGGGAATCATCACCGGGTTATCTAAAGAGTGGTAAAAATCATGTATACGCAACTGTTGGGCCAAAAGTTGGCTGTACATATTCGGCAATTCTTGGCTTCTTGTGGAAAATGGCGAAGAACACACTTTGGCCGGCCTTGCTTGGCGGTGTACCCAGGGTGTACAGGCAGATATCCGCTTTCTTGGATACTGATGGCCTTGAGAAATGCCGTGAAGTTGCTGTGGATGGATCTGTGAAGGCTTACTTGGGTGGGGTGTGGGAGATGGAAGAGATGATGTTAGCATATAAGGAGCTCACCGGAGGCCATGCGCAGGGAAAACTGGTGATCAAAGTTTGGGATCCAGAGAATTGATGGCAGGTTCATCGCTTGAATGGGAAGTAAGGCGAGGGAATATCGGGAGATGAGGCTACTCCATACATACTAAGTAATAATGACAAGTTTACGCTTCAAACTGCAGGGGTGTGAGGGAAGCGACTCCAAGCGTGGTTGATATTCATGGACATTAATGCATGTGCAGGGTAGTTAATGGAGATAAAAATTTTGACAGAAGTCATACAACATCATGTAGCGTGTTTTGGACCAGGGGAGCTCAGTTTATCGCGGTTGACCAGGCTGGTGCTTAGTTAACAGGCTATGTTTGGTGGGGGGAAGCTTGGGGAATCTCCACACAGGCTACTGGTTTCCACTGACATCAAGCAACCAGCCACCGAGAGGAGAGATACTCCATACAGAGGAAGCTCTTCCACGCAGCTACTTCAAGAGCAACAGCAGCATTACCCTTCCTGTGCTGGGTGTTCTCTCCCATCTTATATCCGGTCAACCCGCCGCCCAACTATCTGAACGTATCATTTGGCAGATCATTGCCACTTCCCGTACACCCAAGCTCACCTCCATGTCATCCCTCTTCGGCACCCCATCAGACGAATCCCCTATGGCGGGAAAGCCCTCGTCGTTTAAATCGAAGTCCCCGTTATTTGACAACGAACCCTCTTCCTTTGGCGCCAAGTCATCGGCGCTTTTTGCGGATAACGTCAACTCTCATGCTGACGACTCTTCGCCCTGGGGTATGCCTACGCCCAAGAAGGCCGCGAGACACGAAGTCCTGAAATCGCTGCTCCCCGCGACGGATGTTCCAGAGAGCTATGTTGATGTGTATGATGTAGCTCTGGGATCGAGTGATAATCGAGGGAATACTGGCGTTGGTATAACCACGGCTAGGAAGATGCTTACAAGCACACATCTGAACCCTGACGCGCAGTCTAAGGTTATGAATATTGTCGCTGGTGGGGGAGACCTTGCAACAGGAAGCCTTTCGAGAAGCCAGTTCAATGTTTTTTTGGCATTGGTGGGATTGGCGCAAGAAGGCGAGGATGTTACCCTCGATGCGGTTGATGAAAGACGGAAGAGTAAGTTTGTTGCTTGTTCGTGAATATTTAATACCTATATACGACTGTAGTCGGGCCAAACTGACGATGGACTGCATTGTAGGACTTCCACGACCGAACATTCCTTATATAGAGAAATTGACAGCTCAGCATGATACAAATGGCGCTACTCATACTGATAACCAACCCATCCCGACACAATCGAATACGTCACGCCAGATGCGCCAGGACTCATTTGAAGACCCTGAGTTAGATCCGTGGGGAAGTCACCGTATTCGCCAGAACTCATATGAAAACCGGCATCGACTGAATATTAATGGATTTGCTTCATCTACGGGGCCCGGTGTCAATGGCACAACTAATAACTTGGCCACTGCATATAACAGCCAAGTAAGATCGACTGCTGATAGCAACCAACCCAGGGAATCTGGTGCCCCATCTTCTGGAGGCACTGGGGCTGGCTGGGGAGGAGAGTCATTCAGCAACCCTTCCGGCGGCGGCTTTGGCAACCAAGGGGAATCGGGGTTTGCCGGTGGTTTTGGCCAGTCGGGAGATGATCAGGGGAATCACAACCGGAATAATAGCATGCCTCGATCGCTAGGCGGAGGTCCCATAAGCAATAACGGAGTTGACGAGGTGATAGCGATTCATATGCTCCCGGAAAAAGAAGGCATGTTTATGTTCCAGCACCGAAACTACGAAGTTAAATCTGCGCGAAGAGGGAGTTCCGTTATCCGACGATATAGCGATTTCGTATGGTTGGTGGATTGTCTGCAGAAGAGATATCCGTTTCGGCAGATTCCTTTGCTGCCACCAAAGAGGATAGCAGGTACGTCGAAAGCTTGCTAAGAGCTTACCTAAATCATGCTCACGCTTTGTAAAGTCAATGGTACTCACCTGACAGCGGATTCAAATGCTTTCCTTGAAAAGCGACGACGGGGCCTCGTCCGCTTCACCAACGCATTAGTTCGCCACCCAGTTTTAAATCAAGAACAACTAGTGGTAATGTTTCTTACCGTACCAACCGTAAGTGCTAAAAGGAATTGCCTCCATGACTCGAGACAAGGCCCCTAACAGCTTTAAGCAGGAACTGTCCATTTGGCGAAAACAAGCCACTATTTCTGTCCAAGAAGAATTCTCCGGCAAACCTCTCCCGCCGGACCTCGAGGACTCGCTTCCGCCTACTCTCAACGACTTATTCGAGACCGTTCGTTCTGGTGTCCGTAGGTCCTCTGAGGTCTACATAAACCTATGTAATTTGCTCGACCGTCTCGCGAAGCGTAATCAGGGCCTTGCTGTCGAGCAATTCCGGTTTTCACGCGCTTTGCAAGCTTTGACAGATAGCACCGCGGATACGTATGCTGTTGATAGGAATGACGTTCCATTGTTGAATGATGGAATTCATTCGACAGCGAAACATCTTATCACTAGTCAGGGTTTACTTGAGGATGAAGCCCGGGCTTGGGATGAAGGCGTTTTAGAGGATTTCAAACGGCAACGGGATTGCCTTGTTGCAATGCGAGATATGTTTGATCGGAAGGACCGATATGCGAAGGATAATATTCTTCAGCTAGAGAAACGCATTGAAAATAATGAGAGGAAACTGCAGGAACTTCGAGCGAGGCCCGAGGGAACGGTGAGGGCTGAGGATGCTAAGAAGCTAGAGGATGCTATTTTCAAGGTATTACGAGCTTCCCGTCCGTGACTTGGACAACCTTTTGTCATTTGACCGTGCTGTCTAATTGTTAACTTTGCACAGGATAAGGCATCAATAGTGCAGCAACACGCGCGTGGTGTGCTTATCAAGGAGTGCGTTCGTGACGAGCTATACATCTTCCAAAGAAGCCAATACCACATCAGTCGCCTACATCAAGACTGGAGTCAAGAACGAGTGAAGTATGCGGAGCTGCAGGCGGACAATTGGCGGGCTTTGTGCGAGGAGGTCGAAGCTATGCCAACAGGTGATTAGGTAGGCATATCGAGAGACGTACCATTTATCTCGACTTTTCAACTACGGATATGAAGTCTTTTCTCCGGGATGATTTGCCTTAAATGTTCCTATTTTCGTCTATTTTGTTGCTTGCACCTGTATATTTCCATGTTGTATACTTCCCATCAACATACCCTCTATCGTTCTCGAAATCTTGCTTTTGATCCTATGTTATTGGAGAGTTGATACGCGATAGTTGCTTAAATGTTGTTTATCGTGAGAGAGACCTGTGATGGCGTTTGCTTTGAACGAATCTGCATAGGGTACCCCGTACCCCGTACACATGAATGTTTGGATTTATATCGTCTCATGCTATGGATATTAATGAGAGGTTTCCTCCAGCGCCTATCTTTCCCCTGGTAGATCTCTGGGAGCTTAATGGACTAGCTATCATCCTTTCAATCGCTTTGCCGGTGCATATATTATCGTGTCCATAATGAGACGGCATTTATGGACTTCGAGAGTCCCGTCCCCGCCGGCCTAGAAGATACTTGGTGGACAAGCAAGCAGCGATGATGTCATGTTCCTCATAGACGATCCTTTAATTATGGGGGACGGGGTATTTTGCCATCGCAGTTCAGCTCGTGAATTGCACTCGGAAAGAGTCGGTGTGCGAACTCGCCGCTGTGGAACTGAAGCGTCCGGGGGCCATTTCCCGCGCAAATCCGTCCATCACTCCGGCCATCTTTGGAAGTTGTAATGCAAAAGAGATATATGAAAGTTTCTTGGGCCATCGATACTGCCCGTCGCTAAATGAATGTCTACCTTTCCATTCTCCGCATCTCCTTTGTGGATGGCCGTTTGCTCTCGATGCTGCGAGGTCGTTGATATTCCTTCGCGGTCGAGAGTTGCCGTTCCGGGCTGAAGCTTGAGACTTGCAGCGGACGGTGGTCAGCCAATGAGAAGCGCTCCAGTGGATATGCCAAGCATTGGCGCGTGCCAATCACAGACGCTTAACCTTTCCGGGTTAGATGTGACCACCATGCACACATTGTGCATAAAAAATTTCTTAATGACTAATGAGTGCACCGGTATATAGCTTTCTATTGGATGTTGGCCAATGTTATGCACGCCTATATCGTGATTAATCAGCCCCCACAGAACCGCCGTTTTGTCCCTTTGCCACCGGCGGCGCATTCACCAAGGATGCTTCACTTGCCAAAGCTCTTGGTCAACGCACCTTGGTGCAGTTAAGCCTCGCAATCACTTCTTGGCTGCAATTTCTTGTTGGGTCCTGAGATCCACCGTTCGAGAAACACTTTGTTTCTTTCCATCTACTCCTGCAAGAGGAGTTGGAAGACAATTCCATTAAGCATTGGTGTACTCCCTACGGATCACTTCGTCTACGGCGTGCCTTGTGTGCACACGAGGTGGGACGTGTATTGACGGCTCACCGCTGAGAAGTATGATTTTGCTCTATTCGCTCCGTTGGGACCAACGTCTTTGTTTCTGGTTGATTGCGGGAAGACTGATATGTTGTTTTGTTCCACTTTAGACTCGGATATTCGCCCCCTTCTCAAGAAGATTGTGCGGACTCTGCGGCCTGTGCGATTCAGTTTGGCCAATCTGGATTCTACGTCGGCTATTTCGTTGCTCCCGCCTAAGAAGCTGAGGATATGCTGAGAATCAGGTTTGCTTTTCAAGGACTGACCGATAGAGAAGCATCTCACCGTACCGTGGTGGTGGCTCTGTTTTTTGACTGAAGATACGGGACCCAATCGCGAAACTATCAGCGACAACGCTCGACCGCTCACGTCCGTGCACAGCTTTAACTTGTACCCCAGTTACAAGGGGAATAACCGCGCGGTATTTCTGCAAGAATGGCGTGGGACCACCTTGACATCGACAAACCCCATGTCGCGTATATGATATTGGGTGGCTTCACCAGCCTGTTCATGTTATGCTCGCTTTTTGTGAAGGAGAAACTCTATATCGGTGAAGCAACGGTCGCCACTCTGTGCGGTGTGATTTTTGGCCCTCATGCCGCCAATCTATTCGACCCCATATCGTGGGGCAACGTTGACAAGATTACACTGGAATGCTCGCGAATTGTCCTCGTGGTGCAATGCTTTGCTGTTGGCGTCGAACTGCCAAAATCTTACATGGAGAGGCACTGGAAATCGGTAGCACTGCTTCTGGTACCCGTGATGACATGGGGCTGGTTGGCGACCAGTCTTTTCATCTGGTGGATGGTACGTCCGTTGACGTGGTTGGAGAGCTTGATCTGTGCTGCCTGCGTCACGGCCACTGATCCCGTCCTGGCCTCGTCAGTCGTTGGTAAAGGCAAATTTGCAAAGCGTGTTCCGAAACATCTTCGAGACTTGCTCTCTGCTGAATCAGGATGTAACGACGGCATGGCCTTCCCTTTTATTTATCTCTCGCTTTATATCCTGGCTTATCAACCCAGCACCAACAAGGTGGCGCTCCATTGGATTTGCATCACACTTCTTTATGAATGCATCCTCGGTGGCTTTCTCGGATTTATGATTGGTTATGCTGGCCGTCATGCCATCAGGCTTGCGGAGCGGAAGGGGATCATTGATCGAGAGAGTTTCTTGGTCTTCTACTTCGTGTTAGCTCTCTTTTGTGCTGGAACCGGTAGTCTACTGGGGATGGACGATTTACTGATGGGGTTTTCAGCCGGAGTAGGCTTTAGTAACGATGGCTGGTTCACTGAGAAAACAGAAGAGTCCCATGTCTCCAATGTCATCGATCTGCTGCTAAACTTGGCGTATTTTGTCTATTTTGGCGCAATCATCCCCTGGCAGGAGTTCGACGCACCAGAGATTGGCCTTCCAGTTTGGAGATTGGTCATTATTGCGATTTTTGTGATCTTTTTTCGTCGGATACCCATCATGCTGCTCCTGAAACCTGTTATACCGGACGTTAAAACTTGGCGGGAGGCCCTCTTCGCCGGCCATTTTGGGCCAATTGGTGTCGGTGCGATTTTCGCTTGTATCCTAGCTCGAGCAGAGCTGGAGACACATTCTACTCAACCGCTCGATGGGCTTCCCGGGAAAGGCTCCCCCAATTACATGGTTATCCAGCTTATCTGGCCTATAACAACCTTCCTGGTTATCTCATCCATTCTCGTCCACGGATCCTCGGTTGCTGTGTTTACTCTCGGCAAGCGCATCAATACGTTGACGATAACCATGTCTTACACAACTGCCAACGACGAAGGGCCGTCTTGGATGAACCGACTTCCTCGAATTCAATCCCAGTCCAAAGCTTCTCTGTCCTTGCGCAAGGAGTCACTCGATTCGTCTAACGAAGCGCTATCTCAGTTCCCGCCTGGGACTTTGGGTCCAATTGGTATTCCTGGCAACTTGTTGCGACGGCAGAGAGAAGGAGAGCAGCCCAGTCAGCCGGGTAGTCGTGCTTCCAGCCGAAAACCTACCAGAAGAAAGAAGCTAGGAGCGGGAGGTCCAATCAGTCAATCTGCTATCATGCCACAACGAAGAACCGAGCCTGTAACAGCCGACGAAACTATAGATCTTGAAGAGCAGCCTATCGACCAGGCTGTAGAAGCGGAAAGACCTAGGATCGAATCTGGGACGGAGGGTGAGGAAGAACCGTTTAGACGGCCTGAGTTAGAAGTCTACCAAGAAGGAGACAACATGATCATTGAAGACGAAGAAGGAAATGTTCTTGAAACTACAGATATTAGCCATCTTTCGCCTGAACAACGAGAGCAAGAGATTATGGCCCAGCACAAGCGTATCCGTGAGGATCCCTCTGGATTTTTTGCTAAGGCGAAAGGGCTTCCCCATGAGCAAACGGAAGGAGAAGCCATTAAGAAGGCTATTGGAAAGGATCTTGCTCGTCCACTCAAGCAGTTTAGAAACCATTTGCCCTGGAACAATGGCAAGGAGAAAGATGCGGAGGCAGGTGGTGAGCCCTCGAAAAAGAAGACAAAGAAGGAGCGCAAACGTCGGTCTGCTCGCGCTTATCAGTTCGCAAATACAATCATAGTCGAGGATGAAGACGGTGAAGTTATCAAGAAATATACCATTCCTGGCCACAAGACAACCAAGAAGCCCACCATAGAAGGTGAACCGTCCACCAAAGCAGCGTCGGGGGCTCGGAAATGGAGCGTGGCCCGAGTGGGTACGTGGATTGGGCGTGGCGACGGCATGGCAAGCGCAGCTAAACCGAAAGACGAGGAAGAAGCGTCATCTGACGAGGAGAGGCTCCGGTTTACTGTGCCTGGAAAGGATGGGCGAGGCCATCGTCTTGGAGGTCGTAGAATGACCAAGGAAGATTTTATTAGAGAGATTCAACGCCTTGAACCTCAGACGCGAAAAGAGATCTACGATGAAGACATTCCAGGTCAATTGAAGCCTGACACCGGAGACGAACAACCTGAGACCACGCGGCGGGCGCAGGGCGGCCAAGTGGAAGGTCAGGAAACACCTCCTTGCCCTACACCAGCCGAATATACCCCGTTAATTGGACAAGAGGAGAGCATAGGAAGAGAACAAGAGGTGCCTGCTCCTGACGTCGCGGCCACGTTAGCTCAATATGCCGGTCCCGACACTTCGGCCGCAGAAGCCCGCCGTCGCCGTCTCCTTGGACCTCGGGAATCACCCCCTCCATCACCAACCAGCAGCGTCCGGCGTCGTCGCGACTCCGAGGACGATGGAACAAGACGTATCCCACCTGCGGAACGTAGACAGCTAGCTGGCCTGCCACCATCGCAACCCGCATCCGCGACGTCACGGGCCAAAGATATCGATCCGGAGACCGGGGAAACGCATGTGGAACGGCAGCGCCGTCTTGCTGCCTTGGGTCAGCTACCTGACACCGGTGACGATGAGGACGCTGAAGGGCGTGGTCGCCACCGTGGTGACGGGCACTCTGATAGCGAAGATGACGGGCGGCCACGCCGGGTGAAAGGGAAGGTATCATTTGCCGACGGAACACGGCCGGCGAAGACGAGGCCGGGCGCGATGGCGGTGCACCCTCCTCGGGGTGGGAGTAGCGGTGGTGCACCTACGGCGGAGCAAACGTCGTCGCAACCCAGTTCGAGCTCTAGCAGTGGAAATGGAAATGGCAATGGGAGTAGTAGCGGGAATGGGGACGGTAACGGTAACGGCGATTCTAGACGACATGTATCACGTATTTCATGGGGAGGAGAGAGAGGTAGATCATGATTGTGACGAGTGATGATTGATTCCATACACATGTCTAGAACATGCGTATAAGAAAGACATATATATATATATGTATATATATACCCGGAGTGTTGGGTATAGATATCCATTGACGAGTATCGGGAGAGCGTGGTTTAGCGCGTTATGTTTTTGAGTTTTCAGCGCGAGCATATGTCCCATACCTTACGCCTTTGTCTTGCGAATGTGTTACTCGCATTTACTACCCATATACACCCAGATTAGTATATTAGTATGTATGTGTGAATGGAGTTTTGAATTGCAAACACACCTTGGGATGCTATTTCATGGCGAACCAGGGCCTCTCGGATTAGCTATTAATTCTTTGTGATGGACAAATTCATCTAATTCCGGCTAGGATTTGGTGTCTCTACGGAGTACCCAAGTACCTCAAGATACTGGCTGAGTGCATCGTGTTGATACGAGAGTATGCTAAAACGGGAGACCATATCTAACGATGACCACAAAGTTCCCAGCTAACACACCTTTCAATGCCACCTGGCTCTATTTCTGTGGTGGGCACCTAGTTTGCCGGGCTGTCTACGTTGCAACGCTTCAATGTTCCCACAAGGAGTATGACAGTAGACGGGTGCACGAGGCCCAAAGCAAGAAAAGGCATTCCTTTTGGAAATAAAGCGTGATGGAAGAAACAGAAAAACTAGCCTGGACCATTCATGGAGTAGTTATAGATAGACATACATAGAGGTAGGGTGGGGGAGTAACTTGACATGTAGAAAATGGGACATAAACCAGATTACGTGAAATAGCAGAAAAGACTCAATCCCCCGCCCCAAACCAGCAGCCGTCATAGCAACAAAGATTTGGGATTCGAGGGAAATTGTGGGAAGGGGTTTGGGAACAAAAAAAAATATATGACATCGTAAAAACTTTCTTCGCATAACAGACGTGACGCAGGAATCATCTTGACGGGGAGGGGTGGAGATTAAGGAGTCTGGGTAAAAGAGGTAAGCTTGGAGAGCCTTTTCCCAGGGCGTCGTGGGGATAATGATAACCATAGGAGCGCATTTATGGGACGACATGCAACGTTCGGGGGTATGTCCAGTTCCAAAAGAATATCCTTCGAGAACCCATGACGCGACGGATATCATTAAAAGTAACGCAGGAAAAAGGCGATCTAGTAATTCGGTCTTGGTGGGTAGTCTTCTGGGCGCCCGGTGGAGCTCTTGCCAGAGCCGTATTGCTGGAAAGGGAAGAGAGAATTTAGTATATGTGGCTATAGGCAGAGTAAGAGAAGGGGCGGAAAGCTGAGACATACCTTGCGTCTCAATGCCTCGAGCCGCTTCTTCTTGGTATGGGCATTGATGTAGGTGCCGATGATGAAGCCAACAATGTTGAAGAACGGCACCCAGGTCTGCTCTGGGAGGAACTTCTGGGCGAATGCCAGCGACAGTGGCGAAACAACCCAGCTGACCTTCATCACACGGAAGAATCCAGACTTCACAGTAGCCCGGACCTGGTGGAAGGTGCGAGCGCCAGCGATGATAGCCATCGAGGCCAGATAGATGACGTTCTGGATGGGCGAGATCTACAAAAAGCGATTTCCATTAGCAACAAAAAAAAAAAAAAAAAAAGGACATTGCAACTTCGACAATCGCGCGAAGCGTGGAAGAGGGATCCATGGGCATACAATGAGGTTGCTAGCCAGAATCTGTAGGATCTTGGCCTTGAGACTGGTGCGGCCGGCAAAGACCCTCTGCAGGATACCGATCAAGAAATGGCCAAGCGGAGCGCTGATGAAAGCGCCGTAAATCGACATCTTTGGTATCCTGGAATTGAAGTAATGGCCATGCTTGCTGCGATCGTGCGCGATCCACGAAGCAAGGATCTCCTGCAGGGCAAAGAGCGACCCCGAGGTGATCATTTTGGTCCGGAGCGGGTTCGATTGGAGCTGCTTAAGGTACGCCTGTTCAATTGCAAACGGAGTTAAATTGTCAGCAGCAAGAAACCAACGATCGCAGCACATCTCCCCGATGGGCCACAAAAAAAAAAAAAAAAAAAAAGGACATACAGCCAGGTATCCATTCTGCGTCTTTCCTCCGGTCAATTTTTCCCCGACCTTGTGAGCGAGTTCCTCGCCGACCTTGGTCGCGGTCTTGACTGTTTCCTTCTCGAATTTGACCGACATTTTGAGCGCTGGAGCCGGTGGCCTTCGACACGGTATGAAGGATGTACGACGGATTGGATGATTATTATTATTATTATGCTGCTGGACCAGGGGGGAGAGAGACAAGGGAAAATGGGGTTTGCGACGGGGTATTGTGATGGAGGTCGAGAGGTCAGCTCTCCGAGGCCGCTCAGCGTGGGGAAGGGGTTCGCGTTTAGTTAGCCTGGTCGCCTTGTTTGTTTATGATTGGGGAAGAGCTGAAGCGGGCTGGACCGAGGTCAGGATCGAGTTTTAGCCACCGTCTGAGGGAGGGAACGCAAAGCCGGGGTCGCCGGGATAAGTTGGTTTCTGCTACCGAACGGCAGGGGTCGACAAAGGGAGTGCGATGGTGCAATTGAGAGTGTCTAGCAGCCACCGGAGAAAACAAGCCCAATCAAAGCGGAATGATGCGCCTGTGGTTTTGATTTTATGTTACTCCGTAGCTGGGTTTTCTTTTGCTGCTCTTTGCGACCTGCGCAGCGACAGCTTCGTTTTTCGCTGGGCTCGGAAAAAATGGTTTCCGGCGGTTTTAGTGAAGAAGTTACCGCTTGACAGGCTGCACGTCAGCGTCAGCGTTTCGCGCATCGTGGCAACGCCTTTCAACTTACCTAGATCCAGGAACCGTTTTCAACAGATTACTGTGCGGCTATCGTTCCAGACAAAAAAGAAAAGAAAAGGTCTCCGTACACAGCGAAAAGTGGTGATGGCTGCGGGTTGAGACGAACGGCGTTTGGTGGCGATGTTACGGCAGCGTATTACCATGACAACCGACTCGAAGTCCCGTTCCCAGCCTCCGAATTAATCTTCAACCAGATCTCTTGACTCGGCACAAATCGAACCGTCAATCGAGTTGCTCCGTCTCCTGCTTCCAATGCTTGAATGGAATGCTACTCGTGTACCTGATAACCCACAGAGTCCTGGCAAATTAACGCCTTTCTACGGGGTATGCGGGATTGCAAAGTTGCTTTCAAGATACCCAGTCGCTCTTACAACTTGGGAGATGGATATCGTCTCTAATTTGAACATGTTTGCTGCTGGCTGGCTGGCTGTTACCCCGTGCGCGATCTTTGAATGCGCCGGTGTGAAGGACGAATGCCCTGAGATGTTTGTATGTATAAGTACGGTTTAACGATGCTGGTGATCTCCTGCTTGGGCAAAAGTTCCTTGTGGTCGTGATGTTTGTGTCTGATATTAAGTCTGACCACGGAGTGTTCCGGCTGGATTCAATGACCTCGTGATATCACCGTTGGTCTTGGGGGTTCTTTGAATGAGACGACGAGGGTTTGTCGACGGAAGATAGGATGATTTGTAGGGAAGGGCTGATGTATTGGATTGCTTAACTACTACCAACTAGTCAGCTCTAAGAGCACGATCAGCAATCTCCATCCAACGTCCGCCAGATGGCATCTGATGTACTCTCTCCTCTCTTCCTCTCTCCCTTTGACAAACCAAAAGCGTCAACCTTGTCCCGGAAAGGGAGTTTTTCCGACCGCGAAACGTAATTTCACAGCGCGTAGTTTGTGTGCACAGCCTCGGTTCACATGAGACGTTTGCATCCGAATGTCCGCCGTAGGGCCAGCGCTGGATGCTGAAGGGAATGGCAGCAGCTTCATTCTTTCAAAGAATCACTCGTTCGTGAAAAGGCACGAAGAGCCCGTTTGGGTAGATGGATAATGGAGGACACCGTCACCACCCCCGACCCCTTAGAGCCGCCGGTTCAAGCGGAACCCAGCCCTGCAGCAAATAGGACTGAAGAGAAAGCACAATGGCAGCCCAAGGGCCAAAAGACCTGTGGGTGTAGCACCTTGAAGGACACTCTCTCAAAGGCAGATAGCACAGCCCTACGGTTAAGCAAGTAAGTCCGCCGTTTGTATCCCTGGCCAAATCCCAAAGGGCCACGAGAAAACCTATCGTTCTGACCAAAACAAAAAAAACTCGCCAGCTTAATATCCACGTCGTACGGAGAAGAAGCCACCCTGGCGATAGCTGGCTACTCTGCCGACATCCTGCACCATGCGCTCCTTTCCCCGCCGCTACGAGCCATCTTCTCTTGCCTTCGCACCCGTCTGGGACTCTCCGCGTCTGCAGATGATTCGAAATCGCAGACCCGGCCTCTTCTTGCCCTGGCATCCCTGATCTCCGAGACCCGGACCGCTCTCCGTTTGCTCGGCCTGATACCGCTCTGGGAATGGGGTTCGGCGACCGTGAAATCACCGCCGGCTGATCCAGTCCTGCGGTCGGTAGCTTTTGCCCAGGTCTTCGTCAACGTCATCTACCAATTCATGGAGAACGTTGCGTTTCTTGCGTCCAAGGGCGTGGTCTCGCAGCGTCTCCTCCAGCGTCTGGGTGGCGTTGGGAAATGGTATATCTGGTCTACCCGAGCATGGTTGGGCCATGTCGTTCTGGAATTTGTGCGCCTGTGGCGAGAACGATCGCTAGCTGCGAGGCAGAACGAACTAGCACTGGCGAAAGCGTCATCGCCGGATGATAGGCTCAGCGATGAAGATCAGCGTGCTGAGGCTCTGCGGATGCGGGCTTGGCGGAAGAGCTTGGTGAATAACCTTGCCTGGTTCCCGCTCTGTGTGCACTGGAGCTTGGAGGATGGAGCCCGGGTGCCGAGTAACATAGTTGGACTGCTGAGTTTCATTGCTACTGCTTGGAAAGTGAGCGATTTATGGAAGGCAACCGCAAGCGCGATCTGAACCAGCCATCGGAGCGAGCCCCGAGTTGAGGCAGCGAGAGGCGTTGGGCATTCGCATTGGTCATGTGCTATGTATTACGAAGATTTTATCTATACAAGGTCGTACGTACACTGCGGATATATGGGTAGATCATCACCCTTGGTTCGACAAGAGACCTGCCCAGGGAAGCGGCTTTGATGGCTGCGGCAAGACATGCACCACCCAAAACGTGACAAAGCAGCATATTATCTGACGACTACCCCAAGCAGCTATAGCAATATTGGGAGACTCATGGGATAAACGTTGAGGGTTGTAGAGAGCTATCATGACGCAAAAATCCAGCAAGGAGCGTATTTCCCATTCCTACGTGGGGGGGAAACCTTTTTTCTTCCTAGTCGTCCTCAAAACTATAGAGCAAATACTATAGAGCAGCAGACTCAAGAGCCCCGATCTCGGGGACATGGCTTAACTTTCTCCTTAAAACTTTGGCCATTGTATATGTCATTAGCATCGTCATGTGCGATAAGACCCTCAAATGAACCTAAAGTAATGCCTCGTCGCTTGGCTGCCACCAAGGCTTTGGTCAAGTGAGTTGAGCGCGGTTTTTGGACTCTTTTTCGACGAAATCCAACGTCTGGAACCTCAAGCCACACTTGCGCCAAGCCTTAACTGAGAGCTTTCCACTAAGCTGGATTGCGCCACTCAACACTAAACCGTTTTGGGTTACACAACGCCACATTTTGAGCCCGCCGCCGAACAGCGAGAGAAATACAGGCGGAACAGCAGGAGTCCCAGTGCAACCTGATAGCAGACAGGTCTGATGAGATCTGTGTGTGTGTGCGTGCATGTTTGCGATATTTATGGCTGTGTTTCCGGGTTTGAGTCGATTGGAGGAGTCATTGTTGGCGGCCAAAAAAAAAATAAATAAATAAATAAATAAATATAAATAAAAATAAAAAGACAATTTGATAGTGACAAGAGAGGGATTCGAACCCTCGCCCCTTTCGAGACATGGAAACTTTTGCTTCAGGTTGGCCTGAACCATGCGCCTTAACCACTCGGCCATCTTGCCTTGGCTCTTTTCCCAGAAAAGAAGAAAAGAGGGACAAAAGAATAAAAGGGTGGGGAACCAAATCAAGGTGCCGTACCTTTTTTCCCCCCACGTTCTCCGTACATCGACCGAGTGCTGGGAGTCGTGGAGTACGGGGTAGCGATTTGAAATGTTATATTGGCCAGACCACACTATGCACTCCCGTGCAAACTCTGTGGAAGCATATCGCGAACCATGATGAGCAGGGTGCTTTGAAAGCATGTTAATTACCTTGTTACCCAGCACCTGGAGTGTGAAATATTGTGTTTCAAAACAATAAGCAACTCTCTCTTCTCGCCTCCCCCGCAACCATGGACTCACGAACTCCGTAGGTAAGCCGGAAACATGGGAGATTGTGTAGAGAACTGCATATGCGAGGCCGACACACAAGCCATTTCCAACTTCAATTTGATGATGATGAATGGACTTGACACTAGCATATCCCACAGCTTCTGCTACCTGCTGCTTGGGGTTGTTGCGGAGTTTCAGTTGAGAATCTTATTCGCATACAGTCTTCTGGATACCACGTCACCATGATTCCATAGATGGGCGTAACGGCGCAGATGGCCTGGATGGAATGCCTTTCGGACGATCCAAGCCACATTATCCCTACATGTCAAAAGTTGGATACTTTCCAGCCGACCTTGCCAAACTGGCGAATGGGCGAGTTCCGTCTCACAGCTCCCCCGACAATACACCTTCCGATGCTCCGATACCGTGGGTTTCTCAGCCCAGCCTTTTGCCAATGAGCAATTGGACAGCGCTTATCAGCCCATCGCATGGTTTACTTGGTTGACCTTGATGACCGGTTCATATAAATCTTCCCACCGACGGAACATCGAAATTCATCGAAATAGCTTCCATTAGGGTTTGTTGCCTCTGACAGCCAGTCACTCGTTTGGAGAAAAGGGGGGAAACAAAAAAATTCAAAAACAAAGGGAAAAAAACACAATTTCCAATCTACATCCTCAGAGCAGGAATCATTTATCATCGACCCAGTTGCCTTCGGACTTCCTGTTTTCCAGTTTTTTTCGTTCAGAGCCCAGGACCGGCCTTAAAGAACTCTTCCGCTTGCGGGCGCCTGCAGTGGCTGTCTGGTGCTGTCTTCGTCTGCGTCGACCTTTTGATTTCACCAGGAAAATCGATATTTTACCACAGCCAAGATGATGAAACGAAGCATCTTCACAACCATTACCCCGTTGCCTTCCTATATTACTCGTGAAACCGTCATCGAAGCTCTGCACCAACACTCGGAGATGATAGAGCTGAATCCACTCGTCATCAAACACGTAAGATGCAAACCTCCTGGCAACGCTCCTTCGGACGAATTTCACTGTGTGTGGTACGAATTGACGGACAAAATACACTATCTACCGGGTGGAATACTCTCTGGAAACGTTTCGTATAAGGCATGTTTCCACGACCTGCCCAGAGGCCTCCAGACCCATGTTTACGCCCCTACGGGGCTGGATATAAAGGAGAAATGGAGCGTCGGAGGGAACATGCCCGGTGAACCACGGGAACCAATCGAATTGGGTCTCCTTGACGTCCCCCGCGAAGGTCTATACCTTCGAGAAGACGTCGATATGAGGTCTAACATCCTCACGACAAGCTTTGTGAAAAGGACCTTGAAAAAGGCTCATTCCGTCCTCGTCGAACGATTAATTGTCAAAGCCGACTTATTGAAACAACGCTACGAAGATGCACAGCGACAGAGCTTCATACCCCGGAGCTTAACGTATCCACTTACGGAGACGGATTCACACCGTGGCAGCATATATTCGCCGCCGTCCCCTGGCTTCCAAACCACTAGACCGGATCAGATACCTCCCCCGATCGTACCGCGTCTCGCGTTCCCCGATGACATGCATCTTCGGGCACGGGCCTCGTGCCATGCCGTCAGTCCGGGCCCTGTAGATACATTCCGACATTCACATTACATTCCGCCCAAACAGGCACATATCGTTGAAATAGACAGCACGCCGGTGTATGCTCCCCGTATAGGAGTCGGGCAGGCCGATATATTCTCCCGGGAGAAGAATCCTGCGGTATCTACAAAGCGTGCCCCTGTCATTCCGTGACACGGTCGTGTAGGGTTCGGATAGGCCACGTCCGGGCTTTCTGCCTTGGATAGAACATGTGGTTATTCCGATGCCTGGGAATTGGAAAGGTGGTATTAATTTATGATCTGATTATCGATCGAGTCGAAGGCAGGGTGTGCGGCTGCGTTTTCTCAATTTTCGAATGTCTTCTCTCTATTCACGTTCCTGGAGCATTATATAGGCCTTGTTTTGTATTGGGATACCCGGTTTTTGTTCGTATGATGAAATTCTTTTTGGTGTGCATACATTGCAAAATAAAGTATAACTATAAAAAGTTTGTCAATTCCAAAAGAAAAAGGGAGATAGAATTGAATTTCAACATTTTCTTTTCTTCTGGCGGTTCTAACCCCTTTTCGAATAACCACCACACCACTATAATATCAAATGATGCAAATAGGTCCGTTGGGAATAAGCTGTCCAGTTGTTCCATTCATGAAGTTGTTCTCTACGGCGATTTCCAACCGAAAATGCCAGTCACATGGGGCATCAAAATGTTCATGACTCAAAACATGGTTTTTCACAGCTGCCTGGAGCCTGAATGACTCTAATAAAATCCACTTCTCTGCAGAAGGAATCCTTTTTTTTTTTTTTTTTTTTACAGTTATTCTCAGAAGGAAGGGAAATCCGGGACCTTTTTCTGGATAGCGATACCTGGAGAGATGGGGGGCAAGGTGTTCTCGGAGCCAAGAGGCGATCAGGCCGCCCTCCGGACCCCTCGAATGAGCGAGGCTGTCTACACTCGCACAAGGGATTTCTGCATCGACAAGCTTCGGCAGAGCTTCGAGGTCGTGGTCGCGCCGCCAGAAGCCCCGGGCAAACTAGACTATGGGGACGTGGACACTCTCGTCCAAGGACTTCGACCGGGATTCACATGGGAAGAAGTTGGGAAGCGATTAAACGCCGTCCGCACGGTGAGGAATGGAGAGACGCGAAGCTTCGCTGTTCCTATCGTATGTTCTGACAGTGATGGTGATGACGGCGAGGAGGACACGTATGCGCAGGTCGATGTGCATGTGTGCCGTCCTGGATTTATGGAGTGGGAGTGCCTGCTTGACTCGTATGGTGATATGTGGAAGATCGTGGGCAAGTTTATGAGGCCGCTCGGCCTGACCGCGACGGATAAGGGGCTTCATGTTCGCATTGCGGAGATCGAACCGTTGAATCGAGCGTATAGCATGGTCTACCTCACGCATAGTCCGATGGATGTGCTGGACTTCGTGGGGCTGGATGTGGAGCGGTATCAACGCGGCTTCAAGACTCTCGATGAGCTCTACGGCTGGTGCGCGAGCGCGAAATATTTTCATCGTGATGCGCATTCGTCTGGCTTGGAGACGTCGAATGACCGGCAGAGAAAGAGAAAGAGGCCGATGTATCGAAACTTTGTTGATGAATGGATCCCTCGAAATGCTGACTTGTGGCAAGATAAGAAGCCAGCCTCGAGAGAGGATGTTGTCCAGCAAGCGCTACTGCGGTTCGGAAAACAAGCAGAGTACGAAGAAAGGGTTACAGCATGGAGGTATAAAAAAGAGGAAGAGGAACTCTGGAGTGAAGTTGCGTGTGTTATCGCAGAAGAGTGCTCCACAAACGTGAATATTGTTCTTAGAGGCTTGAAGAGATGGGTGCGATTTACAAATGGTGATGGCGATGGGCGCAGTGCAAACGATGAACCGGTGCGGCTAGTTCTCCGCACTGAGGCAGAGATGGACCCAAACCGCCAGCCGCGTTGGGCATCACAGATTTCACATGAACTGGGAGACAACCCCCTTTCAAAGGCTGAACTCCTCGGATGGGTTCGGAAACATTGGCAAGAGGTGAAAGTGCTTGAAAAGGGGCGCGTTGCCGCAGCAAAGGCAGCAAGGCGTTGATTTGATGCTAGGATTTTGCATTATGGGTTACGCTGGGGGAAATATCAAAGTTGAAGTCAGATATCCTGTTGTTAATCATAGATAAATAACTAGATGAAACAAGCTGTTCAATACGAAGGGATGGTCTTTATAAAAACACAGTTTCCCGAAGAGCAGTCGTGCAATGGGCTCAGCAAAAGAACGATGAGATGAAGGTCCGTGAACAGCTCCTGTTCTCTTTCCATTCGCCATAGGATGAATAGGTGGTTTTTGTCCATGTTTGTGACTGTGGAGGCCAATTCCTATTGTACAGCACGACGCAGATCCAAGGGGGTTCTGTCTCTCGCTCACTTCTTTCCTCAGGCTTTTCCTCGCAAGCGGATAACTGCAATCTATAGTAAAGGCGCCGAAATCTCCCAAACTTTGCCCAAGGACCAGCTTGGTTCTAGCTTTTTGCCCTAGTACAAAAATAAAACCCAGAATAAAAAGTGTAAGGTGGCCTTAAGAGGAATCGTACTTTCGTGCGATGTTCTGATACCATTCACTCTCGATAAAAGCATCCACTTTCCACGACTTGGAACCCGTTTCCACTATGCCCGCCATCGGGCCCTTCCAGACAAACGTGGCGGCATCGATACTCCGCAGATTTCCATCGTCCATGCAGATCTCAACTTGAACATGAGTTAACAGCTTAGAGTTTTCTGCCTCGAATTGATATATCCAGTTCCGCTGTTCGGGGGTCAAAGAGAAAATCACAAGGCCGTCAACACTCTCACCCAGTTCCCCTGATGGCAGCACTACTGGGAGGTTGGCTCCTTCGAAGACCGAGAGTTTGTATCCGAGTAAGCTCGCCTGGGTCATATTGGCGGCGACGTCGTAACCGGGCGGAGCGTCAGTTACAAATTGCAAGACCTGCGGGAGCATGAGCTGTCCGAACAGGAACATGGGCATGGGGCCTTTGAGCAGCTCATCGAGTCTCTCCGCTGATAACATGTTGTTCAAGGCCCGCTGATAATCTCGTGGGTATGTATGCTTGTATTCCATTTTATGCTGCTGCTGCGTATCAGTGGTATACGCCTAAAATGGTGGGTGGCTTCGTCCCGCGATTAGCTTGTTTTTTTTTAAGTAGAAAATTGGAGGGTGGGAGCAGGTGTAGCAGGCGTAAAAAAAGAATGCAGAAAGAAGTAGGGTATAGGAGATTTCGGAGGCTAATTTATATATATATCTGGCTTGTGCTGCCAACAAAATGACCTGGAGATGGACTGATTATGGGCAAACATCCCACCCAGCCCAGCATGGTGCTGTGGTCAATTCCAACGCTGGGAACAACAAACAACGACACAAACTGTGAGAAATAGCCTCCCGATGCCAAATACAGTGTCAAAGCAAGGGCGAGATGGCGCCATTGGCTGATCAGAATAGCATGAGGAGCCTTGTTTCTGAATGAGGGAACAATATCGAGCCATCACCAGGGATTTTCGAGACGGAGAAGCCATCCCGCTTTTGGAAAAGGGCATAGGAACTGGCCGGACTGGAGTGATGACAGGGAGCCATCCTTCTTTGGGGACGGGACACATCGCGGCAGCCTGGTGATCTGATCCAGCCTTGCTGTTGCCTTCCAACACCAGCACTCATCTTCACACGATGCCATGCCGATTGGCTCCAGCCCCCTCCTGCGGATTGCGTTATTCAATGCATTGGAAGGCGAACTGGAGGGTTCATTATTCATAAGGTTGCTGCCCTCAAGACTTCCTTGTAGCTACTGCATCTCCTCGAAGAAATCCAACTACCGATTGGCAATTGTATGATTGTTTTCTTTGTTATTGCTTTCATAGCATGATGAGCTGAAAGGGATAAACCTCGAAAAGCAGAAAGGGAGGCTCCTCTGTCGGGAACTGTCAGTGGAACTACTTCATCGCCAGGCCCCGGAGGCGACCTGGGGAACACGGACCATCGTCGGCGTTAGGCTTCCAAGCTGTCGTGGCGGCTTGCTGGGGCTGGTCCATGGCTTTCCAGAGGCTTCCAAGCAGCAACGCCGCCCGTGATTGGCCTGAAGTCTCTGATTTGCTGAGTCAGATGTCGGATTTTGTCAGCAGCGCACAGCCTCTAGCCGGACTAGGCTAGCGTCGCCGCCGGAGCTTTCCTCGCCCGTCTGCAGCGAACCTCATCGTCAGCCAAAACTGCCACCTTAGACCTCGCAACCTCCAACTTCCCTCCGCTTCATATCCTCTCCCGTCCAACCCTCCCTTTGCTCGTCTCTAACCTCGTTGTCTCTTCTGTATTTGTTCTTGTTTCCCATCTAATAGCTGCTTCCTCCCCAAGAGTTGCTCCTTCATAGGCCCTTTCGCTTCACGCCCGAGAAGCCTCTGGGTACAGCATCATAAGCTCGACACCCGCAGAGAGTGCGACCACATTCCTCCCTGCACATCTTCCTCTCAGTCTCGTAGCCTTGTGGACGCCTTCTCTTCCTAATTTTCTTTCCTTTACCTTTTACCTATCATAGTTGAAATCCCTCCTTCAAGATGTCTGCCGAACCAGATCACTCCCACCACAAGCACAAGGTCAACCTGAAGTGAGTCGAGAGCTGTCTTGAGACAAAATCGAATCTTACCTGAGTTGCCTATGCTAACTTTTGGTTACAGTGATCCTTCAGGTGCGGAAAAGAAAGATGTAATGCTCTTCGATCCAGTGTTCGTCGAAATGGAGAGTGGAGCGATTCTGACATCATATTAGGAACTTGATACTGCCACCGCCATCCTCAAAAAGAAGAAGAAGCCAAACTCGTTGATGTAGGCTTTTCCTCTTGCTTTCTCGATGGCTTACCTCGTCCAGAGACATATCGGCTGGAGAGTCCGATGCTAACTGTCTAAATAGTGTCACTGACGCCGTCAACGATGACAACTCTGTTATTGCGCTTTCCAACAACACCATGGAGACCCTCCAGCTCTTCCGTGGCGATACAGTCCTCGTGAAAGGAAAGATGCGCAGAGATACCGTTTTGATTGTCCTTGCGGATGATGATCTTGATGATGGAAGTGCGCGTATCAACCGCGTCGTTCGACACAACCTTCGCGTCAAGCATGGGGACGTTATCACCGTCCATCCTTGCCCAGATATCAAATATGTGAGTGGAATTTTACCGAATTATGGCCCCATTTCAATGTAATGGCAGCATGGCTGACACACCTTCCATGAATAGGCCAAGCGCATCGCCGTTCTCCCAATCGCAGATACCGTCGAAGGTTTGACCGGGTCTCTATTCGATGTTTTCCTCGCACCATATTTCCGCGAAGCCTACAGACCCGTTCGACAAGGCGACCTGTTCACTGTTCGTGGTGGTATGCGTCAAGTCGAATTTAAGGTCGTGGAGGTCGATCCCCCGGAATATGGCATCGTAGCCCAAGACACCGTGATCCACTGCGAGGGTGAACCCATCCAGCGTGAGGATGAGGAGGGAAACCTCAATGATGTTGGCTACGATGACATTGGTGGCTGCCGAAAACAGATGGCTCAGATCCGAGAACTTGTCGAACTTCCACTTCGACACCCACAGCTCTTTAAGTCTATTGGTATCAAACCTCCTCGTGGCATTCTCATGTTCGGGCCACCTGGTACCGGTAAGACCTTGATGGCTCGTGCCGTCGCCAACGAAACTGGTGCCTTCTTCTTCCTCATCAACGGTCCTGAGATTATGTCAAAGATGGCCGGTGAATCCGAATCAAATCTGCGCAAAGCCTTCGAGGAAGCCGAGAAGAACTCACCTGCAATTATCTTCATTGATGAAATTGACTCGATTGCTCCCAAGCGTGATAAGACTAACGGTGAGGTCGAACGCCGCGTCGTTTCCCAGCTCCTTACCTTGATGGACGGCATGAAGGCTCGCTCCAATGTCGTTGTCATGGCAGCCACAAACCGCCCCAACTCCGTTGATCCCGCTCTTCGTCGTTTTGGACGTTTCGATCGTGAGGTTGACATTGGTATCCCTGACCCAACTGGACGTCTGGAGATCCTTCAGATTCACACGAAGAACATGAAGCTTGCTGAAGACGTCGATCTCGAATCCATTGCTGCAGAAACCCACGGTTATGTTGGCTCTGATCTTGCGTCCCTCTGCTCGGAGGCTGCCATGCAGCAAATTCGTGAGAAGATGGATCTCATTGATCTCGATGAAGACACCATCGATGCTGAAGTTCTTGATTCATTGGGTGTGACCATGGAGAACTTCCGTTTTGCCCTTGGTGTTTCTAACCCCTCTGCCCTCCGCGAAGTTGCCGTTGTTGAAGTTCCCAATGTTCGCTGGGAAGATATCGGTGGACTGGAAACTGTCAAGAGAGAGCTCATCGAGAGTGTCCAGTACCCCGTCGACCACCCCGAGAAGTTCCTCAAGTTTGGTCTTTCACCGTCGAAGGGTGTCTTGTTCTATGGCCCACCAGGTACTGGTAAAACACTCCTCGCCAAGGCCGTTGCCAATGAATGCGCTGCAAATTTCATCTCTGTCAAGGGTCCCGAATTGCTGAGCATGTGGTTTGGTGAATCCGAAAGTAATATCCGCGATATCTTCGACAAAGCGCGTGCAGCTGCTCCCTGTGTCGTCTTTTTGGACGAACTTGATTCCATTGCCAAGTCTCGCGGTGGATCTGTCGGTGATGCCGGTGGTGCTTCGGACCGTGTTGTCAACCAGCTTCTGACAGGTAGGCAAAATTTTTGATATTATTTGTGTTGCAGAATAGAGCTCTCGCTAACATATTGTATAGAAATGGACGGGATGACTTCCAAGAAGAACGTGTTCGTCATTGGTGCCACTAATCGTCCTGAACAGCTCGATGCTGCCCTGTGCCGCCCTGGCCGTTTGGACACTCTTGTTTATGTGCCCCTCCCTAACGAGGCTGAGCGCGTTTCCATCTTGAAAGCTCAGCTTCGAAAGACACCTGTTGCTCCCGATGTCGACTTGGAGTTCATTGCTAGCAAGACCCATGGATTCTCTGGTGCTGATCTCGGTTTCGTTACGCAACGCGCTGCCAAACTTGCCATTAAGCAGGCCATCTCCATGGAAATCGAGCGGACCAAGGAGCGGGAGGCTGCGGGTGAGGATGTCATGGATGAGGATATGGATGACCCAGTTCCAGAACTTACTCGCGCCCATTTCGAGGAGGCCATGCAGATGGCGCGCCGATCCGTCAACGACACGGAGATCCGTCGATACGAAGCTTTCGCACAGAGCATGAAAAACTCCAGCGGCAGCAATTTCTTCCGATTCCCAACTGAACAGGAAGCCGGTCAGGCTGGATTCGGTGACGCTGGCAACGATGATAGTCTTTACGATTAAGTAATACCATTGGGGTTTTTCATGCTACATTCTGGGTTTGTCTTCATATCTCACTATGGCGATGAGGATTTCAACGGATCATTGGCATCAATGTTAGGCGGAGCAGGAGACGAAATGTCTTTTAAATTTTGTGTACGCACGACTTTTTTATTTTCCAAATTTTCCAGACTTTAGATTGACTGTCTCTTTGATTTACTTGAATGATGAGGTGTCTCCTTGCAAGACGGGAAAAGCAGTTCAATAGTCAGATAGATAATAGCTAAAGCTCAATGCTCTGGAGGAAAAGAAGAAGCATGCTTTATTGCTCCCATGGCCGCTTGGAAAAAAGGGAGAGAAAGAAAAAGAATCTCCCGATGCACGTAATCTACACGCTCCCCCAACCGTCATTGCCAGGGGGTTTGGAAAAAAAAAGAAAGGGAAAAATTAAAGACCATGACCACATCTATGTTGTTCTGTACATGGAAGGCGAATAGGGCCAACCTGCTGTAAACCAAATATCAACGCCAAATCCGCCGAGTAAAGTTAACCCAAGTTAAAAACAAAGCGTTAAAAAAAAAAAAAAAAAAAAAAAGAAGGGAATAAAACAACGCAAAACAAAAACAAAAAGATAACAGTAAAGAAGATGGATGTTATGGTAGCTAGCGCTTCTTCGCGATTTTCACTTTCGGATTAGCCACCTCTTCATCGTCGTCGTCGTGGTGGTGTGTGTCGGCGGCGGCGCGGGGGGCACGTTCAGCTCCGCCATCCTCGTCCTGGCCTTTGGGTGCCTTGGTGAATATCTCGTCGATAGCTTCGTGTAGAAATTTAACACCCCTTCCGACGATATGCGAAGGTATACGGACGTCGAATTCGGCGAGAAGGTACAGTTCGTCGTCGTCGTCGTCGTCGTTCTCCTTCTCCTTCTTCTTCTTCTTCTTTGCCTTCTTCTTCTTCTCTTCCTTGGAGGCGTTTTTGCTGTTGCTGTTGTTGTTGTCGTCGTCGTCGTCGTCGTCGTCGTCAGAGGGAGATTTGTGTTTTCCTTTGGGATCTGCTGTCTCAGCGGTGGTAGTGGTGCCGTTGGCGGTCTGTTCGTGCGAGTCCTCCGTCTCGTCGGGGTGGTCTTCCTCCCCCTTGCTTCCCTCGGCGTCGCTTGTGTTTTCCTTCTTGAGGGGTGGTATGCCGTTGGTGGCGGAGGTGGTCCCGTTGGGTCCCTTGTCGCGTTTTCTTTTGCCGAGGATGGAGGAGGAGGAGGAGGAGGAGGTGGGGGAGGGAGATGGGCTGTCCCCGGTGGTGGGTTTGGGGGAAGTGGCCAGGTGCACGACCTTGTCGAGGAGCTCGTCGAACCTTGTGCAGCGGCCGGAGCGTAGGAGTTCGAAGGCGAGGCTGCGGACGCGTTCGGTCCAGCCTGCGGCGGAGAGGGAGTGGAGGAGGGATGTGTGCAGTTCGTCGAGCTTGGTGGTGGTGCAGAGGTAGGCTAGTGCGAGGTCGGTGGAGGAGGTGAGGTCGGAGAGGGGGTGTTCCGCTGGCTCGGAGGAGGCATCGGAGAGGGTTTTAACACGGTAGATCTCGTCCAGCTTGGTGGCCGGGTTGGAATTAATGGGCTTCGAGTCGGTGGATGGCATGGCGGAGGCGTTCGCGGACCCTTGGGGGGGTTAATAAATTATTAAAAAAAAGGAAGGGCTGAAAAGAGTGCGGCGAAAGACCAGCTGTCGCGAGGGAGAAATTGGGTTGACGACACTCCTGGAGCGTGAACCGGAAATGGATTCCAGAAGCCTTTCAGAGTAAAAGCGAAAGTCTGCGAAAATCTGAAGAAGGACAGCTTTTGCTATGTACCTTCGGTGGTTCGGGACAGGGGGGGGGGGGTGTTTTGATCGTGTGTGCTGGCAAGCAAAAGGGAAGGGAAGGGAAGAAAAGGAAGCGAAACGGGAGGGGGGAAGAAAAAAAAGAGAAAAAGACTTGTCAGGGAAGAAATGTCGTGTTCATCTTCGTCCGGCCATTTCTTTATCTCCTCGTGCGATTGACTGGGCCGGGGGCTGGTGTACCTCATTCATGCGTGTTATTGAAGCGCTCCAGGTGTTCATCGAGTCGTGCTCAAAAAGTCTAGTTTGGTGGACGTCATTGTCCGCCCGAAGGCACTTTTCGCCTCTGATTGGCCCAACCGAAGGCGGTCACAGAGTTTCTGCCGCCCGAACGGCATTTTTTTGGAGCCTCAGCGCCGCGGCGAAACGGAGAGGACGGCGGATTGAAGGCGGAGGAGAGCCAATTACAGGATGTTACATCAAATCAACGAAGCTTACGGAGTACTCTTAAACTGCTCTCGCCGGCGCATCGACCGGTTTGCTCGGTGACGGACGCGATGCCGCAAACTCGCTGCCGGAACAGCACAGCCATGCAAGGGGCGTCCAGAGCCGCCATTGACACGTGACTGCGCCACAGCCGGCGGCGAGTTAGTTTATTAGTCGGCTGAGCTAAGCCCGCATTTGGGAAGCTGCCAAGCATTTCAACCTTCCAACGCATTTTGTGGGTTGTTTGGTTTAAAGGAAAAAAACAATAAAGGTGCTTGATCTGACACAAAAGGGAACAGGAGCAAGCTCTGGATCTGTCTTTGGGCCGAAATGGACCATGGCAGGCAGGCTGGGAGGACTACCTAGGTTGAAGTATCGATTGTTGGACCAAGGGGCGTGCGCGCTGGAAATCTCAAGTTCAAGCATGTACGGAGTACAGAGTTACCCCATCATGTCGCCTGAAGCTTTGCACTCAAGAACATTTTTAGTCAATCGGTTGCTGGATGCAAGTTGAACACCAATTCGCCAGGACATAACTAAGCTAAAGCATGTCATGATAATTGGGACCCACCTGAAACAGACAGCAAGGCAATCCGAATTTGCCTGTTTTGCGGAGACAATTTCCACCTGAGTCTCCATTTGAGCGCCCCTTTCTTTGTATGTATTGATAGAATGACTTTGGACGTGACACGCACACACACAATGGGGTGGGTATGTGCAAAACATCGGGTTCCACTGCTGTTTGCCAGAATGCAGTTTACCGTCAAAATGACAAACTGATCGTTGTCAGCTATTGCCAAAAAAAGGCCTGTCTCCTAGGACATTCTTTAGCCCAATATTTTCAGCAGCGGCTTGCCAGCATTTCAGAAGACCCCCCAGATTAAAAGCTATCGACTCTAGCTAGCCTTATGCTTCAAACTGTCCTTTGTCAGTGTGGTAGATTGGCTTGGACCCAGTGACGTACCTCCGGTGAATGGAAAGGCTAGAGACCATCAAGTGATGATCAAGCACACGCATCCCTGGTTACCAGATGGCTATACTGAAGAAAGCCACTGTCTAACCGTGACTCCCAGGTCATGAAGGTGCACTTCATTCACGACGGTTCTCTAGCTGACATGATCGCTTCCCTCAAACACGTGAATGGAGGTACAGTCAGCCATCACGTCAGCAAAGATTATATATAAATCTTGTCTCTGGACAGTTTAAAGAAAAGAGATGCGACCCAGACAGGCTTATCGACTTGGCCAATGTGTGGTGCAAAGATACCCTTGCCGAACCTTTTCTCCCAGATTGCTTTTATACAAATTGAACACATCCCTCTCAAATAGCCCAGAGGATGGCCGCTGGGGTTGAAACGGTTGCACAACCCCTGAGTAACTCGGCAGATGGCCAGGCTGACCACAACCTGTCGCGTCTTGTGGGATCCGATCTCCCAGCAGCGGACGAAATTCACGCGTCGAACAGTGTCAAATCAGGCCTAGGAGTCCTTGAGATCTTCCCTCTCGAGATCCTTCACATGATCCTGTCAGGCTTGGATATCACAACTCTTACAAACTTCCGCGCAGCAGGTCAAGACGCCAAAATAGTCGTGGAGAGCATCTCGAAATATACATCTATATATAAACTGGCGCCAAGCGTATTCAGAGCGGTCCTTTCCTTTGGAGCCGGTTCCTGGATCACTTGCGAAGACCTCCGCGGTGCCCTGAGCAGCACATCCTGTGCCGCGTGTGGCGGACCTGGAAGCTTTATATACCTCTTCTCGTGCGAGCGAGTCTGCCCGGAATGCATCACGCGCGGACCAGAGTACCCGACCGCTTTGACCGGCTTCGCCAGGTTTCTCTGTGACCTCGATAGCAAGACGCTCGGCGAGCTGCGAACTATAACTATACCGGAACGAGACGCGTGTCCCGATATGGTGCACCGTCCGCTGGAACTGGTGAATCGAAACGACGCTCTCAACGCTGGCATTCGCCTTCACGGCCCAGATTCACTGTTCTCAAAGATTAGCGATGGGGAGAGCGACGACGAGGACACTGACAGCGACTACGGCGATCGGATCGAACTTGAGGAAGGGAGCTCTCTGGCAACTGAGTCTACCGCATCTTCCGAAAAGGCAGACCTCATCAGCGGCGTCACCTTTTATGCAGGGGCCGTCCGTGCTCCGCAGGTGAACTTTGCCGCTGGCTATGTGGAGTGGGGTGTTTGCTGCAGCTCCTGCCGCAACAGTGGCCGCATCGGCCGCGAGAAGATGAAGTGGGATGAAGATGGCGCCGCCAAATATGCGGACTACCTCCGGGAGTGTAATGGTGCGATGACTATTCTTTCATGCCTGGATTACTGTCAGCATGTTGCGCGCAGTGCGGCGGTTGGCTACGTTCCCATGGTGAATGAAGATTAAATCACACCCTTTTTATTTTATTTTATTTTATTTTATTTATTTGTTATTTCTTTTTTTTTCTCTTTTGTTTACGTTTATCTTTCCCCAGGGAGAGATCTCGGAACAACTGACTCTGCATCTGTTACTTGCATTAGTTACCCTGAAGATCTTAGCACCCGGCGAGTCTAGATCATGTCGACACGAATTCGGTTTATAGCGATTTGCAACGGAAGATGCATATAAAAAGGGTTTATCGGCGTTGCTGTGGCGAGAAGTGTTGGTAACAATGCTATTTTACAATTTTACTGCCACATTGTGCTCTAACGGTGCTGCGTTACGGAGTGTTCGACGGCTGATATGTCGCATCTACATGCATACTACTTACATGTTACATCAGATAGCTGCATACGATGATTCTCCTACAATGCTTTTATCCTGTTATGTACTCTGTACTTTTGGTCAACACTCTTAGTTACTTACTCCGTGCTCTGTACTCCGTACAATAGAATCATTATCACTCTGGCGATATCCCAAAATGTAGATTTTGAGAGGTTCGATTCGCGATTTGCTGGCGGAATCTGCTGCGGTGGACCCGCCATACCGCATTAGGACTAGTCGCCGCGCGGATCACGGGCTCCACCCAGCACATCAGACGCTAAACCGTATCCGGTATGCTCTGTCCACGTGATCCAAATTGGTGGAGAGGTTTCACGTGACCCTAACCCGATCCGGCAGCCGCAACGCCCAGCCAGCCAGCCAGCGAGCGAGCATCTCCAAAGTTGTGGGCATTTCGCGACGGGCGAGCGAGAGACGGACAGCAGCTGCGGCGACGAACAACGACGACGACGCCGACGACGACGACTACAGAAGCAACACCAAGACGAAGAGCCTGCGAACGAATATCCCGTTGACGCCTCCGCAGACTAGTCTACGGAGTACATGGTCAGACTTTCGCTGGCGAACCGTCGCTTTGACGTGAGACTTCCCAGTTTCAGAGCCTTCTATTCGCTGATCGTCACGGATTGAACCATCAACTAACCGCCAGGCCACTTCCAGATTGATCTCAATGGTTCCATTGATCGCCGTGGGTTAACTCAAGAGCTGTCTACCCAGATCTTTTATCCGCGACGAGTGGCGAGGCTGTCCTCCGTCGCACCGTATACTTTACCGTCCACCCTTGTTGCCAAAGACGTTATTCCTGCTCAACCCCAGCGTTCGTCAACTCAAACGCTTGCTTGCAGTCGAGTTCTAGTCTGATTTCAAATCTTCTTCGAAGTTTATCCGCTGGCAGAATATTACCACGACCTCGAAATTGTTTTTTTTATTTTTTTTTTTTATTTGTTTTTGCTTGCTCGAACTTTTCTTGCGACTCAAGGATACCTGTTTAGTCATAGTCGTCGGTTTATGTCTTTATCGCCGTTTCGTCGAGGCTCGACCTTGTCTCACTCGGGACGGATTCGGCAGCAGAATCGAAGAAACAACTAGGGCCGCTCTGCGCTAGGGGAGGGAGTTCCTAATTGTTTTTATTATTATTGTCATTATTTTCCCCCTTCGTTCCGCGATGGCATTCCCTTCCTCATATCATCACGGAGACTCAGACGCGGACGACGAATACGAGAGGAGCATTGTCGTCTCACCCCGCCTCGCCGACGACTCTGAAGCATCTCCTACCGATTCCGAACCCCCCTCTACTGAAAATACACCCACGGCTTTTGCAAACATGCCCGACGATCGCACATCACCGACATCCTCGATAACGGAGTGGTCTGCGGAGGAGTGTGCGAATTTCGCTTCGAGTCTTGGCTTGAAACAATACCGTGATTCGTTCATAGGTGAGCGGGAATGAATGGCTGCTGGGATATTCCCCTTTTCCTCCGATTACAAGACTGATCTGTTTGTGTCTGGTTATATTGTAGAAAATGAGATTGTTGGAGAGGCACTTATCGCACTGAGACACGACGAATTGAAAGAGCTTGGAATATCCAGTGTTGGCCATCGATTAACCCTGTTAAAAAGCGTATACGAGATAAAGGTTAAGCAAGGAGTGCCGTTCGACTCGGACCATTATGTCCCTTTGTGTAAGCAAATCCTTAAAGTTTGCTTTAACCGTGCTCCTCCGGGACGGGGTCAATTCTAACATAGTCGTTAGCTGCCGAGCAGAGCAATGCGAAGGAGGTAGCCACACAGGAGGATGTTGCGCTTCTTATAAGGACTATTCGGAAACGGGATGAGAGACTCGCAGCGGCGGAAGCAGAGTTACGGAAATTGGCGGATGACTACCGAAGGCTCAGAGAGGAACTGCTACCGGTATTCAAGATGGCCAAGGACAGGTCGCAGCCGTTACCATATCAACCAACCTCATCCTTCGGAGGTTCTACACTATTATCGGATCAATGCATCCACGACCAACCCGCTACTTCCCCCTCGATAAATCAACCGGAGAAAACAGGCACTAGCCTCTCTAGGTCTTTTTCAAAGAAACTTTTTGCCGGAGGAACCACCCCCAAAACCAGCTCACCGACACATATCCCGCAGTCTATACCAGAGGGCAGGACATACACAGACACATCAACTCTCGATCCATCTGCGGCAGCGATGGCTGCCTCCTCTCATCTGACGGCTTCCATGAACGGTGGCCAGCCCTCGCCCAAAGGTATCCCATCACCTACCTCTCCCGCTAGCTTCTATCCACAACAAACCCTTGCATCCCGATCATATTCCCGCGAGACCTCAAGTATCAACCGCTCCTACGACCATCCAGAAGACCCGCAATCACAACAGCGACAAGATCGCCCTACACCAAACCATCCAAACTCCAACAGCAATCCTCCCAGCTCACGCAACCCCAACGATGCCGCAGGCCCCAGTGTCGAGATATTCAAATCCTTCCGGGTCTCCATGGACGATCCATGTTACAAAGTTCTCCCTGCCGCCCTTAAGAAATACAACATACACGAAGACTGGCGACACTACGCCCTTTATATTGTCTACGGTGATCAAGAACGCTGCCTTGGCCTTGAAGAGAAACCCTTAATTTTATTTAAACAATTGGCCGGTGATGGCCAGAAACCTATGTTTATGTTGAGACGACAGACACCGATAAGCGACAGCACAGCAACAAATATATATCCCGGGGGTGGAATTGGTATCCCGCCGGGAAGTGCCGGTATTGAAGGGGGAGGAGGAGGAATTGGTAGGCCACAACCCGGGGCGATTCAGCTACCCGGTGGTGTATTATGATGCCTTTCGGGGTTCCCACCCTGCCCGTTTCCTTTCTCCTCATCCGTCATTTACGGTATTTGGCTTTATTTACGTAATTCAGATCTCTCCTACTTCACCTGGAAGAAGAAGAAGAAGAAGAAGAAGAAGAACAAGAGTTGGTTTTGGTCCTCATTTATTTTCATTTTCATTTTCTCATCTCTTTTTTCTTTTTGTTGCAAAGGCACTTCCCGTTTTCAATTAGGTTGATGTAACTACAATTTTTTACGGTTTATTCATAGGCATATTTGAAATATCTACGTTTGGGAGTGGATATGTTGCCGGATCCTTATAAGCTCTCAGCGATAGCGATCGATGTAGTAAAGTTATTTCGTAGGCCAAAGCTCGTACTATATGCGTTCTTCAAGCGACAACCAGGCTCCTCTCGAATTGGTGGTTAAGCTATTATCTTCCGGTTTGCGAGTCTAGTCGCCCTGTCCGCAGCTCCATCACCTGAAACAGTGGAACCAACCCTTGGCTTTGTCAAAGGTTCTGCTCGAAATCCGAGACTCGCCTTCCCCATCTTCACTCGCGGCGACGATCAATTGCGCATTCTCGGCGTCATCAGACACTGTTGATACATCAGAATGGTCGAGGGCCACGGCCTGCGTCGGATGCTGTCTGGCGCTGAAATTGGAACTTCCGGAGTGTCCTTTCGTTTTGCTTGTTCCTTATGATTCCATCACTCCTCTCCTCCCTGCCCGGTCTCGAGCATTACGATACACGGATGCTCCCTGACGAAAAATGACGTTTCCAGGTTAGCCGGTGCCAAGCCTATTAATCACATGACTACACACAAATCGACTCAGATGACTAATTAGTCTAACACGTGACTCGGTCCCTGAGGAGGCCGATCTGTTTATGTAAGCAGCTGCGGCGCGGGGGAAAGAAATTCATACATGCACTTCTGTGATTCCGGACCGCGCGGAGAGAACGAAGACTGGAAAGAAATAGGAAATCGTCGTGGCATCTCTGTTTGCTTGCTCTGTGTCTTGGTGTGCAGTGCATCAGAATTCTTGATTAGCTCGAACCCGGCGCATGAACCTCTCCAGCCAGTCAGCAAGCCTAACTTTCCTCTCCGTATTTAGCCCCTCATCATATCAACCATGCCGGGATATTCCTCGAGCCAGAAACAACTTATAGCACAATTCGTGGCGTTTTCAAGCGCAAAAGAGAGCGTTGCTGCAAAGGTATGGCCTTGAGCTCTGTTCCGTTTGAAACCCTGAGAATTGCACGGCCTGAACGAGCATTTTTGCCAACCGCCCGATCGGCGTAGGGGATTGTCAGTCTTTGCACCTTGCTGATGGTTTGCCCCTCCTGATATAGTATCTCAAAAATAATGGATGGAATGTTGAGAGGGCTGTAGATGAGTAGGTGGCCATTTCCATTAACTGCCCTTTTTTTATTTATTTATTTTTTCTGTTGCGCTCTCATTTTGTTGTCGTGTGTCACGCCGGGGCCTAGAGTCTTGTCTGTTGTTTGACAATCTGGCCTTGCGTGGCTCGGAAGCATGTAACCATGCTCTTTGATATGAAGTATGTGATGTGCTTTAATTGAGACTTGTGGATACCCATATACCCCGATAAGTAGTATCCAACATTTGGACCAACTTCCCGAAAGCCGGGGCTTCCAATTTTGTATGGTCTCTTGCTGATGAAAAGGCCCAACTCCTTGGTATTCCATTGTTGTGATTGTTTAAAAGACAGTACCTGAGGAGGAGCTGGCCCTGGAACACTCCGCTACAAATCACGTGGAGTGTCAGAGCGTGTGGACTTCAAAAAGATAGACGCGATCATGTTCACTTTCTTCACCTTACCTCTGTGCGTATCCAGTGGTGTTCTCTGTGAGCTGAGAAATTTGCGATCTGGTGCTGTTCTTGATTGCTTCTAGAGCACCTTTAGCAAGATATTAGCCGGGATCTCTCTCACTGGCACACCCCAGAATCACTCTGGCTCTTTCTCCTCTTCTGATATTGCACAGTTTCTTCTAGCAACAATGACTCCGCTGACCATAGCGTTCGAATCTGATAGCTACTTTCAAAACAACGCATCAGCCTCACAGGCGATGGTGTCTGCTCTGAACAAGATATTTGATAGTTATCGAGGTAAACATTCTCTCACACAATTCAACACATATTTTATTTTTGCTAAGAATAGACACAGATTCTCCTGCTGATAACCCTGATGGCATCGGAATTGAAGGCGCAATGAAATATTTAGGTGACATAAAAGTGCAACTGGACGAAGTTGTCTGCCTGGCGATATCGGAACTCCTGCGCTCACCATCAATGGGTGAATTTACACGCGAAAGCTTCATCGATGGGTGGAAGGACTCAGGGTAAGCTTTACCCCAAAATTCATGTATTTGAAGGTATCTGTTTAACTTCCACCAGCTCGGATACCCTTGCAAAGCAAGCATCCTTTGCCTCGAATCTGCGCAAACGCATCCGCAACGAACCCGATCTGTTTAAACGCGTATATCGCTATGCATTTATTCTCTGCCGCCTGCCTGGTCAGCGCCATCTCACCCTGGAAATTGCAACTGAACAGTGGCGTCTATTCTTCACAGCAGACAACGGTGGCATCTCGTGGAACACCTCAACCACACCATGGCTGGACTGGTGGCTTGAGTTCGTCGAAGGCTCGTGGAAACGTCCCATTAACAAGGATCTCTGGGAGCAGACGGAGGTGTTGATGCGAAAGACTCTAGAGGATCCGAGTTTGAAATGGTGGAGCCCGGATGGGGCGTGGCCAGGTGCTGTGGATGATTTTATAGTCTTTGCGAAGGGGAAATTGGGACAAAACAGCTCCAGCGAGGCTATGGATGTTGAGTGATAGAAGATTCACGGAGGGGATTTCAGGAGAACGAAGGATACGCTGTTATGAGACTAATGATGAAGACCTACCAAGGAGGATAGAAAGGGCGGAATCAAATGGTTTTTTTATACTAGGTCTAGTGAACATTGAACGGCGTAACTCAGTGCCAGACATACATGGCTTTTATGGAAAAGACTCTTGATCTATAATCGGCTCCAGTATTCGGTAAACAGTATACCTGCGGAGAAACGAATGACAACTGAGTTCATGCAAAAATGAAGATAAAGTGTTGGCAGTAAAGACCGCGTCCTAGCCCCAAAATATCTGGAGTCGAAGCGAAAGGATATCTGTTAGAAAAGACGGGGGCTGAGAAGAATCAACCACATAGGTAAAATCATCCCAGTCTAAAATCAAACCCGAGAACACACGTCAATGATCACGCAGACATTCGCATCCATGAAACAGATGCCTAATACCAAAGAAGGCACAGTACATATCATCTACCATTCAATAGTGAGGCGGGATCGGATAGCACGGCGTTCTAGGACGCCCATACACCGCAGGAATTTGGGCGGGATACAGGTATGCTCCGGAATCAAGGCCATGAGGGCAACAATATAGATCGTGCGAAACGTAAGGATGCTCTTGTCCATGGAAAGCGGGAGAAGGGGAAGTGTGGTAATGGGAGCACTGGTGCGCGCATGATAATGGCTTTTCTTCCTTGTCCTTCTCCTTGGCTTCCGCCTTTTCATCTTGGTCTTGTTTCTCCTTTTCCTTCTTCCTTTTCTCCTTCTCGTCCTTGGCTCTTTTCTCCGCTTCACATTGTTCAACAAGCTGGTTAAAGATTTCGGGAAAACACTGGCAGAGGCTTTCGAGCTCCCTAGGGGTTAAGCCGCCCAGCTGTTTCGTGTCGTCCTTTTTTCCATCCTCGCCGTCTTGGTCTTTCTTCTCTCCCTTTTCAAGGGCTTCGAGGGCCTTGTTAAGTAGTAGGTCGTCCTCTGTCTCGCTACAGTCCTTGTTAAACAGCTGATTCTTCTTCCTAAGTCCCATGAATCGATCTTTCCATTGCTCGCTTTTCTGAAGAATCAGAATATTGGTCTCTCCTGACTTTTCGATCTTCTTTGCAAGAAAGGCTCGGGCCCAGTTGCGTAAAGTATTTTTATGTTCTTCTTTCTCCAGGTCAGCTTCATTGTATATTTCCTCCAGCACGGCCATCGGGTCGTTGTGTGTCTCGCTCATGGAATAGAGCCGCTCAAGAGCCTTCTCCTTGAGCTCATCAAAGGCCATTCGACTGCCGAGTACGAACATCTGGATATCATTGACCAAATATGCAGGTGTATTAGGATGGAACGTAGCAATTGAAGGAGGACCCCGGGCCGTAGTGGTGGTGAGATACGGGGTGCTAACCCGTACCAGCTCTGGAGGGTAATCCTCATTAAGAAGAAAGGAATAAAACGCAAAAAATAGATGATTGGAGGGGGCTGGGACATTAATAGACACATTTCCCTGAGGAATGTTGGAACTGATCGATTCGAATGGTGTTAATTTCGACCTAGGGAAAGGAACTGCGAAGTTTGCAAAATGGAGTTCAACATATCCCTCAGGAGAAGCTGGATAGCGTGTACGAAGAACCGGAACGAAAGAAGCCTTATCCACTTGGGCCGTGTGAAGATAGTGTGATTTTGGGCTATAGTACCTATAAGCACATGCCTCGTTACCAGATATTAGCTTAACGAAATCTAAATGCTCACTATAACTCGGGAGTTGGTTTCCCGTCCTTGCCGTCGTGAAGTTTCATCTCATCAAGAGTCGACATATGGGCCCGGCAAAGCACTTTGTCAAGCCCATCATCCCCGTACCAAAGGCAATAGCTCCACCCCTTTGACTGGGCCGCGCGCTTGATATGACGATCTGCTCGGACGGGATTTCGGTATGCGCACGGTCTCGAGGGCATCGACGAGGTGCGAACTGCCCGGGTACCCTGGGCTCGACATACTTCCCGTATTCTGTAGATCAAAGTGCTGAATCCAAGGCCGTGCTGAAGACTGTGGTTATCTGCCTGGTCATTTCCCTGAGCATCGCAGCATACGAGGAAGTATGCATGAACCATGTGATGAATGAGAAAGGGAATTAGAAACGGCACGTTCTCTTCGTATGCAAGGAATGAATTTAGTTCAATAGTAATTCTTGTGTCCCGCACGCCTGGTTTGAAAGTAATACCGTGGATTTCGGGCGCAAAAGTCTCCCATCGAAGGTAAATCTGATCCTTGAGCACACCACGGAAAAGGCTGGTATCAAGGGTCTCAAAAAGATGGTAAGGAGACCAGTGATAGTCTCGTTTATGTACTTGGCATTTCGGTAGGCTTAAATCCGGGGTGCTGTAATTCTCCAACGCATCAAGGGCCAACTTTGTGGCTACGGTCTCGCTAAGACCCAGAGGCTTCGAAGCAGGTACATTCTTCGCCAGAAGGCCACGACCCGTCTTTTCGTTTTTGACAACCTCTGTCTTGCTGCTGTGACAACTGCATTTGGAGTGAGGCATACTTGAAAGATGACAGATTTGAAAGGGCACATAAAATAGCTATGAAGTTGGTTAGGTACGGAGAACCAGACAGAAAAAAAGTTCGGCAAGCATAGCAGGCAGGGTATCATTTAAAGCTGAACTTTTGAAAAGCCTTTTCTGCCCATACAGCATCAAGATTGTTGGGTATGATGCCTAAATAGGCTTGTTTGATGAATATTGGCCTAAATCCCAACCCTCATATGTGTCTGCCCAAAGCATCATGTTTGCTAGCATCGTGGTACAGCGAAGGAAACAACCCAAGGCAGCAAAACGAACATGTACAGATTTAGGGGACGCAGACAGTCGGATAACGGCGTTGATGCAGGAGCATTTAACTCGTCATACCTTCAGTGATGTCTAGCTGCCATGGGGTTATTTGCTCAACCAACGAGATTGAAATCCGAGAAGCAAAGTGTAAACGCAGGAAAATAGCCACCTAAAGGTCCAGTGGAACCTTAACCAGAGATTACCATGTAGTAGGTTGTTTGGTGGGTTGAGTACCATGTACGTTATCCAGTGCCAACCGGCGCCCACCCGGGCAAGGCCCAGCAAAGGCACGACGGGCGCTTGCGGGATGAGGATGAGAGAAGAACGGAGTATGGCCTTTCGAAATTGGTAACATTTGCTTTTGGCTCGCCTATGTATGTCAACTGAACCCAAGTGCCTTCCAACGCCAAAACTGATAATGTAGTAAACATAAACACAAATTGAAAAACACATTTATGTTGTCTGGAACAGCGTGTCTTCCTATATAGCTGTTAGCAATATTTTAAAGAATAAAAAGGACCCGGATACCAACCTCTCTTAGATATTCCCCAATGTCGCCTTGTCTAAATGTCGTAATTCCAGTCGGGTCCAACCGACGCGCTTCTGCCGTCGAACGGGCTGTTACTCCGAATCCCTAAAAGCAGGTCAGACAGCTCGCGCAACAATCGAAAGGAAATAGAAGCTAAAATACCAGAGGAGTATCATCCATTGACATTACCACCACGCCCTGGTGCTCCGGGCAGTCGTCACTCCACCGTCCAACATGCGCCTTAACAACATTTCCACCATAGAGGAATGGCATCTCTCCGTTCGGCTTAATCCACACCTTATATCTTGCATGAGGTGCGATAACGTCTAGAGCTGTAATGTGCAGTCTAAATTTGCCCGTCTTTGTGAATTTTCCTATACAGGTACCGACGGAGAGTAGGTTGTCGCGCGCGATGGATGTTGCGAGATTGGCTATAGAAAGGCGGACATAGTAGACTCGTGATCCATGTAGGCGGAAGACATGTCTTTCATCTTCGGATTGGCCGCCTTCCGAAGAGGAGGGAGGAGCTATGAGGTGGTTCAGGGAGCTACCCGTGTAGTTCGCAAGCTTGGAGAACAGGGTTTTCGTCTCCGCCTCGGTGAGAGGACGCATGCTGAGAACAGGTCAAGGGAATAGCCGTAACAAGAGCAACCGGTTTATATCAACAGCACCAGAGATGACCAAAAAAAAAAAATAAAATAAAATAAAATAAAAATACAAGATTTGCTTGCGGATGGTGTTGCAGGAGTTGCGATAATTTTCTTATCAGTCGAGCTTCCGGTCTTGGCACCGATCAAAATTTCGGCGGAAAATCTCCCAGGACGAGCTCCTCCGCATCTGCCTTCCAACATCAGCCGAGAACAATCCTGAAGATGGCGCCGGGCCATGCTGCAAAGAGGAGACGTCTCAGTCCCACTGGAAAAACCACTGCTCCATCTACTCTGAACAGCTTTTACGCCAATGCCTCGCAATGGGACCTCGAACAAGACTATGAACGGAGGCCGAGGAAGGGCAGCAAGAAGGATAAAGAGCGAACTCGATTGCCGATAAAGACCGCAGAAGGAGCTATAGAACATGTCGAAGAACCCGCCCATTCAGAGCCCGAATCCCTTAGTCCCTTCGACTCGGACGAAGAATCTGAAGATGACGCTCCAGCGACCACCGAAGCCGTCGAACAGCCTGTGTCGCAAGTACCTCCGAAACTACAGATTATACAAGCAAAGGAAGAACTTGCAAAAATCGCGACGCTGATAAATGAAGATCCGGAAGAACATATAGATTTGTTTAAGAAGCTGGCGGAGATGGTTAAAGCCTCATCATTGCTGGCGGTGAAGAAACTAGCGCTGGCCACACAGGCTGCGGTCTACAGAGATGTCATTCCAGGATACAAAATAAGGCCGCTTGGAGATGCGGAGCTAGCTGTTAAAGTGTCGAAGGAGGTTCGAAAAGTTCGAAACTACGAGCAGGCGCTTCTTTCTGGGTACCGCAATTACGTTCAAGATTTGATTTCCTTTTCGAGATCGAAACATGACGATAGTCTTAAATCCGTTGCTATAAACTGCGCATATAGCTTGTTGGATGCTGTTCCACATTTCAATTGTCGACAAGAACTGTTGAAGATCCTTGTGTCTCAGCTCTCGCGTCGCCAACTTGACGCCGATTCTATAAAGTCTCGCGAGGCGCTGAAGGAAATTTTCTCCAATGATGAAGATGGGATAGTATCCATGGAGGCTGTTAGCCTTTTGGCCAAAATGATGAAAGCTAAGGATTTCAATATTCATCCTAGCGTCTTGGATACTTTCCTCCACTTGCGCCTGTTATCAGAATTTTCGTCCAAAGGATCCAAGGATGGGATAGATAGGAACGAAGACGAGGTCAATACGTATAAAGGCAAGAAAATCAAAGAGAAACGTGAGTTCAGAACGAAGAAGACCCGGAAACTGCTGCGAGAACAGAAGGCTGCCGCGAAAGACCTTAGGGAGGCGGATGCCCTCGTCAAGCACGAGCAACGGGACAAGATGCAAGCAGAAACGTTGAAGTCTGTTTTCACCACATATTTTCGGATTCTGAAACTTCGAAGTGCTTCTTTGATGGGCGCCACGTTGGAGGGCCTTGCAAAATATGCCCATTTGATTAATCAAGATTTCTTTGGCGACCTGCTCGAAGTTCTTAGAGAGCTGATATCCGAATCAAGCCACCCAGACCAAACCGATGAAGAGACGAATGGAAATGCAGATCAGGAAAACGCCATATCCAGGAACACCACGCGCGAAGTCCTGCTTTGCTCAACAACCGCATTCGCCCTGCTTGAAGGCCAAGACGCCAGCAAAGCTGCCTCGAGCCTCCATCTCGACCTCAGTTTCTTTATTTCGCATCTCTATCAATCACTTTACCCTGCCTCTCTGAACCCAGACATAGAATATAATCCCAGTAAATCCCTCCGTCTCCCGGATCCAGGATCCACCAACGCTGGTGCCGACGATATATCAGGAAAGGACAAGAAGGTCAACTTCCAGACTCCTACGGTCCTGCTGCTCCGCTGCCTCCAACCTATCCTCACAGCCAAAGGCACTAATGCCCCGACGCCGATACGTGTTGCCGGGTTTACAAAGCGTCTCATGACGAGCGTACTCCAATTACCTGAGAAATCTGCCCTAGCGGTACTCTCTCTGCTGAATCGCGTAGTGAAGATGCATGCCCCCAAGATCGCGCCCTTGTGGAATACGGAGGAGCGAAAAGGAGACGGGGTATTCAATCCGAATGCAGTGGATGTCGAGGCGAGTAATGTATTTGCGGCTACTGTATGGGAGGGAGAACTACTGAGGGTACATTATTGCCCGGAGATTCGTGATGCATCTCGAGGCATCGAAAAGATAATTATGAGCGTTAAATGAGTTACTTGGAGGTCGAATCAAAATATCCATGTCGCATTTTGATTTAGAATTACTTAGCAGTTTTGTTTTCTCGAATACATTATGGGGAAACCCAGACATCAGTAATTTTCAAATCAGAGTCATTAAAACGCTTCGCTCAACCATACCATGCGTCACGTCATCAACGGACATACTCGCAGAAGAAAAAGGGCATCAAACAACAAACCATGATAGCAAAACAGAACATGCCCGAAGACCAGGGTGCTAGTTAATCTTTATCTCACTGCAGTGTCGAATGAACTTGCTAGGTGAAAAATTAATCAAAAGAATCACAAGCATTACAAACCTGTAAACAGAAATGCAGACATGGGCAATTAATACAAATTTCCATCACCAAAGGAACCTAATAGAGACAGGACGTAAGACATAGAGAAGTGGCAAATTGTCCAAATTCCGGTATTCCAACGCTCACAGGTTTATCTCTAGGAAGCCTGAGTTTGTTGGCTTTGTCAAAAATACCGATTGGCTACTTAATTCTGCGCATTCTCATTGCCATAAGCGTGATGATACCAGTTTCTTGTACCACCCCAAGTACCAGCAAAGTGCGATTGAGCGCTGTCACTTCCGAATCTACCCCGGCGATGGGTAGTATCATTGTGGGTTGTATGCTCCTGACCTTCTCCTGGGTTGAACGGAGGCACAAAGGGGTTAAATTGCGAGGTTTGCTGGCTCCGATTCGAGACTGTTCGACGGTGCTTCACAGGGCTATTGACAATCATTGGTTTTGCCTGGGGGTCAGGAGACTGCTTTGTTGGCCGATTATGCTTAGTCTTTCCAAATCCAGCTGCAGGTCCACGTCGAGGTTTGTTAGCAGGATCTTTCTGCTTTTCTCCAATGGTGATAGGACGGTTTGGGTTCCGACGTCCAGCATAGGTTGCAGACTGGTTGACCGTGTTGTCAACCGTACCATCGACAGAATCTTTGGCAATAGGAGCAGGAATGTGGATGCCATGATTTCCAGATACGGATCCCTCAGGCAAACGACCAACGGGCATGGAAGCACAGTCACCATTTTCGTGAACTGTCGCGTTGCTCACTTGGGGTTGGTGATAAGCACTTCGTCCAATAGGACTCCCAGTGCTGCCATTGCGGTTCTGGAATTCATTTGTTCCGGTGTATGGCGGCGTTCGAAAGGCGGCAGTTGGAGTGGGGACCGAAAACTGATTTTCCATAAAGCCGTTCTGGCTACGAAGGACGTTGACATGCGCGGTAAGCTGCTGCAGCTGGAATGTCTGAGCCTGGACTTCTGCCCGCACCAAACCAAGCTCACTTGACAACCCCTGGATTTGACAGAAAAGCCTGTCTAGGTTCTCGCATGGAATGGCCACATGTGCCATTCTACTTGCTGCTGCTTCCGGAGGGGGATAAATCGAGCCAAACTCTGGACGAAGTAGAGTCGACGCTGTATCGTAGATTGATGGAGAGTAAGGAGCAGAGAGTCTGTGCCAATTGCCGTGCATGTGACCTTGGTCCCAACCAACAGTGAGTGGCATATTTTCCGGAACACCAACATCCACCACTCCATGCATGCTAGGGACGCTCCTGTGCTCAACAATCTCCGGGTTCCGTTCCGTAGCGTATGTTCCCTGACGCGTCGGGCTAAGCGCCGGACCTCCCATGATGATACCTTGAATTGCGTTCTGTGGTGTTCCGTCTGGTACAGCTATGACAGTTTCGCTGCTGGATCGGCGCGTGTGACTCGGCTCTGGCGGGCTGGGAGGATTTTCCGCAGCGTCAAATGTCACCTCCTGCAATGGCGTTGGCGGAACGGATGAGCCTTTGTAAATCGTACGCGGATGAAATGGCGAGGAGGGGGAAGAACGCGACCCTTCCTGAAAAGGGTTGATTGCTGGCAACGATAAACAGTTGGGACCAGCTGATGCTTTAGGCTTGGGGAAGAAGACCTTAGCCTCGCAGTTCAGCTGCCGAGCACTCTCGGCGCTGGGTGAGGGGTTGTTTGTGTGCGATTGTTTATTTTCTCCTCCCAACTGGGTACTCTTCACAACATCAATGGGTCCAGGTTGACTCTTTTCAACAATGTTGAATGTTGCTTTGAGCTGTGCAATGAACGACTGCTCATTGTTTTCAACAACTGGGTCTTCAGAAGATAGCTCAGTTGAAGGCTGTGAAGCCTCTGATCCCTTGTTAAAGCTCTGGTCTTCCAATTTATCTTTAGTGAGTTCCTCTGGCTCTGCTGGATTTTGCAATGCTGACATCGGCTTGTTATATTCCGGGCTCTTGACTTGGTTCTGAGCAGGAGAATCTGGTACCTTCGGGGAATTCACAACGGTTTCGATCTCCCTCCTAGGAGATTCCATGTCCCTCGAACTGCCCTCTCCTCCCTCGCTTTCCTTGCTGGAGGGTGGGGAGAGTTGGAGATGTCTCGATCGACAACGACGAGAAGCCCTCTTAGGCTCGCTTGCAGCACGCATTCTTGACTCATTTAAAGTTGGAAAAGCAATAGGGTCTTCGAACTGACCAGTAGCTTTGGGGGCAGACCTCTTCACAATAACCAGTGGGCCTTGTGGGCATTCATCAGTCAATATACCAGTTCGCTATTTTGGAAAAGAAAGCCAAAAGAGTCCACTTACTTGGCTCTGCTATGGCACGGCGAGCCACATCCGCGTAAGGCAAGGTTGTTGGGGGCCTGTCAACTTCATGGGTTTTCCCAACATCCTCATCTGGCGTGTCTCCTTGGATTTGGGGCCGCAATTCGGGTTGCTTGGGTTGCGCCGGGGGGAAGTGCACAACAACGGGTCCATGTCCAGAGACCCCAGGAGGTTGAGAGACTGTTTCAGGACTCTGCTGATTCTCCATGTTCAAGTGCCACAAGGAAGAATCTAGTTCAATGGAAAAAAAAGAAGCCCAAGAAAGCACAAATAGAGCCTGATGGCTGACAGGAGATCTCTTGCGGTACTCAGAAATGTGAACAAGAAACGCAGTTTGAAAACGCGTCTTGCTGCGGAAGCTGGGTTGTTTTGGAAGGATGATGGCCCAGAGTGCAAAGGAAGGAAGACATAAAAACATGCTGCCAGGTAAACAATGTTGACATTCACATTTGATATCGATACCGCGCTAACGGGATTAGGAAAATGGTAGCCATGTCAACAGGAGTGATACTCCAGCCAAGCTTCAGAAGCTTATCAGATTATGGTAATCGTAAAGCTCCTGCTAATATCTAGGGCAGATTCCAGCCCACAAAGCAAAGAAATAGGGTATTGGCCCTCCCGCAATTGACTGACTCCGCGATAGCGATGCAGCATCTTTACTATTTGAAAAGTACTGAAGAAAACTTTTATGCGGACTCCTCACTCGCCCTTGGATGCTATGCCCAAAGATTCAAAGCGAAAAGACTTATCAAAGTTATAAACACGACCAGAATCGCTGCTGAAATGATAAAAACAGATGAATAGAACGAAAAATTCGTTCTATACGGCCAACCAACAAGGAGTCTTTGAGAGGAGAAGCAGTCATTTTATTTCAAATAGTAGAGCGTGTGAGAGGTATGTACCAATTTTGTTTTTCTCGACGACTGGCCAAACTTGACTAGAAGGACATCGCGCTGAAGACTATTAACAGGGACATATGGATTGGGATATCTTGAGACAAAAAAAGAGAGTAGAATACACACGGAAAACCAGCAAATTTGGATACTCAAACAAAGACCAGGGAAATCGTTGATCATTATCTGCGCCGGAATTGGCGTAGTTGTCGGAGCAGGTAGAAGCCTTCGTAGGATGGCCACAGGTGTTAAATTAAACAAGCGGTGGGTGGTGTCCTGGAAGGCAGACGAAAAGGAAAATTGCAAACTCAGAAAGCCCGAACAAATGAGGGTTGAGAAAACAGCATTAATTCCTTACTGAGGAGGTCTCTCGCGGCGACGGAATGCCCCGAACAGACCTCCGAAGAAATTAAGGAAGACGGCACGCCATAAAGCCCTGAAAAAGCTCTCCCTCTTATGTGTCGTCAGAGATGTAACGGATTGATTCGCAGTTGGTGGGCGTTGAGGCTCATCGGCGTCCTTGGCAACGGGCTTGCTTGCATCGTCCTTCGAAGCAGGCTCTGCAGCAGTGGCTGCCTTGATGGCGTCGACGATAGGTGTTGCACTCTTTGCATTTGCATCGGACATCGATGATGGTTCGCTCCGGGCATCAGCAATGGGTGCCTGTTGAGAAACGGGTTCTTTGGCAGAGCCAGCGTCGGCCGGGGCGGGCTCGGCCGGCTTCAAGGCGGCTTGTGGTGGGATAACTTCTGCCGACTTGGCGGGGTTCTCCGGTTGCTCCTCTCTCTGAGAAGGAACGTCTTTCTTGGTCTCTTCGTTGGCAGGCATCGTGGCAACGTTGTCATCGATAACCTTCTGCTGCACTACAGGTTCCACAACTGGGGGCTCTGACTTGGCGACTGGGGTCGATTCGAGTGGCTGGGCGGGAGACTCTTCAGGGATAGCGGTCTCGGTAGTCTGAGAAGGAGCTTGAGGAAGAGACTTGTCTTGAACGTGAGTCTCATCCTTAGGAGCATCTTCCACAGTGACATGTGATGTGGTGTCGGCTGCTAATGGAAGAGATTCAGGGGTAGATTCGGCCACTTCCTCCACGGCAACCACGGGATTGACACCATTAGCTCTGGGCGCGTCTTCGGTGACGTCGGAGTCCTTGGGCAGAGTCTCAGCTGTAACAGGCTCAACTTGAGGTTCCTCGCTTGCGACAGGTCCGGCCGGAGGGGTATAGGGTTCATCCTTGGCTTCTTCCTCATGTTTCGGCAACGGCTCCGGTTCGTCCTTTTGAACGGGGACTCCAACAGACTTTTCGGCCGGCTCATCAGATGCAGACACAGCGACGTTTACATCAGCAGCATTCGACTCTTCCTGCGGTTCCGCCTTATCCTCAACTACGGGAGGGGCTGGAGTGGATTCGGGTTCAGGAGCAGGCTGCACAGGTGATTCCTTCGGCTTGGATTCATCGTCGTCTGGGGTCTCAGAAATGGCTTTGGTTTCAGGAGTTGGAGTAACATCGTTGGAGACTTCGACGGGCTCCTCAGCCTTCTCGAGATCTGCAGGCTTTTCAGCTTCGGCAGGCTCATCAGCGATTGGTGCAGCGGAAGCGCCTGCCTCTTCGCCACCGGTTGTTGGCTCATCGACGACAGTCACGGGGGTCTCCTCGCTCTGATCTTTAACGGGTGTTGGATCGACCTTTTCCTCTGGCTGCGTGTCTGCCGGAGTTTCCTCAGCTTTCAAATCAACTGCAGGCTCAGCCTCAATCTTCTCAGAGGCTGTCGCATCAGTCGACGGTTCGGGCTCATCCGCAGGTTTTGATTCTTCCTTGGCCGCCGGCACTGGTTCTGCGGTAACCGGGACTTCCGGTTCCTTCACGTCGTCCTGAACGACCGGTTCTTCAGGGGCGTTGATCTCTGCCTCCAAAACCTCAGGAGTCTCTGCCTTTGGTTCTGGATCGGCACTTGGCTCCAATGCCTCTGTGGAAGTGGGTGCTTCTGGCTGTGGCTCGGGTTCATTGTCCGGCTTTGAAGCAGGCTCTTGTTGAACTTCCGTAGCTTCCTTCTCAGCATCAGCAGGGGCCGTAACCTCTGGCTGTTCATCAACAACAGCTGGTGTGTCAGGGACAGGGGCCTTGTCGGAAGGTTCAACAGGAGTAACTTCCTTCACGTCAAGAGTCTCGACAGGATCCATCGATTTTTGTGGTACCTGCTCCACGGCCTTTTCGGCTGCGGCATCCCGGGCCGGCTCATCCTCGACGACATCTTCCTGAGCTTCGACCTGCTCATTCGGTGTCTTAGCGGGTTCTTGTGCTGGTGCTGGCGATGGTGCAACGGTGTCTTCCTTTTCTACAACCGGTTCTACGGCAGCAACCGTATCAGCTACCTCCGCTTCCTTGAGCTTCTTGGTTGCAACCGTGTCCTCGTCGACAGCAGCCTCGGAAGCGGTCGCTGGCTCAGCGGACTCCACGCCTGAAGTTGCAGTTTCCTGATCCTGCTTAGCGTCGGCATTTTGTTCTTCCGGCTGCGGCTCTGCCTCGGCTGCTTCCGTCTGGATGACGTCATCGGCATCGGTCTTGCTGGCTTGCGGCTCCGGTTCCTCAGCTTGTTTCTCCTGCGCAACCCCGTCCGTCGCTTCGGCTGGAGAGTCTTTGGCATCTGCAACGGCAGCTTTCTCCTCTGGCGCGGGCTCAGCAGGGAGACGAGCTTCGTCGTCGCGCTTCTCGTCCTCCTTCACTGGTTCGGAGGCGGGTTCCGCTTCGATTGGAGTTGTACCTGCGGTCGAGGCAATTTGCTCATCGCAAGGTTCCTCGTCGCCAGAGGTTGGTTCCTTGACAGGTGCATCGTCTTTCTCGGCCAGAATTTCGCCGTCGGCCGCATTTTTGGCGGCTGGTGGTTCCGTTGGCGCAGCTTTTTCGTCAGCCGGTTCGGTTGATGCTTTGACGGGCTCCGGTTCGGCAGGAGAATCTTCTGCCACGGGAACCTCATCTACAGGCTTTTCCTGCTGTTGAACCTCCTTCTCCTCGATCTCGGTCTTGGAAGATGGAACAACTTCATCGTCCTTCTGCGCCGATTCCTCGACGGTCTCGGTGGCAGATGCGGTGACGTTTTCAGCCAGTGGCTCGGACGGTGCTTCAGTTGTGGAAACATTCTTTTCTTCCTCTTTATCTTCCGTTACTGCTTCTGCAGTAGCTTCGGGAATAGGATCGGTTGAAACTGCGGCGGCGGCTGTCTCGACCTCTGGAGCCTTTTCGACCTTTGGTGCTTCCTCAGCAGGCTCTTCCGTTTGCTCTGGGGCCGCAGGTTCGGCTGGTTTCTCAACCTCCTTGACAGCATCCATAGCAGGTTGCTCCGCAGCAGGAGTCTCTTTGGGCTCTTCTGCGGTGGTGGTGGTCGTCTGGGCCACGTCTTCTTCCGGCTTCGATGATGCTACAACCTCTTCTTTGTCCTTATCCACTTCGTCGCCGGCCGTGCTTGCCTCGGGCACCTTTTCAGCTACCTTAGGTTCTTCTGGCGCAGGTGGTTGCGATTCCTTATCGTCCTTGGGCGCCGCGTCATCGGTTTCGACCGGGTTCGGAACAGACACTGGCGTGAATTTCCCTGGCACGAATGCGGGAGCGGCTGGGTTCAGGGATCTTGTGGAGCTTGACATGCTCGCTGGGGTTTGGGGTCTTGACTCCAAATCCTTTGCGGTTTCTGTTAGCTGTTGAGGGGCCTCGGGATTCAATACAGCTGGCGATTCATCCTTTGGCTCGGTTGCTTCCGCCTGTTTCTCGACCTCGGACGTCGGTTGGATCTCAGGCTCTACGGGCGCCTTAGGCTCCTCAGCTTTGGGCTCGGACGGTTCTGGTTCAGCTTGCTCAGGAGATTCTGCTACTCTCCCGTGAGTTTTAGGATTCTTAGGCTTAGGGAGGGAGATAGGACCTACCTTCGGTTGCAGATGAAATTGGGTCAGCGGAGGAGTCAGGAGAGACCTCCGGCTCTTTCTTTTCAGGTTGCGGACTCTCAGTCTCCGCTTCCTGTACCTCCAGTTTCTTCTCGACCGGGCCACCATTGACGGACACGTCCTCATCCTTGATGTCAGCCTTGGGTTGCGAATCGTCGGCCGGTTTCAGGTCCGACGGCGTGCCCTTTGCTATTGCTTCGGAGACGGTGGTGGGCTGTTCCGCGACATCTTCACCGCCAGTGGACTCCTTTTCAGCCTTCTCTGGAGCTTCTTCGGCGGGGATTGAAGCTTCCTTTGGTTCCGGATCGGCTTTCTCTGCAACGATGCCGTTTACACCATTCGATTCCTTGTCCGCTGCCGCCTTTTCGGTTGTTTCGTCAGAAGCCACCACCGTCTCAGCGTTTTCCGTCGTGTTATCCGACTTGGACTGCCCAGCCTGCGGGTCGTCTTTCTTGGAATCGGATGCGGTTTCGACTAGCAATACGTTGTTCATATTGCCATCGTTATCCACTTCTTTATTGATTGGAAAGGGGGGGGAAGTAGAAGTCAGTACGGGGAGAGCAATGTGATGGAACAAAGGAAAGAAAGAGAGGAAAGAAGAAAGAGAGGACAGAAAGATCCCTACCTGTGGGCACATCTGTATCACAGAACCAGGCATCCCCTGAGCCGGCACGGAACTTGTACTGGTACTTGCCCGGAGCTAGCTCGAACGACTTGGAGAACTCATACGCCTCTGATGTCGCGTCTGCGGATGTGACGGGCTTGGCCTCGAGCTCGACGGGATCCCAGGCGGGGTCGGTGAAGGACGCGACGAGGAAGATGGATGGGGTGGAGGTAGGGCGCCGAACTGCGATTCTAACGGATTGCTTCGAGTCTTCAGTCATGACGGATGTGCCTCTTCCTTTTTTTTTTCTTTTTTATTTGTTCTCCTTTCTTTTTTTCGTGGGACTCGTAACTGTCGTGATGCAAGGGGGAGTCGAGAAAAAAAAGGGGAGTTCGTGCGTGCGTGCGAGAGAGAGAGAGAGGGGGGGAGAGAGGACAGAGGAGGTAGGGCTAACGTTGTTGGTTCGCGTTCGGCAAGGTTCCAGAGTCGAAGGGGGCTTTTTTTGGGAAGCTTTAATGTTACACACAAGCTGATATTCTGGGTATATCAACTATCTTCTGTTTCTTGTTCCTCTTCGTTTCTCCCTCCTTATCCTCTGCTTGAAACAAAAGCAAGGATTATACAAGACAAGGAAAGAAAATAAAAAGGAAAAAAAAGGAATAAATTAAAAAAAACAAAAGACAGGAAAGACGCCTCCCAGGTTGCAAAGTGTACAGTGCAATGGAATGAGCTCTTCTTTTGCTTTTGCGTGAAGGGTGGAATCACAGGCGCGAGGGCGTTTTGGAGGATGGTGAGGGGAAGAAGAAGGGAAGATTTTAAGAGGCGAGATTGGTTTGCTGCAGAGGAATGGATTGGAGGGCGGGGGTTTGTGTGGGAAAGGAAGAAGGGAAAAAAGCAAAAGGGAAAAAAAAAGGCCGAACCAATGCACGAGAGGGAGCTTGGGGAAATGCACAATCACACACACACAAGCTCTGAGCAAATCGCGGGAAGCAAAAATAAGAATTAAGCACAAAAAAAAGAAAAAAAGAAAAAAAAAAAAAAAAGCCCACTCTGTTGTGTGTGTGGATTTTTGCAGGCAAAACAAATGGATCACGCCGCAGCTGGTTTGGTGGAGAGAGAGACTTCCCAAAGGCGTTTAGCGCTGGTGGCGGTTGGCACGGAGATGCACGCCGGACGGGGACTTGGCGGCTCGCAGGGTAGGAAGAAAAAAAGAAAGAAGAAAAAGAGAGAGAGAGAGAGAGAGAGAGAGCAGCTTTGTTGCTTCAGTGCAGAGAGGACGGAGTATTGCTTCAAGAGTATTGCTACAGAAGATACTACAGATGACGGCTGATGTATATCTCTCTGCTCTACTCTACCTCACAATCAGGACCTCCTCTGTCTTCCCGTCCTCCGTCTTACGGTCCAAACCACCCCCCCGGTCGAACGCGGCAGAAAATAGCGTCACTCTGGCAGCTCGATGTGGAGAAAGCCTGCACCCTGCTCACAATTTCCACCCCCCTCTCTTCCTCCCGATCCAAACCTCCTCACCGCCTGTGACTGGAGTGCTGCTCATCACCGGGGAGGGGCCCGCCGCCGAATCCCACCCCGTTGGTCAGTTCTCTTGCGTGATATTGTGCTCCTCGAGCTTTTTTCCCCCTCTTCAAGCGACGAATCATCTACAGCCACAGGACACCCCAGACGTCAGGATAAAATGTGCATCTCTCCCCGCGCGCGCGTGCTTTTTTTTCCTTTCCTGTCTGACCGTTGAATTCACTGCATGCCGCGGCCCAAAAAAGCTCTTCCGCCCGCTCAGCCAGCCAAACTTCCGCTAAAACGTTATTCCGGAGCCGACACCGGGCGGAGCTGCTCACATGACCGTCGGGATGCCCCCACCTGCCCCATTGGCCAATCAGCGTCGAGAGAAAGCCGACTTTGCCGACGTCAGATCATGTGACTCTATGTTAGGTAAGCAGGGCTTAAAGCGGCCAGCGTTCGAAGTATCAAAACGGATTACAAGAGAGAGGGAGGGAGAGGAGGGAAGAGAGAGAGGGAGGTGGGAAGAGAGAGAGAGAGACAGCTGATTCCATGGTCATTCATTCATACATCGTTACTGACAGAAGGGGTTAGGATACATGTAATAAGACAGATATCTAGGAACCAGAAACGAAGCCAGCAAAGATGCGTGAACACCCTGGCATCAAATGAAGACGAGGCGGGGGGGAAAAAAGAAAAGAAAAAGGAAAAAGAAAAGAAAAAGGAAAAAGGAAAGAAACCAAGAAGTAAGGAAGAAGAAGAAGAAATGAACGGAGAAAGAGACAATCCCCTAAAGCACCGTCGCACCCCTCCAACCAACTCCCAGTCCACACGGCGTAAGATTCCAAGGGAAAAAAAAAAAAAAAAAAAAAAAAAAAATGGAGGTAAAAGGAAAACGGGACAAGCACATTCAAAATATTTCCAGATCCTCAAACTCCACCACCAACCCATTCGCCGGCCCCCCATGCCCTCCACCCCCGTCTAGCCCGCTCACGTATCTTCCCCCGTTCCGCGCCGCCCACATCGTGCTCTCCATCGACAGATTCGCCGGCCGACTCGCATACACCCCGACATGCACGCTCTTGTCCTCCACCCCCCAGAAGAACCACGTCACCTCCCTCAACTTCCGCCACGAACTCCCTATCGCCCCCGGCGTACGCTCCGCCTGCGCACTTATCAGGCCCGGTATCTGGTACCACACCCACAGCGAGTGCCCGATGCGCTCGAGCTTGATGCGCAGCGATGTGATCGACGTGGGGACGTTGGGCGGCGCCAGCGGCGAGAGACACCAGTCGGCCCCGTCGGCCGTGGCGCTGACCGAGGAGGCGTTGACGGTGCCGGCGGAGAATTCGAGGCCGGCTTTGACCCATTTGTTTGGGCCGGTGGGGAGGCTGGGGTAGGGAGGCGGTGGGGCTTGGGAGGGTGGTTGTTGCTGCTGCTGCGTGGAGGATCCGGATGCTTGTCGTCGCTGCTGCTGTTGCTGCTGCTGCTGTTGTTGTGATGGCTGGGGCGACGGCGGCGGTGGTGGTCTTGGGACGGGACCGGCGAATATTACCAGTCCCCCCTGATCCCATTCCATCTCCCAGTCGGCCGTTACCGTGACCTCGGCGATCACAAAGGGCTGTCGTAAGGAGGTGAAGAGGATGGGAGCGGTCGTGGTCTCACGGTTAGGCGGTTTGCGCCAGAGGTCCGTGTTGGGGGCGGCGGAGAGTGTAAAATAGTCCATGCATTCTGGGAGAGTGAAGTCCGGCGGTAAATTCAATGCCGTGAAGCACGATCTGTCGGGAGGCATAGCTGAGTCCCCGTGAACAAACCACTCCTTGAACTGGATCCCGTCGCGTTTCTCGAAATAGCCAATTAAATTTCCAATTGAAAAAAATCAAAAAGGTAGAATCACCGGGTAAGAAAAGAAAGGATATTCCAAGAAATCGCCACAGCCCAACTATGACTCAAGCACGGAATTGGACACAGTTGCGAATTATACCTTGCTGGGAGGAAGTTCGAATAGGAGAAAGAGAATAAGGAAAAAAGGGAGAAAGCGAACACCGTCTACGGAGTACACAAAAGGGGTGAGTGAAGCATTGACCTCCCCCCAAAAAAAAAAAAGGTAAGAAATGTAAATAAAGGGAGAAGGGAGAAAGAAAAAAAAAAAAAGAAAAAAAAAGCTGAGAATTGAAGGAAATTGGAGAATCAATGACACTATTATGGCGAAAAGGGAGCGATATCTGGTGGCTGACAGCTGGGAGATAAAATCATCAGGGCCCGAACAAGGGGCCGCGTGACGCGCTTTGCCGCTCCAGAAGCTGTCTCGCTTGGCAAGGCTGGACTGGGGGGGGCAGACTGACTGACTGACGGACGCCGCAGCAGCAGCAGCAGGCGAGTTCAGGGATGGAATGGGGAACACGACGGACGAGCCCAAACGAAAAGATAAATTAAATTTTGGGGTTTGTTGTTTCTTTTCAGGCCATGGCCGGAATATCAATCGAAAGAAAGTACTCCGTACATAATGCTCGAAATAGGTAAAGGAGGGCAAAAAAATAGAAAATTAAAAATTAAAAATAAAAAATAAAAATAAATTGGGCGAGACGGGAAAAAAGGAAAAAAGAAAAACGGAGGGTATGCATGCATGTTCGATGCACAAAGACTCCGAGACAGCTACTGTTTAGCCACCTCGAAAGGAACCGAGCGGCGTGCGGTGGCTAACTCACAGCGAGGGGGCCATCCTGGGGGCCTTAATTGACATCCACTCGAAGATCATCCTAGATCATCCTCTAGTAGTCCATACATATACCTGATATGTACGGAGTGCTATATACATCGTACTCCGTACGGAGTAGAGGAAGCGCGTATTCTGTCAGAAGCGTCCCACCCAGCTAACAACCAGGGCTGAACCCAGGCGCATGGTTGGTGTCAGCGGATGGTTGCGGTAAGATACGAGCCGGCACGGCCCCAGAGGGACTCTTTTGCGTCGGAGGTACTACCGCACGCTCGTCGAGCCGAATGAGCTGTCGACATCATTCTGTCGTCCGTAAAAGGTCGGGTGTCAGAGGACCCGGGCCTGTGGGAATGGAAAAGACATCCGATGGAAGACAGCTCCTCTTCATCCCAGTTCAAATTCAAGCTTGCAGGTGCCCTTAGCTGCACGAAGGCAAAATAGAAAGTGGGGTATGTGTGTGTGTGTGTGTGTGTGTGTGTGTGAAGGAAGTAAAAATCGACATTGGTCGATGACGATGGCCAGGAGCTGACCGGAGCTTCGATGCTCTCTATTGGTGAAAAGCATCCTCGGACTGCGTGATCGGGTGGACTTGGACGTGCGATGCGAGATCTGGTGGAGTCGGGAAAAGCAGGGAAGTTGGCGTGCCTGGCGCAGCTGAGATAAGAGACAGCCCTTAAGTATACAGAGTCACCGCAGCTCTCCCTGATCTCGAGCGAGGATAGTCAGTTAGTTTCTGGGGTGATCTCCGTGGGACCTTGGCCATGACCAGGTATCTTGCCATGTGGATCGGATCCTCCTCGGAGAGGAGTGAAAGAGGGCATATTTGATCCCGATAATATTTCCCAACTGAGCGTCCGAACGTGCATTGGAAAACACTCTTTTCTGGTTTGCCACAACGGCTTTCCTCGCGCGAATCCTCGCCAGCTTCTGTAGAAAGTGTCCATGACATCGTTAATCGGTGGCGCACGCGGAATAACCCCCGCCGTGGGATCGAAGGGAGTAAGTAGTTTTAGATCTGCCTGCAGTCTCGAAAAATCGCCGCTCAGTGCTGACGAGGTTGATTTTACTTAGGTACCTCCTTGTGACAACGCAAGGAAATTATCTATCTTCGCAGGAAGTTTGTGCCGCTTGCTGGGCATATCCTCCATCCAGGTTTTCGATTACCGCCTCTCCGTCTATTTACACCCAAACAAACCCCTGTGGCGACCAGCTCTTTTCGCAAGCTTTGCCCGATCAACCTTCCGGTCTTCGGCCTCTCGACTTCGCTGCCGGGCAAGCATGCGTGTCCCAAGTCGCCTTTTTCGCATCGAAGTATAGAGACCATCGACCACCATCTCACCCTCCACCGAAAACAAAAAAAAATAAAAATAAAAAGCAAAAAAAAAAATAAGAATGCATCATACGTGCGGATTAAAATGTTTCCCAGATATATACAAGGGATTGTGACCGCCCTGTTGAAGTTCTCTGGAGTCTGTATGGTTGGACCTTACTGCCTTTCTTCGTGTACCGTGCCGCTCCTGCAGACAAACGAGACTTTCAGCTCTCATATCCCTTCTTTTCTAGACCGCTACGTGGGAGCAGACAAGCGGCTTGTAACCTTGTCCCAGGCGGTTCTAAGAATGCGCGTGCCGGCGTTCAACTTCCCAGGCTCTCCCCGCCACAATTCAGAATAGCATACACCAGGGGGCAGGCTATCAAAAGCAAGAACCCCTTTGTCGACGACACGGGATATTCATGCAGGAATCACAGGCATTTGGAATCTCCCCGGCGCAATGCCAACTCTAAGTCATGCATGTTTTATCAGGTCATTCCCGGGGTCTGTGTTGGAAAACAGGCCGGATGCATTCGCTCCAAGGTCTCCTTGGGTAGAGATGGTGTGTGTGATGAGAGGAAGACGTTGCGAAATCGTCTTCAGCGCGATTCGCCTTTTGACCGGCCACGGATCCCCATACGATGCACCAAACGGGATATGATTTGCTTTTCGTCTAACGAGAATTGAAACGGGTATTTGCACCTCTGAAATTTGTGCGCTTGGACCTAAATTTCCCAGATTAACAAAGTTATTTGAATTGCTGCAGCTTATGCAGGGAGCAGAATCTATCATTCTTCTGGGGGCCGCGTGCCAGAAATAAGAATTTTTGCATGGTACACCGCACAGGCTGTACCGGTAGAACAAAAGGCCAACGAATCAGTGTCTTCCGGAGGGAAATGGAGGAAAACTCATTGCAATTTGAAGTCAATCCGGAAATTACGACTTGTAATAGGTTCATGCGGTGCTGAAGCTCGTTTGAAAATCTTGATAGCACCCCTGCTCGCTTGCAGAAAATATTGTTAATGTAACCGAATAGATCAATTTTTGACATTGTAAAGAAGACAAGGGTTTCGAGCTCTTCCAGAATATCCAGAGCCGAAGAAACCCGCTGGGGCGTTCTCTATCATCATTTGCAGCTCGCAAATTTGCTAGTCGATCTAGATTCTGAGCTAAAACGCATGTCGGTTCCAGGCTCATCCTAGACAGTGTCCGCGGGCTTGCATACTTGGACGTTTCATAAGAAAATGCTGGGCTACGGTGGTGCCTGTGATGGAAGCGAGTCATGCGGGATACGTGGTTGTCCGTGCCCATGCAGCCTAGGAGCCACATACGGAGTAGTTGGACGAAAACGGAGAACTATGTGCATATCGGGCTCCGCTGGTTGCAAGTTTAAGACTGGACATATGACAGCTCCAAGTAGGAAAACACGCCCCGTGCGTTAACATCATCAGGCTTGAGATTAAGTAAGAGGTCGTGAACTCGTCCGACCTGCCATTTGTTTGCCAATGCCATCTGGGTGAATACCCTCAAACAGTCCGCAAACTCCCGCTGTGCATCCCCAGAACAAATGAATTCCAATCTGACACCGGCTAAGGACGCTGCACACCACTGCAGGATTGTTTTAATTTCCCTGTTGCCACCGAAAGCGCCACACCCCCATAACCCCGTGACGATCCTCGAATACGTGTGGCCTCCCTGTTGTGAACTGAATGCGTTGTACGCCTTCAGGAGCTCCCTGTCCGTATGACCCGGAAGCAAGTCTGGCACTCCCTCTGACGAATCGTACATGTCGAACTCCAGAGCATCCATGAACAGCATTACTCGCCGCTGCCACGTATGCGGATGCACACCGTGCAAGGAGTCCTTGTAGGATGTTTCCAGGAGCCGTGCTTCTCGGCCATAACCCTCCACGACAGTCATGGCTTCTGCACCCTGCACGACCAAGATCTGAGTGTCTTGGAGAGTTGGGGTGAGTAGGACGATCGGACAGGATTCTGGCGTTGAGCCGACGTGCATCTCTTCTTGTGTAGCGCTCTGACCAAAACCAACGTTCTTATTTGCGGAAACGATGCACGCCCCATCAGGGATGCCAAGTAAAGAGGGTTTTGTCGAGATGATAGGCTCGTAGGTCACCGTCATGGGCCGAAGCATACATCCCATTGGTAGGGTGTGCGGTAATGCACTCTTATGCACTCCTAGGGTTCGCAGTCTAAAGATGATTGGCCATTCTGCCGACAATAAGGATGGGGAGTCAGAGCCATGACTCGATCCTGCGAGGCGCCCAAAGTACGTAAAGACTGAGGATATATAAGCCGCTACAGCCTTCGGATGCCTGATATCAGTCGAATACCAGATTCGAAAGTCTGGAGAGCTATCAGTCGGCCACGGCTGAGATGGTAGAGAGCAGAGGAACTGGTGAACAACTAGGCAGGCGACCTGCCGCCTAGACAGGGTTACTTGGTCATGTTGCTCGGAGAGAATAGGAAGCGAGGACTCTGGGAAGAGTGAGGGCATCTCCAGTGCTATCTCAACTAGCACTGGCCAAACCCTATTGAAAAATTGCCCCTCAGCCGCCTCACCCATTCCCCTCAGGAATGTCTGGAGGAATCCATGATCAGTGGTGGCACAGCCACGAAGAGTGACATCTATCGTCTGCAGGAGATTGATCAAACCATGGCTATCAGTGATCTTCAACGAGAGAGCCTTTTTCAATATACTCCAAAATGGCACATCCCATTCATCTGCTTCGAGAAGGTCAAAGCGGTCCTGGCACACCAGGCTCGGTGAACAAGGCAAGGGATAGCGTGCCGGGATTTGGAATGACATATCTTCGAGATTCTATGGTGATCAACTGGAGGAGATATCTCAGCTAGGTCCTTTCTTGAGACGTATTGGCCACGTTTGCCGGTACGGCAACCTGGAGGAAACTTCGCTTCTCGATTCAATACGAGGTTAATTCTCCTGGTAGGCCATTCGCGGCGCGGCGCGTCCGCACAGGGGGCTCAATTTCGCTAGAGGAGCTTTGTTGCCTTCTCGCAAAGCTCCTGTAGCTTTCACCTGAAGTCAGACCAGGATTCAGCAACCGGAGAAATACGTGGTGCAGTTTGCCCCCTTAACGGCCCCCCTTTTTTTTGGCGAAAGGATGAGGTTGGGTTTGGCTCAGCTTCGGTGGCGAATGACCGCAGATCACAACCAATCAGCAGCAACATCAAACTCACATCGAAGGATCACAAGCGCATCAGGCGAACAACCATCTTCTTTAACTCGTTTAAGGCAATAAGTCTCAATATCGACTTTCTCTACTCCGTAGTTTAGTGATACTATCCTTCGACTCTCTTCAGCCCTCTTCACCCCCCCTTGAACAAGGAGTGGCACAGTATAGCGCTGCACTCGAAATCGTCGTATCGTAAATTGCCCAGACCACCACCATGGTCTGTTCAAGATGTCAAAAGAAGCTGCAGAAGACCGAACTAGCCACCCCAGCAGTGAAACGCAAGAATGATATGTTTTATGGGTCAACGCTGTCTACATTGGGTGGCGGCGGAGGTGGTGGCGATAGCAAGAGGCCTTCAGGCACATCCGGATATGCAGGAGTGACAAAGGTACGAAATTCCTTAGTGATGTTCTCCCTGCAATGTCTTAATTTGGACCGGTACGAAGGATATACATCTGATCGCAGATCTGCTAACCTCCACCTTTGCAGAATAAGCTCCTGAGTAGCAAAGCAAAAAATCCATATGCCGCATATTCTAGCTCATGCGATGCGTGCAAGACCAAGATTGAGTCCGGCAGGAAGTACTGCCAGCGATGCGCGTATTCAAAGAATGGTATGTTGTTGATTCCTTATGGGATTGTGTCCTTGATCCTAAGCTAAGTACTAACAAGTTATCATAATAGCATGTGCAATGTGTGGGAAAAGCCTAAGCACAACAAAAAGTACGCAGAAACAGCCAGTGATTCAGGGCCAGAAGTTCACAGCGAAGTAAAAAATTATTGTTTCATCGCTTGGCCTTTTATGTTTTTGTAGTTGTTCAAATGGCGTTATATCTATCTTGGATAAATGGCGTTAGGAGTCGAGACCTGCAATCGAATTCAACAGGGATGTGGTGACAATGAGGAAATATGGCCAAACCAAGTTATGACTGCTATGACCAGCCAGACTATGTTTAAAAACAAGAAATATACATGCTTGCAGAACCTTCACCTTTTACAAGAGTCTAATTGTACAAAGTATATAAAATCAAAAGGAGAAAAGAGATAGCACTTCCCAACGGATATATACCACTGTCTACTCGTGTCTCTTTTGTCCTACCACACGTATCTCACGATATGAACCATAGAGTCCCAATAACATTACAGATTCGCCTGCCTATCTCTCGGCAAGCATATTCTTGATAGCACTCCAATAGTGTGGATTCACGTGCTGTTGGATTTCTTCCTTTGCCAGCCACTTGAAGTCTGCGATTCCCTGGGTACTGGCTGACAGATCTGCTTGACCAGCCATAATGCGCCCCTTCATAAAGAAGGTCTTTTCACCGAGTATTTGGACACCGGTCTCAGGGTTCGTCTTCGCTTTGTTGCTCTTGGAGACATAGTGACCAATCGGGTGGTAGCCAATCATCCACATGTTCATATTTGGACCGGCGGACTGGAAAAGACCCCGTTCGGCAGCCTATAGGTTAAAAATCCATTAGCAAGATTCGAAAGAATTTATACCTCCACCTCTGTAAGCCCTTACCGTTCGCAAATTCTCCTTTCCTTCTAGCACGACACTTGGAAATTTCCAATATCCCTCTTTAGCCTGAACCAGCAGATAAAGAGTTCTCTGTAACAGACGATCCAAGCTCTTATAATCACCCTTCTGGTCCGCTTCTGTAAGTCTTGATAGCGGTCTTGGGATTTCTTCTTTCTTTGAACCGCTATCGCCGGCCTCAGTAGCCGCAAATCCCTCCGCATCCGCTATTAGTGCTTCGACCTGGTGCTCTGGCTCGGATTCAATGGCCCCAACGAGCAATTCGTCGTTCCACGCATCTTTAGAGTAGGCATTGTAGTTGCCGATATCTTTCGCCGCGGTTTGACGTTCCTTGTACTTGCGTTTCCATTCGACATCGGCCGGCGTTCCACGCTTAAAATAGAAATACTTGGTAAAGGGAAGCGCAAGGCGCTCGTTTAAACGGCGTTGATAGAAGTAGAATGACTTTTCAAAGGGAGTGAGGTCGCGGGTGATTTGAGGAGCACGCGAGAGAACGACGCCTGCTCTGACGGTGTACGCCGGTTGTGAACTGGACTGAGTTGTGACTGTCGAGGGAGTGGAGGTCGTCGATGAGGGGAGTTCTGGAGAGCTTGAGGAAGGGTCTGCGGCAGAGGTGGTTGTTGCAGCTGCGGCGGAGCTATATCCGCGGCGACTCAAGGTCTCTTGACAGCTTTTACAAATCGCTGTGTCAAAAGTCGGTTTAGACGCTGGAGACCATCTGGTTAGCTTGCAATTGAACCAAAAATCCAAGCATGAACTGGAAGATTACCTAGCAGCGTTACTACGCGCCTGACGCTGTTTGTTCCTGCAGACATCCTCCTCGCGTGATGGTGCAAATTCCTTTTTCCCCGTGCACACTCCCTGTTTTCGCTGCCATCACTGAAGATTCAAAAAGTTCTCGCTGCTGATGGACGAAATTCTTGTCTTGGCGCGCTAGTCCTAATTAATCTAGCTTAAGATTGGCTCCCTCTCCATGCACGTGACGTAAAGGCTTGGCGGGTTCGTGACTTTTTATTCAAGGAAAAAAAAATAAAACTTCTCTTTCTCTTCATATTCATCATGGCACCGAATCCTTATCATCAATTGCTTCTTCTACATCACAGCCAATTGATCATTTATAGTGCCTAGAGAAGGTTTTTCATTGCAGTCAATTTTCGCTAGCGGTACCTTCGATTTTACCAAGGTGTACTGTTAGATAGTCACTGCGTACATTCCTATTTCAACAGCCTCACATCTCATTATGGACGGTTTGGTCCCTACCTGAGATTGAAGAGGCATGAAAACGCCTCAGTGATACCATAGTACCTTCTCTCATTGGGGGGTGTTTCTGCTAAAGCCATGGAAGGGAGTGGCGGGCTGCAATGGGGCATTTTAAATCTGGGGCTCTCTGCCCAGTAGAGCTTCTGTTCGAGACGCAGAAGTTGGGTTGCTCACCCTACTATCTGCACTTGACGCTACTCTGGTAGCTCGATACTGAGTATCTGGAGCGGTATCTTGACAATACCCATTTTGACAACTTGCCCCATGTGACTACCACAGGTATAGTGGTGAGTGGAGACTAAAAGGGTCTTCTGGGAAGATTGAAGTCATTTTTACTGGACTTGAATCTATATGAAAACTACTAGCCCAGCAAGTAAATTTATTTATCATGAAGCCTCAACTCGCAAAACCTCTCTGCAATCCCAAACATCCGAAGTTTATTTCCGTAGACCTTCCAAAACTCATTGTCTAGTCGGGGTATCAATTTGCCATGCTTAATTTTGGAATCGATTGTTAAATCACCTCCCGAAGTGAGGAACAAATCCTCTTCAACAGAATCGTCGTCCGAGCGCAAATATTCCGATATATCATCCGGCTGATCAGCGAGGATGTCGAATCTCGTTGCGTGAGCAATAACTGGTTGTTGTCTTGTAACAGTGACCGGCGTCTGGGAACATTCTCGTTCGCGTATTACCAGCGTTTCTTCAACGGGGCGTGAGGATGGTATATCCAGACCCCTTGCCAAAATGTCACCAGTGTCTAAAGATACTCCACCGCCTTCTCCGTCGCAACTGGCTTGTTCTGAGGCCCCCTCTGTGACAACCGCCTTCGCGTTAAGCTGGGAGACAAGTCTTAGGAAAACACGAGCCGTCATCAAACTATCATAGCCAGCTTCGTGGACAGGTTTCTCGTCGACATATTTGGTGTGCTGGGCGTCAGTAGCTTGGGATAGAAGTTAGCAATCCTCCTTCATAGGGAAAAATTCATTACTCACTGAAAGTAGGAAGCTCCCTGAAACGCAACGATTCATCAAGCTCCTCTAGCGCCGAAGATGGAAGGGCTGATCCGCAGTCATGGGTTGCCAGGTATTTCGTGTCCACAATCATGGGAAACAATTCATGGACATTACCGAGGAACTCCTCTACTTTATCTGGAAGACCCCCAATGAAGCATTTGTAGAAATTTACCAAATCAGTAAAGATATTATGCCCAACTAGAACCAGTCGCTTTGACTTCAGTTTCGCCTGTAGATAGTCGATATGACCGAAGGCTTTTTGCTTACGACCGTGAGGGTCGCGACTGGAATCCGCAAAAGCGTCGGAGGAGAGTCTGGATAGGTCGCCGCCGGTGATAGCCTCCACTATCCACCGAAAGCCCGTTTGGTTGTAGATACGCTCGCGAACTTGCCTCATCCGCCCCTCCTGTACATTGAGCTCACGTTTCTTGTCGTACTTGACGATTTGGACGAACATAGCCCTGCCAATTGAGACTAGATCGGGATAGTCTGAACGAACAAGTTGATGAATCAGGCGTTTCTGGTAGTTATTGATTCCAGGCTGATTCGCAGACCTCTTTTCGGCGCTGGGAATATTAACGTATTCTTCTTTCCTCTTCACTATTATTAGCCCCAGCTGGGCACAAGGGTGGATAAAGTGAACCTCACATTAGGTTTGCTAACCCAGTCATTGATCAAGCGGCGAGCCTCTTCTAAAAATGCCATAGACTCTGTATCTAGACTGTCGAAGTTTATATTATCCATGGCGGCTAGACGAGTTTGTCTGTCACGAACCCTCGCTTTTGCCATTCCTTCTTCCTCTCTCGATATATACGGGACGCCATCTATAAAGGGCGCATCCATGCGAAATCCGCTACGCAGGAGCAGATCGATCGCTTGATGTCTGTCTTAGTATTGCATTATAACCGCGAGGTTCACACTCTAAAAGCCAGCAAAAGATAGGACAAACCACTGCTTTGACACGTCCATGTCCTCTCCAAGTCCAACTTTGGATCGATTATTGGATTCAAATTGAAATTATACGGACGAAGTGTATAAGTTCCTATTTTTATTCAGCAAAATTAGCAGGTGACAGGCCAGGAGAAAGTTGCCCGGACCCCTATCCACATCCTCTCTAATAAAGGTTAACCCGACTTGGAGAATTTGGTACTTCTCCGCAGCTTCCTTGACCTCTTCGTATCTTGACTGAAGAGTTCTGCCACCACCCGAGGAACCATCCGTAGAGGGTTTTCGATCTTGCTTGCTAAAGATACCAGAAAATTCCAGGTCCAGAGCCACACAACAGGACTCAGCTATGTCGTTTAGAATCCTGGGAAGGGCCTGGCTGAATGAAGACTTGGTCACTTCCATTTTTGACTGCCCTGAGAACAAAAGGTTAAATAAAAGAGAAACTGTGATAAGCTCTCATTCTCTATCCAGGCTATAGGTAAAGAGACATAGTAGATGTGGGCACATAGAGGGGCAACGGAGTACAAAGACAAGGAACAAAGAGGATAAAGTAAAGGCCAAGTTCGCCGGTTAGCAAGTTCTTATTCACAGGATTCTACTTCTTGTAGTTACCGTCGCGTCCAGATAGCTCATTGTCATCCATTGTCTGCTTGCAGTCACGTGTCATCACGAGCGAATTTACTATATGTACTACCAGCGATTGGCGCTAGAATGTCATAGCCTGTGACCATAGCTCTGTAACTTTGAGACAACATTTGCCGAACCTTCAGGGATATTGTCAGCGCGCTAAGGTCGAGATCTTCCAGAGTCGGCCGAGGGATGTATTCCATAAACAGATCACCTATCAGCCACGAGGGTTCAGATTGGTTTTGAAAGTAGCGAGCGGTTGTTATGTGTTCCAAGGGACCTTTACCCCGTCCAGGGGGAATGCTTCTAGGGAACTTGTGGGGAGTTAATGGGACGAGGGAGTACTTTAACTCTATTGATGACATGAACCGTTGGCTCAATAAGCGCCTCTAGCTCATCGAGAAGACGATAGGTCTGCGTCCACACCCACTTGTGCTCTGTCGCCTCGACCTCAGCCGCCGGAAGTTAAAGCTCATAGGAGGCAATTCGATATGCTTACTTGACTGGGGCTATCCGGGAATTTTTGTTTGGCTGAGCCTGCAAAGAGCGTGGACCAAGTCAAGGAGGATGACATGTTTGTATGTTCTAAGCACCATTTACTGGGCTAGTCAACTTGTTACTCGGTACTATAAAGTAAGTAAACCACATAGCAAAGTGTGGAGCTTGTTCCTTTTCCATCACAGCAGTTTAATTGTACAAAAATTGGTGCAGCGAAGACGAAAGACATAATATGGGAGGCGGAGAGGTTATCATTGAGTTGGATGATTAGAGGACTGCAAGGATTCCAGCCATGGTTTCCAAAGATGGCTTCATGCAATGACTATGCCGAGTGGTCTGAAGGCTCTTGTTTCTCGTGGCCTTCTAGGCAAAAAGCCATTGCCAGACCAGATAATACATGTTATCTTTCATATTCCCCCTTTCGCTCACCGGCACAAGCGTGCTGAAATCTTTTGAAGACTCGCTTGCTTGCGCCAGCAATCTTCTTTACTAAAGGTACGCAAATTAGGCCAGTCATTGACTATCAAAAGGCCGAAGGCTTTAACGTCATTCTGGCGAAGGACGATCATTTTCATACGGCCCGGCAAAAATATATGCTGTTCGTTCATTTACTTTGATAGAGTATCATCCAGCTGATCCTCAGTCTTTCAAAGTCACTTTGTATTGCCGGTATTGTATTTGCAGCAATAGGAAGCTGGCTAATAATAATGTTCTTGTGTTGGAATTCTGCATGCATAGATGTCAAGTTATAGCTGTGGAAAACATGTGACAATAATCAATGATAAAGATTAGACTTGTGGGCGGTACGTGTATTAACTGTTTCAAGATGTTTGAAGGACTAGAACCTCTTCGGTGCAATTTTAGAGTCGAAGGACCATTGATGCAGGGCGTAGGCTGTGAGATCCCGAACATACCATGTAGAAGACAAGGTTGTCCCAATACTCTCAATGAATCTTCGTGAGGAGAGGCTGCATAGTTCATCAACATTGCAATGGTAATCTTAGATTTCTCATAACGGCCTAAGTGTCCTCACCAAGTGGCCAAGGTAGCACCTTTGATGAAATCCATAACAATATATTTTGCCGATGACATGGGGCAACTGTAAAGTGCATAAAGTTGGCCTGCCCTACCGAAGTTGACAACAAAATGGTCATCAACTTTAACCTGTTTGTACCCACTGTGGCAGTTTAGAAGAGGAGCTTCCTGGATCTCAACTGCTGTCTCAAGGGAACAGGGTATATCAGGAACAAAACGCGGAGGCTTGACAGGTGGTAAAATAGCCCAGTCCTGTGATCTCTTGCAATATTGGCTTCCGATCGCGAAGTAAAGAATTGACAAGGATATGAAGAACAGTGCTAGCTTCTAGGCAAAAGCTTAAGCTTTCCAACCCAAAGCAGAGAGGGGCTTTCCTGATCACTGTGATGGACGATAGGAAGCATTGGATGCCAGGGGCGCCCAGGACCCTATGTTAATTTGGCAGCAGGCATCAAGACGACGGGCTTGCAGAAGTATCATCA